ATCTATTTATCTATCTAAATTAGATAAAATAAGGTAGAATAGAATATAACACTTATAGGGGCGCATTAGAACAAGAATAAGCAATATATTTCTTTGTTCTATTATCTATATATATATATATATAGATACAAATCTATTTATAGATCCTTTATTCCTTTATTCTAATAAAGAACTCTTTATCCTAATAAAGAACTCTTTGTCCTAATAAAGAACTCTTTGTCCTAATAAAGAACTCTTTGTCCTAATAAAGAACTCTTTGTCATAATAATAGACTTATTATATATAAAAAGGCTTTATCTTAATAAAAAGATATTAACTCTTTATTATAATAAAGACTATATTCTAATAAAGAATAACTAAGGTATATTAAGACTGCTGCCTCGCTTCTTAAACGTAATAATCTTAACCAGTTTATATACTAATTAGTAATACAACACTTATTTAAACCTTTACTATTTTACTATATACCTTATATACCTTTATATAAAGTTAATAAATATACCTAAAATACCTATTTTTAGAAGGAATACATATTATATAAATTATAGGCGCTGCTAATACCACACCCCCTCATTCCTATATATACACCCCCTTTTTACTGTATATACACCTCCTCCCCTTCTGTTATTTCACCACCTTCTAATTAGCTCGGAGGGGTGCTCTATAGCCTCCGATCAGCTTGCTTAACTTGCTTACTAATTCCAAATGCTCTCTCTAAATACAGCCTTAATTATAATTAATTACATCCTCTTCTTCTCTGTCTATAATATAGCAGCGCATATAGCAGTATATATAGCAACACCTACAGCTATACCTACAGCTGCACTTACAGCTGCACCTGCAGCTAAAAAGCGCGGCTAGCCGCCTGGTGTAAAGGATAAGGTACTATAGAAAAAAGTATAAGCTTAGAGGTAAAATAGTACTTAGCCTACGCCTGAGCCTATACCTTAGCCTTAGCCTTAGCCTTATCTTTAGATATAGAGGCTTAGCTAAAAGGAGCTTCTATATTAGCTTATAAAGATATTAAGGTGGAAATTAACTAAGATATTAAGCAGGCGGAGGCAGTAATATAAGAGAGCTAGGCTTAATATAAAGGAGCAGTAATAAGGTAAGGTTTTAACAGGTTTAGCATGCTTATAGATATATAGGCACTTCTAGAATAGAATTTCTATTCTATACTTAGACTTAGACTTAGACTTATACTATATAAGCTTATATATAAAGCTATATAAATTGGCAAGGCTGTATAAATTAGAAAGGCTGCACGCCGATTTATATAGCCCCGCGTATAGCATTATATAATATATAAGTAAATGCCCAGAGCTCTAGTATAGTGCTCTAAGCTAATTAGAAGGTGGTAAAACAATAGAGGGGGGAGGAGGTGTACGCGCAGTGAAAAGGGGGTGTACTTATAAGAATTAGGGGGTGTAGTATTAGCAGCGCCCTAAATTATTCCTGTATTAACTAGTAATTTTAAATATCTAGAATAAAAGTATACTAAAAATAGTAACAATAATAGAAATACTATTCTATTTATATAGGGGGAGCGCTACTCGTACACCCCCTTTTCACTACACGTACACCCTCTTAGCGCTTCACCACCTTCTGATTGGCTCGGAGCACTGTTCCGTAGCCTCCGATTCGCTCGCTTAACTCGCTCACTAATTCCGAATGCTCTCTCCAAATGCGACCATGTACAACACAAGCAATTACATCATGCCAATTTGTATAGCCTTACGTACGAGCTCACGTACAAGCTCACGTACGAGCTCATGTATAGCCTCACGTACGAGCTCACGTACGAGCTCACGTACGGCCTCGTGTATAGCATCACGTACAGCCTTGTGTATAGCATTACGTACGGCCTCACGTACGAGCTCACGTACGGCCTCATGTATAGCATCACGTATGGCCTCACATACGAGCTCACGTACGGCCTCGTGTATAGCATCACGTACGGCTTTGCGTATAGCATCACGTGTAGAGAGACGTAAAGGCGAATGCCCGGAGGAAGCTCCGGGCTCTCCGAGCCAATTAGAAGGTGGTGAAGCGCCAAGAGGAGGGGGGTGTACGTGTAGCGATTAGGGGGTGTACGTGTAGTGAAAAGGGGGTGTACGTGTAGTGAAAAGGGGGTGTACGAGTAGCGCTCCCCTTATGTAGCTCTTTTGAGATATAGTAGAACGTATATAAACTTAGAGTATTCTCTCTTAAAAAGAGCAATGATTTAGTAAGGTTGTGTGGTTTTCCCAGGGACTAGAATCAGTCTTTAGTGTGATTTCTGTTTTGTTTGAGCCTGTATTTCGTTTGAGCTCGTAGGCCCGTACTACGTACGGGCTAATCGACAGAGTATTCTGAAAAAACCCGACGGGGCCCGAGTAAGCTGTGCTGCCCGGCATTGGGATAGCCAGGCCAGACCAAAATCTGCAGTCATCGGAAAAGGAACAAGCCGTCGATGATCGTTTAAGTCTTACCCTTGTCGAAATCTAGCTGAGCGTCGATCGATTCGGCCTCCAGATGCGCCCGCATCTCCTCATCTCACTTCACTCCCGATGCTCAACCTTGTCTTCTTACACTTAGGCCCAATGATTGGCTCAACTCGCAGTCGCTCTGCTACCACAGGGTGCAGCTTCGCCCACCTTTCCCACCAGCGCTCGCACTGCCTCATCATCGTACGGGAGTTCATAAATGTGAGGCTTTAACCCGGTAAGCAGGATGCCAGCTGAAGGTATCAACAGTTAATGCAGTGTTCGCCTGAGCGCATCAAGCAGAAGCACGAACGCCGGACAGGATCAGAAGCTGCTGTCCGCGCCCGCAAGCTCAGCCTGCAACTCCGCATGAGCATCCTCATCCAGGTCCGACTTCGATTTCTTGCTCTGGTGCCTGCTCGTCCCCTTTTGCGTCGTCTGCTTTTGCGTCGTCTGCGCTCTGTCTTCCGGACCGCCTTTCCCAGCGGTCTCTGGGTGCAGCTTCCAATACCGATCCCGCCACTTCTCGCGCAGGACCTCATAAAGGAACCCGAACTGTGCGTCGCCCTGCACCATCATCATACGCTGCTGGCGTAGCTGATCCACAACTTCGGCAATCGGATCGTGGTCCTCCGGCAGGTCGTCAAGACTTCCTTCCTCCAGCTCTTGTAACAGCCAGTCGAGGGCGATGAAGGTCCCGCTGCGGCCAACACCCGCGCTGCAGTGCACGATGCGGGGATTCGTCGAATTATCGGCATTTAGTTCTCTAGACAGTTTGATGAGCTTGAGGAGGGCTTCTCGGTCGGCGCCCTCGGGGACCAGAAAATCAGGCCATCCCTCAAACAGGAGATGATAAATCAATTTCGACTCGCTTCCGTCCTCGGTGGTCATGGCCAGTTCCCTGAGCTGCGTTCTTGTCTCGGCATTCTCATTCAAAGAGGTTAGTCTTATGTTGTGTTCCAGGCCGTCTTCGAATTCGTCCTCCTCGTTGACCTTCATGTCGCAGGCGGCTAGGGTTTGTGGGTAGTATCGGCAGGATATCTCACGGCCGGATTCGTGGGTCGGCGTGAGCATGACCACAACGGCTGGGGATGTGTTCTCGTGCCAAATCATACGCCATATGTGGGAAAAGGTGTCGTGCTTGGGGCCCTGTATTGGAAATAAGAGAAGACTATCAGACAACTAGAGCAACGTACCTGAGTAACTATAAACTTGGTGACTTTCTTCGAAGCGGTGGACTGCAGTAGGATCGGCGAGGCGTTGATGTAGTCGTTATGGCCTTCGGGAACCTGTAACTTCACGCGGTTAGATTGATATGGGTTGACATTGGCGTAGCGGTTGCGGTTCGTCATTTCAATGCCGCATATCGACCATTGTGACTCCTTATCATGCACACCCCTGGCTAAGCGGTTCCGCTGCTCCCACTCCACATCAATGAATTTTTGATGTATGTCTGTGTCTCCAGTCAGCCAATTTTCCCTGGTTCTAGTTGTAGGCCGAGTCTACCTACCTACTGTGGTCAACTGCAAGAATGTGGGGTATGGCGTAGGGTCCTGCATGTGTGACAGTATGGCGGGCGTGGACCGCGTGCTGTCCTCGCTACTTGAGCGCTTCCACGATGAGATGTCGTATTCTCCTTGATTGAGTGAAAGCTTGGCCTCTTCTGTTTCACGTTCCTCGTTTTCTGTCGCTGCCTCGACCTCTCCTCCTGTAACTAAGACGCCATCAGATAAGTCTTCTTTGCTTGCTAGAGATGATGGCCTAGAACTGTCGAAGACGAGGGCTGAGAGACCTGACCCGTCCGAACGAGCATCTGCATTCGCTTCGATGGCGGCATTTGAATTGATCTCATCCTTAGTAGCTGAGTCAAAAGGAATGGCAAACAACGCCAACTGCTCCAAATGAGAAGAAAGATGGCGTTTGAATACGGTTGGGTCAACGTTGAGGATGTGGTCAGCTGCGTCAGAAGGCATACCAGTGACCACTGCTCGCTCCTTGAGACGGTCGACCCAATCTGAGCAGAATGGGCATTCCTGAGGAGCTATCTGCTTGAGCGGCTTTTTGGCAATATCAAGAACGAGTTGCTCTTCCCCACCTTCCAGCATGTTGGAATGTTGGTCCCGAACATGGGCAAGATAACGCTCTCTGAGCTGAAAAGTCCTGTTCTGGCAGAGCTGGCAGGTATAGCTGATGCGGTGGTTCTGCATCTCGTGACGAAACCACTCGTTAATATCGCCGAAGTACGCGGTATTGCAGTCAGGGAATGTGCATACGTAGGAGCGGAGATCAGAGAAAACATGTCGTCGCCATACTTGTTCGTTCTTGAACTTCCTGATTCGAAAGCAGAATGGGCATTCCACTTCTTTCTTAGACCCTATTCGCAGCTCATCAAGCTTTGGAATCTTAACAGTGGCTGAGGAGTCAAGGTCGCCATTAACAGAACGAGATATGGTCGTGTATGACCTTGCATCGCTCTCAGAATCTGATTCTTCTTCCGTAGTGAGCATCTGAGGTGCAATTTGGCTTGGCGTGAGACTCGAAGCCTTCGTGAAAAACGTGGAAGGCCGGCTAGAAGACTCGGGAAGCTGCCTGCTTGGAGCATGCGATTCGAGTGCTACAGGTTCAGGTGTCCGAGTCTCCTCTTGGATGAGTATGCCCTCAAGTTTCTCGCGATGATCTTGGATGTAGCTTAGATAGTGTCGGCGTTGCGTGATGGCTCGACCGAGCCGCCTCTGGAGCCACGCAAATTCTTCTGTTGCAAGCTTCGGGAATTTTTCACGCACATGAGCGATGTCGTACTGATCATTGAATCGATATCGATTCCGGCTGAGGGCTTTAGCAAAGAGATTCCTCGGTGCAGCCTGGCGAATGAGGCTTGATACTCTAAAGAGACGTGTGATGCAGGCCCCGAATTCCTCCAGAAGTTCTGTTTCTTCGTTTTGGTCTCCATCCTCGCCGTCGTCACGAGGTGTAGAGACCATCGCCCCCTCGCGCACTCCAGAGATAATTCCCAAGACTAGACCGTGTCAGCTACTTTACAGGCATTAAGGAGGTGAGAGACCCACGTTCTCCGGTAATCTCGTTGAGATCATTCAGCAAATCTATAATATGAGTCAAAACATCGTTGGCTTCACAAAGACGCGACTCGAGAGACATGGGAGACTCTGGGGGATGTATGGCTCCGATGTTGCCAATCCACAAACTGAACCTCTCCAACTCGTCGTTCACCTGCTCGTGGTGGACTCGGCCCTTCTGTTTGCTAGGGTTGGATAGTGTTGAGATGATGGTCTTTAGGTCCTTGATGCAGGACCGGCATTGCTCCGACACCGGTGCAACCATTGTGACCTATACTTCGTAACGTACGGCTCCGTGATGACTTAAATTGTGGCCATTGTCGATGAGAAAGGGGCTTGGTGATGCGAGGCTGAAGAGTTCTGGGGGCCACAAGTGCGGGGCCCAAAATGCTCCCTCGTTCCCTCAATCTCCAGCCGCGCCCATCGCATTTTGCTCAATCTTCTTCTTCTCATCGTCTCTTTCTGCTCAATCCGAATGAGTGGCCTCGAAGTTGCAGGCGTTCTCCTCGGGGGGTTCCCTCTGATCATTTCCGGCCTCGAGCATTGGCGCGATATTGCCAAGGTCGGTGGCTTCTTCTGGCGAGTGCGAAAGGAATACACAAAATGCCGCAGAGACGTGCAATTTCATGAGATTTTGTACAAGAGGAATCTGAAAGAGCTTCTACTACCCATTGTGAATGATGCAGATGAGGTGACTCGTCTGATGGGTGACCCGGGTGGCAAAGACTGGAGCTGCAACGCTCTACAAGAGCGCTTGGAGGGGCGTCTCCAGGAGTCGTACGGCTTGTACATGGAAATCATACGCGAGATGAACGAGACAGCCGAGGAGATGAAAAAGGAGCTGTCTCTCGACAAAGCGATTGTTCAAAACAGGCTAGTTCCGCCAGAGCCAAAGAAGCAGCGGCAACCGTCGAGCTCACAGCCGTCCAAAAAACCGTCCAAACTTGCGTCAGCAAGGTCGGAGTGGGACTACGAGACTTTCCGACTCAAGTTCAGCTTCAACGAGCCCGTAAGAAATGGACTTTTCGATCAGCTGAAGGAATGCAACGCACGGTTAGAGAAGCTCCTCAGAACGAGCGACAAGGTATCTGTACTCCTGGACACTGCTCCTGCCAACACGAAACAGACGTCCGCTCTGGAGACTGCATTCAAGAAGGCGTGGAAGAAGTCGGACTTCCTCTTCAAAGCCCTGCAAAAGGCATGGCAGTGCTCGTGCCAGCAGTACCACTTCGCCAATCTTCGGCTCGAACATCGCACACTTCCAGATATTTGCTTCGAGGTTATTCTCACCTTCGTTTCTCCATCGTCCCAGGCGAATGTCCCATGGTCATGGCGAGAGTTGCAGTGCGGACAAATGATCGGCTGCTCCTTTCCGTACAAGCTCACGAAGCCTGGCCCCACTCCTCACGTACTCAGTTTTACTCCAACATCATTACCAACATCACCAAGGCGAAAGAGAGTGGCTTTCAAAACACTCACCCTGAGCGTACCAAGTATTGAGTTGGACATCGTTGATCCAAGCGTCAAGCTCTGCAAGCTTCTGCGTAACGAAGACGATGTTAACTGCATGGGTGTCATCTGTCATGACGACGAGACATACCATCTGCACCCATTCAGAAAAAGGAAACGACCAAATGATGGCAGCCCACTGACACTAGATCATGTCCTCTCCAATGACTTTGGAGCGTACCTCAGCCGACGCCAACGCTACTCTATCGCCCTGCTTTTGGCTTCCTCGGTAGCCCAACTCCACTCTATTGCATGGCTGGGAAATGGTCTAAAGAAAGAGGACGTTTTCTTTTTTCCATGTGATGATGATGACTGCAGTGTACCATATCACGAGCCTTTTATCCGTCAAGGCTTTTCACCCCATCATCTTACGACCTCAAAGATAGAGGCCAATGATTGCAACTTCAACTCCCTTGGTATTCTCCTTCTGGAGCTCTGCTTTGGCCGCCGACTAGAAGATCATCCACTTCGCAAAAGACATCCAACGGAAACTGGAGAAACAAAGCAAGCCTTCGATCTCATGGCTGCGCTGAAGTGGTCTCAAAGTGTTGGTGATGAAGGTGGCGATGATTACGCTTCTGCTGTGGGGTGGTGCTTCACGGGTGCTAATAGCCCGACTCAATCATGGAGAGGGGACATTATCAAGAACGTTGTCAGGCCCCTAGAGATGTGTCAAGAGCATTTTAAGACGACAGCTGTGTCTTGAGTTGAATCTTGCACGAAGCCAGGTCGCGACAGTGCTGCAATACTAAGAGAAGTGTAGGATGGAGATCGGCGATGGCTGGAGGGATATAGGAAAGGGGCTAGGAAATGGTTTCTGAAACCTCTGAACTTCGTATGAAGTATACTCTCCTCGTTTTTCCAATTCTATGTACATCTGCTTCTGTTCTCTACACTATTTCTCTCTAAGGCAAAAGGGTTTATACCATAATATGTCTTCACACTAATCTATCAGTGGAAAAGCTTCAAAGTGAGATAACATTTGACTGCCAGCCATACCATCTTAAGATGGCAAATTGTGTTTATGTATTTAAGAGAGATAGGTTAGTTGGTTTTCGGCGGAGCTGAAGGCCAGTCCGCATCCTAGCAATGCACTGGGTCACAAAACTTGGTAGGTACTGGATGGTCTTTACATTTGCTTGCTTTTCATGTTAAGTAGATTCCTAAAGTTTCTAGGCAATTAACATAACAACTAGACTATAGTCTTTCGACACAATATCCTAATACTATGAAATGGCATGCTTTATTAAAACTTTCTAATTTTTATGCTCTATTATAAATCCCTAAATAAATTAGCAGTTAGCATTTCCTAACAGCTTTAAATTTTATCTAACTAATCTAAGTATAAATAAATAGTAAAGGAGTATATTTTACAGTAGAGGTTCTAGTAGGCAGTAGATAAATAACTCTGTCCCTAAGCATTATTATAAAGTTTATAATAGCATAAGTATTTTATCCTTATACATAATACACTTAATACTTTTAAATGCTATAGAAACTATATGCACTTAAGTATATTATAAGAAATATCAGAAAATGTTATAGAAGTGTTGGAGGAGCGGTCTATAACATATATATATATATATCTGCTGCTGTTAGTATAGTATAAACCTTTATTAGAACAAGAATAAGCGATATATTTCTTTGTTCTATTATCTATGTATATACATAGATACAAATCTATTTATAGATCCTTTGTTCCTTTGTTCTAACAAAGAACTCTTTGTCCTAATAAAGGACTCTTTGTCCTAATAAAGGACTTGTTGTATATCAACAGGCTTTGTCTTAATAAAGAGACGTTAACTCTTTATTACAACAAAGACTACGTTCTAATAAAGAACGACTGAGGTATATTAAGACCGCTGCCTCGCTCTGTAAACTCGATAATCAAAACCAGTTTATATACTGATCAGTAATACAACACCTATTTAAACCTTTACCATTTCACCACGTGCCTTATATACCTTTACAACCTTAAGTAATATAATTCCTTTCTATCTATCTATTTATCTATTTATATCTTTAATAATTGTTAAAATTTAGGAGAAGGTAGAGCTTTTTATAGTTTGTAAGGTTTATAATAGCATAAGCGTTATATCCTTAACGTAGGTGGCAAGCGAGCTGCGCACCCTTCAACTTTTTGCGACGTGACACCTCGTAACTACAATGGCTCCACCAAATAAAAATCATTTGCCGTACAACGAAGGAGACATCTTCCTTGCTATCTCATCTATCGACTCTACACAAAAGCCTAGCGCACGACGCGCTTCATCAATATACAATGTCTCTGAATCTACACTACGTTCCCGACGCGCTGGAACGCATGCACGACGCGATTGCGAGCCCAGCTCGAAGAAACTTACTATGCTTGAAGAGGAGGCGATTGCTAGATATATACTGGACCTAGATGCGCGTGGGTTTCCGCCTACGCTAGGCGCTGTACGCGATATGGCAGATTTGCTGCTCGCTGAGCGCGGCGCTGGCAAGGTTGGCCAGAAGTGGGCAAAGAACTTCATCAACCGGACACCTAGCCTTACAACGCGATTCAATCGACCGTACGACTGGCAGAGGGCCCTATGTGAGGATCTTATAACCATTCGGGCCTGGTTTGACCTAGTAGCGCACACTAAGGCTACGTACCGCATCTTGGACGTGGACACCTGGAACTTTGTTAAAAACACCAAGCAACGCGCACAAGGTAGGGTCTCAGTCAATACTAATTCGCGATCGGATACAGAGGCATCAGGATTCTTCTCCTACATCAATTATCCGGTCGCTTGATCAGCCTACAAGGGGCGCTAAGGGGATGAGCCATAAGATGGTGCTACTGCAGAATCGTGTCTCTAGACTTGAGAAGGCAAATGAGGCCGCCACAAGGCGCAGACAACGCAAAAAAAAACGGATCTAGGATAAAGGCACCCTGACAATAATAGAGGGAGAGTAAATTAATGCTTAAAGGGGCATTGGGCAGCAGCTAGAGACTGAAACGCGTCAAAATGAGACGCGACCAGGTGCTAGCCGGCAGGCTTCAGCGCGCTGTAAGCTTTGCAGACAGCCTGGGCATAACTCACGAACGTGTGAGAAACGTACTGTAGATACTGCCCAAGCTTAGACAGCTACCCTACTACTAGTATTTTCAAGCGTTGTTGAGATATATAGCTAAAGGCAGAAGATGTTGGTGGGGTGTGCAGCTCGCTTGCCACCTACGTTACATATAATGCTCCCAACACCATCAAACTATACACGTTTAGGTGTGATACAAGAAACATTAGATAACGTTACAGAAGCCTTAGAGGAATTTTGTAAGCACTTTATAATACTATACATATGTATATATACAAGTCCGCTGCTGTCGATGTAGAATAAAACCTAAGTAATACAATTCCTCTTTATCTATCTATCTATCTATCTATCTATCTATACGTCGACTCTATACCTTTAACATAGTTGCTATACTATATAGATTAGATAAATAGATAAATAGATAAATAGATAAATAGATAAATAGATAAATAGATAAATAGATATATATAGAGTGCACTAAGTTCCTTATCTCTTTACTATTTATATATAGTTATCCTACTTACTCTTACGAACTATATTCTATATCTAATAGTTAGGCTTTTGGGAAAACGCTATTAAAAAGATAGACATATAGATTGCTAAAATCTCCTTTATCTATTATACACTGTTAGCTATTCTTTTATTACACCAAGGCTACCTGTATAGTATCTATAACACTCTGCTTATAAGTTTAACGCAGGGTTATAGAGGATTTTACCATCTGATATTAAACAAGGAGGAGAAGCTTCTACCTTTTTTGCTGCTCCTCTACCAATCTCATGCGAAGCACTTTAACAAGTTTATTGGCTTTACTAATCAGTAATTATTCACAAATAGAAACCTAAATCTCAACACCCTGCAATTTATTGAACAATTAGGAGTATTACAACATGACAGGATTTGTACCGTCTTGCAGTTATCATCTATGGTGTGAATTACTGGTGTCTAAAACCTTGATCTCTATAAGCGCTAATGTGTTCGGGACTATTTGTTTCGCTACCTCCGCGGTTGCAAAAGTCTGTTGTGATCCGTGCACGAACGCCAATCTCGTGAAATGTAAACACCACTTGGAGTTGTGATTTCTCCACACAACATGGCCCAAATCAGCTCAGCCAAACGCGCATTGGTTATTCAATATCGATTTCATGATAAACTCAGTTTTCCAGCAATTGCCAGCAAGATTGATGGTGTTTCTGCCGCCGCCGCCCAACAAATCTGTTCTAGAGCCTTTAGACGCGCCGGCACCAACAATGTCAACACGCTGCTTGAATATAGAGATCCTGCGCCTAGATCTGGTCGTCCTAGGCGTGTAGAACCTGGATCTGAAGCGTCAATTCGAATCCGAGAAGCAACGCGTGGACAATACAGGTGGCACCACCAGGTGGATGCTGCCAACCAAGCGTTTGAGCGCGTACGAAAGGATCATACAACAACACAACGCAAGCCACTTGGAACGCTTGATGCTAAACAAGTTCATAATATCCTTCAAGGAAAAGAACATTCGCAAGCAGATCCAATTGATTCGAAGCCAATTCCTCGAAAGCGCACGTTGGAAAAGAAGGCCCTCTCGAAATTAGACTTAGACGATCGCAAACGATATATCGAGCTTATCCTAAGCCTGGATCCTCACAACACAATTCTTATTAGTTGTGGTGAGACGCCTGTTAATTTTGGAGGCACCGGCCACACGCATGTATCTGCTCCACGTGGTGTAGATATATACACAGACGATGCCCACGATCCACGGTTTATCAAGATGCAATGGGACGCCGCCAGCAATGATACACGCGTTAAAAGACCATGCCTTATTTGGAACTACGAGGAGCAAGAGGAAACAATAGATTTAGCGCGAAGATTGGATTTCCAGGTGTCTAAATTAAAGGCTCGAGTGGACCATAATAAACACCAAGCATTAATTCCTGGCACGCCCCAATATCAACTTCTTGTGGATACAAATGCCGACATCGCACGCTATAATGCATCGCTTCCACCTGGCCAACGTGTTGGAAGAAAGCGGCGTATGACAATCGATCGGTTGTTTAAATATGAGAAGTTAGAAAGAGACGCTAAAAAGGGGGGGTTAGATTTTGTTTGGTACGCTTTTAAAGTGTATGAATTAACCTTATTTCCTTACTATTTGGAATTAAGGAGGATTAATCCAGGAAAGGAGATCTATATTGTTGAGGATAACGTTGGTGTTCATCATAAGGCAAGGCGGTTGTTGGCTGATTAAATTCATGAGCTTGATATCAAGTTTCTTGATACACCAACCAATTCACCAGACCTAAACCCAATTGAGCATCTTCACAAGGATCAGAAGAAGGAATTGGCCAGGGCTCGGTTTAACACCACGAGCGCTGGTGCTGCTGTGCAGGCCCAAAGGGAGAAGGAAATGATTGTTGTTTGGCAGCACTCAGAAACCTTTGAGAAAAAGGTACAACACCGCATGGCAATTGAATATTGGAAAGGCCTGGCACACAGATCAAAACACGCAGAACCGGCCTACAGCAATAGATACAAAGATAGCTTGTAATTTGATGGTGTTGTGCTCATTTGATTGTGGTGGCCGTGCCTCGGTGATCGCCGAAAAACAACAGACTTTTGCAACCGCGGAGGTAGTACCCTTTCCAAATCCCAATTGTTGGCCACCGTTAACTCTTACGCATATGTGAACGGGATTCCACTATCCTCCAACATCTTGAGATATTTTTTAGAAGTGCCTGCCCTAAGCTTTTTTCCGTATATAATCATTGGAATGACAGTGATATGTGTGATGATAGCCAGAGCCATCATCTGAACATACGCGTTGCCCCAACCAGAGTGGTCCAACCACGGCTGGATCGCGAAGACAAAGATCATACCGATGAGATTTCGGAAGATGTTAAGCAGCACGAGGGCTTCCGCGGCGACGGCACGGTAGGAGTCGAGAACGTATGTCTAAATCATGTTAGATGTGAGAAATCAGGAGTAGAGAGGGTTGTGTTCTTACCTCTGCAATGATGGAGCAGGCGGTGAAGCCGAATGCCATGAGGCCCATGCCAAACACAGGGCAAGTCCAGTGCACTCCGTGCCACACGCCGTAACCATACATGTTAAGCCCACCCGCTGTGATGATGGCGGTCACGAGCAGGAGAGACAAGCGCTGCTCTGGCTCGCGGACGCCCTTGTTCCTGCGTGCAGCGCCCAGGATCCACCAATCGCTGATATTCCCCGCAAAGATCGTGCCCAGAATACTTCCAATCAGAGCAGCCGCATTTGTGAGACCAACGGATTCTCCACTCCAAAGGTAGGGAGGAGCGGAGAAAAACTCAGACTGGGTTGTGAATATCGCAGCCCACCAGCACACCGAAACACCAGCAAAGAAGCCAGCCCAAAGGACAGGCGGAAAAGTTGCTAGTACCCATGGTCGGAAGAAGAGGTCACGCCAGGATGGGCCAGGATTAATACCGTATACATGAAATGGACGCGCTTCCCAGAAGGTTTTCAGCTTTTTCTGCGAAGGTAGAGCAGTGGACACAGTGACCGCGCCCTTCTCGTCACTGCTGACGGCGTCTGGGTCAGACTTCTCACTGGTCGACCCAGCACCGGAGACAGACGGCGAGACTCCTTCGGTCGTGAAAGTGCGCGGGTACAGCGTCTCTTCTAGGGTAAAGAAGAGAAGTATAGCTAGAGCGCCCTGTGCAGTAGTTAGACATGACGATCGGCAAACCTTTAGACAATTGAAAGTGACTGACCAAGCCGATTGCTGTGATCCAAAAACACCAGCGCCAGCTCAGCTGGACGTACACGTATCCTGCGACAAGTGGCTATACAGAGTCAGTTTGGATCACGAGTTGGGTTCGATATACAACTCACTGTTATGAAAGCGCCAGCGCTATAGCACAGAGCCCAGTAGCCAACCTTGGCTCCCATCTCGTGCGCGAAATATGTGTCCTGCAGAGAGATCTGGGGTAGTCCCTCCTTCGGCCCGCATCCGAGACCCTTTCGAATTGTTAGTGACGTTTGATTCGCTCTATAGTGAGGTGCGCCTTACCCAGATGACATTGAAGACACACCAGATATTGAAGTCCTTCTGCGTAGCTCCAACGATGCTACCGACCGTGGTGATGATCAGCCCGATGATATAGACCGGTCGTCGACCAAACTTCATAGCCACTGGCTGCCAAAAGGCAGCACCAATACCGCTGAACAGAAACAGCAACGCGCTCCTAGACGTCGACGTAAGGTTACTGCTATTGCGTTTGAAATGGGTAGAATTACCCCACGTTCAATCCATTGAAGGATATCTTGAGGTCCGCAGACAATCCGACGTAGGCCACGCCGTAAAAGTTTACACTGACATTTGTTACTAGGTCTACAGGCTGTCACTGATTGATTCAGACTCACAAGCCATTGAGAATGAAAGTGTACAAGCACATTAGCGTAAGTTGTAGCCTCTTCCGGTTCATAGACCAATTCTATAGACGACAGATTAGCGATAGTACCGCTTTTTATATAACGTATCGTGGTAACTCACCAAGGGATCATTAGGATCGTCAGAAGGCGGAGGGATTAAGACGATCTCAGTATGCTTTCCCCCTGCATGCTTCCCAACTTCCTGTCCGGCATCTATGCAGCGTTAGGTTCCAGTAAGACGGTGATTAGAGGACGTGTCGAGCGAATTGCAGAGTAAAAAATGGGCTGTTGCATACCATCTACGAGCAGAGCAGTTCCAGGGATGAATCTACTCTCGTCTACCTCAGTTCGGTCCACCATTTTGATATCCCTCAATAAGATTTGGAGGGTTATGAAGGATGTAGAAAAGCAAAAGAAGAAGCCTGGGGACTGAGGAGAGGTGGGGTGCTAGGGAAGAAGGCTACCGTCGAAAACAAATGCAAATGGATGCCGGTATGCGGCGAAGCGAGGCTCTCTCTGCGGGAGATAGTCGAACGCCTTCCAGGCCGTTGGGACGGGTTGACAAAAGGCATAACGTGGGCGCTCGAGCCCAGGGCAATACTCCCCACCACTGGGATGACCACTGAGACGGCAACCCAGACGAAGACGCCCCGGCATGGCGGTTGTGCTGTACGCCGCTAGATCCGGAACGTAGGATGCACGATGGTTTCAGCGCCCCGGCACCTGGACACCAGGATGAGAGCCGCTGCAGGTGCTAGCTGGATGGGCTTTGTCGACCAGTGCTTGTTGCGGTGGCGTACTCTTGCGTGGAGCCGCAATTAGTAGTCTGTACGTCGGGTGCGGACACACCACTCCTTGTGGCTAGACGTGCAAGAAGGCCCTTCTTTTTGTGCACCATGGAAGAACTAAGAAGCAAAGCGGCGGAGAACCATGCAGTTGGTTACTGTGATACGAAGGAGGCGGGAAGAGGTCGTGCGAAGGAACATGGCGATTAGCGAGCTTGCGTAGTCGGCAAGTGCCAACCCGTGGCAGTTGGAAGCGTGCCTGCGAGTAAGTATGCTCAAGGTATGTATCTTGACGGGTGGATCAAAGAAGCGCAGAAGGTCTTATCAACCCAATGGCCTGACAATGTTGTACTGAATCCTCTCTATTTGACAAAGCCCGCCCATACCAATCGTGAAATAGCAAATCTGGACCGATTGCGCGACTCGTTTGACTTCAGTTATGGGCAAGGTATGCATTATGGTCTCAGGACGCAGCGTTCCTCATGCCGCGAGATGGCCCTGGACCTAGTATCTAGCTGCGTCTTGGCTATATGGCGGCATCGGCACCCCTTCCTCACAGAGCCGGCGCCGCGGGGATCGCGGTGCCGAGCCTCCCTTCCACCCCTCCAGCTCGATGCCAAGACGCATTTCCCGCCTCCAGCTGGAGGGCTCGAGGATTGCAGGGTCTTCCAGGGCCTCAGGCTCCGGCTGGCCCACTAGGAAGCGCCAGCGAGCCGGTACCACGCAGGCGGGTCCCGCAATCAGCCACTATGGAGCCTGGGGCAATAGTCTTGAATGCCACCTGCAGCTGCTTGGCGGTTTGGGGTCTTCAATTGCCAGAAAACGCCACCAAGACATTCGTGCTCTCACTCCAAGCCAAAACCGGCCGTAGCTTTGAGCCCCCATGTCTATGCAGCGCAGCGTCTCCCAGCATCGCACAACTCACTAAGCTCACGTGACCTTAAGAAATTAAAGACCCTAAAAATACACATACAAGACTTGAAAGTTGGGGAATACACCAAAGATAGGATGAAATTCCCTATTTTGTATCTTCTACGTGTGCCTGCGAGGTGTGTGGTGTGCAAGAGGAAGGAAGAGGGAGTAGTGATGGGAGAAGATAAGGGGCCTCACAGGCACACACAGAGGACACGCGACTAGGGAAACCAGCTGCTGCAAGGTGGAATTCCCAGTGCGTGTGTCGCCAACGTGTGCTTTTAACATTCATGGCAGATTCCTGTAGTCACGTGACTGTCAACCAGCTCTGCGCATGGCTGGAGTGAGTTGTGCAATGCTGGGAGACGCTGCGCTGCATAGACATGGGGGCTCAAAGCTACGGCCGGTTTTGGCTTGGAGTGAGAGCACGAATGTCTTGGTGGCGTTTTCTGGCAATTGAAGACCCCAAACCGCCAAGCAGCTGCAGGTGGCATTCAAGACTATTGCCCTGGAGCTTGTCTCCAGTCGGTTCGCAGGTGGGTCTCGACGAAAGAAGGCAAGAAGACCGTAGAAAAGCAAAGATAAGGCTCACAGAATACGACCTTCCCGATAGATAGCTGCGGATAGTTAGCGGAAAGGCCGCGGGATAGCGTGTGCGCAATCATATTTGTGTCTAGGCGGTATTACGGAGCCAAAGTGGAGCCCTGCGGACAGGCAATCTTCAACAACCATTGTCCTATCTTGATGCCACCTTCGGATCCTCGACGCGTCCGGATCCTCACTACGGAGCCTGGTCGCATTGCTCATCCCCCAACCCCTCGATCTTCCAAGATCATAGCCGAGCCCTTTTCCCCAATCGCGTAAATAGTCGCTTGGATGTGCGCGCAGATCTGCAGGGGCATTATGCTTGCGTCGACAACTCTCAGGCCACGAACTCCATACACTCGCAACCTGTCGTCAACTACTCCGGCTGTGATGCCAGCCAAGCCGCCCATCCCACACGAGCCAACAGGGTGCCAGTCAGAAGCGGTGTAGTTTCTCACAAAGTCAGTGAAGTCCTCATCATCTGCTGCAGGGCCCTGCTGAGGTGGAAACACGCGAGACCTTATGACGTTGGAGAGCGGCGCAGTGGAGCAGATCTTGGCGGCGAACTTTTGCGCTGTCGTCATGACTTCAAAGTCGACCCTGCCGCCATCTCCTCCATAATACTGAGGGTCAATGACCGGCTTTGTTTGCATCGTGGGCGGTCCTGCAGCAGACCTTGGCGGAATATGGACCGAGCCCTGGCTGAAGGGAAGTTGGAGCATCATTAACATCGTGCCGTAGACCTTCCCAGGCTCTGACTTGAAATATGAGCTCCAGTTTCCGACATCGAACAGATATTCTACCTGGCCGCGAACCACGCCTGGAGCGAACTGCTTGGCTAGGACTCGATCTCGCAGGCTGCTCCTCGGCGTTGATACCCTTCGCGCTAGTTCCGCGATCGATGCGGAAGATAGGACCTGTGAGACTGGAATGTAGCTGAGTGCACATGGCAGCATTGCACGAACGCCAGACTGCGAAGTTTCATAAGTAAGATCAGCAGCCGCAGCCAGCGTCGGATCGGCTCGTAACTCATCGGGACCGATGATGCTACGGTCAATCTCGAAGACCATCGCAGTCACTAGAGAGACTGTTAGGTGGCTTGCAAGTGCTAGGATAACGCGATTACCGTCGTCTGTGCGTGCTTTCTTTGTGACTGCTCGGGGTGGTTGACTTCATTTTTTCAGACGAGAAACGCTCAGGCTGACCCTCTTACACGGTTTGTTACGTACCCATTATCCATAAGCAGGAGTATTGTAAATATCGACAGGATTTGAGAACGCATTCAAGCGCCCCAAGCAGCCGCGAGGAAAACACACATAGACTATGGTATTGGCGCTGTGAACGGAGTGGAGGATCTTACTCATGTGGTCCTGGAGGTTCTCCCCCACGTTCGGATTGCAGACTTTTAGGGGAATACCAGCCGCCGCGAGGACGGAAGGGTTGCCCACGCCTGACACCTCTAGCAACTGTGGTGACTGCACGCTGCCTGCACAGAGTATCACTTCGCAGCCTGCATTTGCGGCATACACCTCGCCGGCGTGCGTGAATTTGACGCCTTTGGCAACCCATTCGTCTCGGCCGTCTTTTTCGATGTTTATTTCTTGGACAGTGGCCTCGGTAAGCAAAACAAGGTTTTTCCTTGCTGAGTTGGGTAGGTAGTATGCAGTCGCCGAAGAGCACCTTGTTCTTGTGTTTGGGTCTACGGAGGTTAGGGTGGTGAAGGCCCCGAGGTTAGATCCCGAGAAATGGCTCGTGTTGGTTTTAGTGCTGAGACGTTCCAAAGTTTCGTGCCAGTATTGATGAGGCACGGAGTACTCCTTGGAGTGGACAGTCCGGATGGGGCCATTGCTGCCATGGTACTCGCTCTCGAACTGGGTATGGTGAAGAGATTGATGCTCTGCAGACGGCTCGTCGAAGGTCTCCGTTTTCTTGAAGAACGGGCTGGCTGAGCATGAGCACGCCTGAGCGCACGGCAACGCGGGGCGAATGGACTCACAGAAGGCTGTCCCAGCCCCAGCCCTTGTTCCCCAGCTCTTCCCATGCATCAAAGTCCTGCCGGTTGCCTCTGTTCCAGGTCATGAAGTTCAGTGCGCTCGTTCCGCCGAGGACCCGACCTCGGTTCCAGGGAATGCGCCGACCATTCAGGCCTGGCTGTGGCGTTGTCTCAAATTGCCAGTCGTATCCTGTGCCCAGGCTTTCTCCGAAACGGCCGGGGACGTTGATGATAGGATCATCGAAGACTGCAGGTCCCGCTTCCAAGACACCAACCGTGATGTCGGGATGCTCGGTCAGGCGTGCGGCAACAACGAGACCAGCCGTGCCGCCGCCGACGATCAGGTAGTCGAACTTGCGCTGGCAGAATCCCAGGGCAGAGATGGAGGGGTTGGCCATGGCGATTGCGGGAATCTGAGGCTTGCAGCATGAAAATTCGGAAAAAGACGCTGGCTATTAAAGACAAAGAAGATGAAATGCCTTCTCGACAGTCTCGGACGGCTGGGAAGCACCAGCCGTGATTCAAGTCACCTTTTAATGGTCCGACGAGGTACCCGAAAACCTAATGCTCCTGCACAGCAGCCCTGATGCGGAGTAGTTGTCGAGCGGGCGCAGACGGATCTCTCATTCGATCTAGCTCTTGCAGCTGGCTGTGACTTTGTTGTTTGCCGGGAACGAGGCGGCGCAGTTGTCTCAGCGCCAGCAACGCATTGTCGACGACAAATGACGCGTGGGCCTACTCTTCCTCGCTGCGCCGATTGCACCCCCACCGCGCCTCGTATGGAAGAGGCTCCCGCCACGCTGGTGTCGCTGCTACTGTGCCGCTCCTGCGTGGTTGGACGCTGGCTAAGGGGTGAGTTGGAAGAAGCATGCCGCGTTGGTAGGGGCTACGGGTACATTGGCTCCCTTGAACACAAGTGGCAGTGTATTGCGAGGTGGCCCGGAGAGCTCTCAGGCTTGTCAGAACTCAGAGCTGCCGTCCTCCAATTCTTCCTAATGTACTAGAGGAACTCGGACGGTACTAGGTGAGGACTCACAGGCCGAGAAGGGATGAGTTTCTTTGGCGGAGGCAGTGTTAGGATCACATATTCGTGAAGTGACACTTTTCGTGCAAGGGTGCTCGACAGGGTCCACGCCAGGCACGGAAGCCTCAACACCATCGCGCCTCGTCCTTTGGCGGGAAGTGGAGCGTGCTGTCCGGCCCGAATAAAGTTGCAGGCTCTTCAGTCCAAACACTAGAGCGCTGCCGTGCCGTGGAGCCCACGCCCCTGCATCGTACCATCGCAGTACCATGCTGATGTCTCCGTCTGGAGTCACACCTAGTGCACAGCTGCCGTCGACTCGAGCACCCGGCGCCCCCGTAGCCTTGACGCCAGACTGACAAGTCAATAAATAGCCCGCCCCGCCGCGAGATGCGGTTAGTCGATCCGCAGAATAAGCATAGTCCTGCTTGCTGCATTCGTTCGCGAACGCCAACTTTTAAAAAAGCGTAAAATAGTTGACTCCCAAAGGGATGTTTTTTCCCCCGCGTCTACTTACTAACGCTGCGTATTTGATCCACAAATCCCGCCAGTGCTGTAGTGCATGTGCCAAATACCGTCTTTGTGCACGTTGGCCACTCATACATTGCGTACCCCTGATGAATGCTTTTCTTATCTTGCTATGTACTGATCTCCCAGATCGCTGATATTAAGCTGGGGCCCTGAGCGAGTTTTCGCCCACTCTTTGAACCGTCTCGCATTTATTCCATACCATAGTGTATGCTGTGCTCACGTACACCCCTTGAAAATGACTGATCCGATCAAGGTTCTGGCTATTGAATCATGGACGCTGTACGCGGTGGGTATCGTACTGATCGCCCTGCGAATGTTCGCTATCCCGGAACTCTAATTATTGCGTCAAGCCTCACTGACACTGCATAGGGCTTCTCGTCGGATGGCGCTTGGCGCCTTTTCCAAATTTCAAGCCGATGATTGGATCATGGCTTTCATTGTTGTACGTCGATTTCACTGGGTCGACCTGCATATTCGCTGAATGCTAACCCCTCATACCAGATCACATACACTGGCGATGTCATATCCGTGAACCAAGTGATGGAGAATGGAAGCAACTACCTACCTCCTGGAGTGGCCGAGACGTTATCTCCACAAGGCGTCAAAAACGCCATATGGGGTAGCAAGATGACTCTCGCGCTGGAGGAGTTCCAATTGTCGACGACATGGCTGGTCAAAGCATGCTTGTTGTTGATGTACAGTCGGTTAACGTGAGTGATCGTAGGCTCGATCTACGTACTGCGAAGGCCATGCTAAAGTAGTCTTCAGAAACGGTCTTCCCAGAGAACACCTCATCGTGAAGTGGGTTGCCGCCTACTGCGTCTTCGGGTTCGTTCTCGTAGAGATATTGTACCTTGGGGTCTGGTGCCATCCTATCAAGGAGTACTGGAGAGTTCCTGTCAAGTACCGTGAGTCATTCTCCATGAAGGTCACCTGTACCATTGGCTACGACTAACCCTTATCCAAGCACAATGTGCCACTTACTATAACCACCTGATAACTTCCACCGTATTCAACGTCTCCTCGGACCTGATTATGCTCTGTATCCCTATTCCTCTGATCGCAAAGACACAATTGCCACTAAAACGGAAGATCATTCTTTACAGCGTCTTCAGCCTCGGGCTCTTTGTTGTAAGTATAACTCCTTCACAGTCGCTCTTTTACAGCCATCTCTCTAACCCCCTTGATCCATAGGTCCTAACCGCAATCCTCAACCGCTACTACAACTTCACCCAGCCATACTCGCCCATTTTCCTGAACTGGTACATTGGCGAAGCTTCCACAGCCGTCTACGTGGCCAACGTTCCGCTCCTTTGGCCCCTCCTCAAATCTCTCTTCCGCCTCGACACCTGGTCCGGTTCACGCGGCTCTCGCCGTACCCCTGGCGGCATCTCTGGATCGAATACCGGAAATGGCACCAAGTTGTCCCAGTATCGGATGTACAAAGGTAGCAAGCCGCAAGGAAGCTATCCGCTTGGCAGCCGCGGAGGCAGTATCAGTGAGAGAGATAGCGACATGGGAATCGAGAGAAGAGACGGGAGCCAAGAGGCAATTGTGCCAGATGGCAAGTCGACCACGTTGGAGCTACGTGATGGGCCACTAGAGCTGGCACCATACGGGTACCGAACCCGGGTTGGGCAGGGACGGGAGCAAAATGACGTGGAAAAAGGCGATATCGTTCGAACAGTTGAGATCGATGTGACGAGTACAAGGTCATAAAAGTCTACGAAATTGGCGTCTGCTGGAAAGCGAACCCCGGAGATTTTGATTGAATTACCGGGCACATGTTGTCAGGTTTTCATGTGTGGGAGTCTGCGATTGGATATAGACGTCACGGCCATTAACCGCTTGGTTCAGAAACGCCGCGCCTTCGTTTAGTGTACGATTTTCTTACTGTTCCGATACCACGATTTAGAAGCCAAATGACCCGGTTGTATGTTTAGAGAATTCAAAGAATAACTCAAAGACCGCATGCATGCGACTAGACGCCAAAAGTGCAATCACGATGAGCTATAACATTTCTTTTTTTCCGCCCGCCAAAACGCTTGACAGGTAAAATCACCGAAAGCGTATGTAGGCTCTCACGACAATGCAAAGGCTTTAGGAACATCTGAGAGTGATCTTTTTAGGTTCATTTAGGAATCCAACACCAGTGCCTATACATAAGCACTCCAACCTACAAAACGTGCGTTAGCGAAAAGCGCAGAACTCTTTTGTCTTGGAGGAGTCAACTTACCACAGAAAAGAACAGCCAGGTTCCGCTCATCGGTCGCCTGCTGGATGAGCTCATTGACTGTTGCGGCCGTGCTCAACGTCTTCGAAAGCTTCTTCTCCACGACAGATAGCGCACGACCCGCTTCGCCTGTATCGTCTTCCTTCTTGCTGCTTTGGTCTACTACAAGCTCATCTCCACCGGGAGCTAGCGTTGATGCTCGGGACTCTCTCATGGCATCTCTGCCCTCACCCTGTTCGTCTTGCAAACGTTTCGCTTTGGAGACCGACAAGGACCAGTTAACAAGTGGGTCATAGCGGAGAACGTTGAGCAGCGTCATGATACCCTCGCGTTCTTCACGCAACGCATCTAGCGTAAACTCACAGCACCGCCGGAAAACACCTTCGGTCTTGGTGTAGCCCATGCCATCTATCAGGTCTCTTGTAAGGCGAAACGGCACGACCTCTGGTACTGGCAAGACACGGCCTGCCTCGAACGCGATACCAAGATCAATGTGCACGACTTCTCCACTCTGCTCGTCAAGGAGAATGTTGTGGCAATGCCGGTCTCCGAGCCCAAGAACGTGGCCAAGTATGGAGATAGCGGCTGTGGATCGGGTATAAGCAAGTCGTTTCTCGAACCATTCATCCGGGTCCTCGAAGCGTTCTAGGAAGAAATAACGCATCACCGGGTTGAAGCGTTGCGTTACTTCCCTGTACTTCTTCACTCTGACTGCATTTGACTCGGTGCTGACGTCAGCAATTGCTCTTCGACACTGGTCGTTTTTCAGGTCTTTGGGATAGTATTTTTCGTGTGCAGGTATTAGATAGGTATGCAAAGCCATAGTATTCGGTACAAACTCCATAAGTCCCGATTGGGAAGAAAGTGGCACAACTTTGTAAGTGCGGATATGCAAGTTACGAGTACGAGTCGCCGGGTGATTTTTGAGAGCTCCCGAAGTCTGCTCGAAAACCTGCTCCATAATTGCGTCCTGTCGCAGATCATCGTTGCCGGATTTGAACTGTCACTTGTTAATACCAGTGGTTACGGAGTCTGAGAAACCACTTACCAGTTGCTTGTAGGGTTTCCCATCAGACGCAAACGCTGTGACAATCTTCGGAGCGCTCAACCCATTTGCTATTGATATTTGGTTTCTGAATTTGACAATTTTTGGCACATCGCTATAGTCGCAATTGGGCCGAATATCCAATGATATCGTTGCAGGTGGCACTTTGAGTCCGGGAATCCTTTGCATGAGCTTTTTTCCCTGTGGATGCTTTTCTAGGTATTGCTCCCCCCCAACCCTTTTATCCGCCTCTGCCTTGGCCATGGCGAGTTCGTGATATAAGTTGTTGGATTCCTCGAGGGGTGACCAGTGTACGCTTGCCTTCGAGTCCTTCTTAAGCATAACAGAAATACTCTTTGCGGCTGCTACTCTCGACTTCGTCGCGTCATCCTTGTTTGGAGATGGCATCGCACCTGCATATATTTGATGCATTCCGTGGTAAGGGTGGTCGGTGCACAATCGAAACACGAGCCCTGCTAGGAGGGCCTGAAACTCGGTGTTTTCGGCTTGCAATCTTGAGGAGAGCTGGTTCATCAGCACAGCAAACTTGCCGCTGGGAACGTTCGGAAGTTGACGCCCGACGGCTTCGTTGGCAAGTGGTATTTCCGCATACTCAAGCCAGAGGGAGAAGACGCGTAGTACGTCGTGGTCATAGTTATCGCACGCTTGCAATGCGAGAAGGTAGTTCTCAAGGCACTGTCGAAGGGAATCCTCCCTATTTGCGCGCAACTTCTCGTACTCAGTGCTGTCGAGTTCCTGCCATTTCTTTGACCTTGCCGCTTCTTTTCTATAACCCTCCCTGTCCTTGCTATTCCTCGACGATCTGGCTAGATTTTCGTACTCTTCGACTTCCTCGCCTTTACGTTCCATAGCTGCCTTAATGTGCGTTAGATCCTCGATTGAGTCAGGGTCATGGAGTTGTTTATCGCAAAAGGACGCAAATTCGTGAAACACCTGTCCGGGCTCAAGACCATGATGTTCACCTTTCAACTCTGCTGTGGCGCGTTTGAGGTAATTTTTGATGATGACTTCGGGCTTCTCTAATCGAGCTTCGGCCATGTGATGTCCCTAACGCAGTGAGTGAAGGAGATAGGAGGCTCAAAGTGTTGTATCACTTACCAGCTTAACCAGCAAGATCGACACCGACAGCGTATCTGACTGTGCTGACAAATCATCCCTGCTCAAAAGCTTCTGTCGAATGCGAATAGACGTTTCGGTCTCTCCTTGCTCCCAGAGTACATTGGCAACCTCGTTTTCAGCAAGAGCTTCGATATTGAGCCCAACAGACGTGCATTGGCGCACAATGGACGACAAGTAGGTAGCGCTTGCTAGAGATTCTTGCCAGGCGCCGTGTTTTCTACTTATCTCAGAGGAAGAAAGCAGTGCCGCAATCTCCCTGTGGCGGATGTCTCTTGGCGTCACACGCAGCGAGCTTTGGAGCTGGGCATTGCTACTCAGAACGCTAAATAGAGTTTCTCGACAGGACATAATCAGCCTGACATCATCAAACCTGGCACTGAATTAGCACACAAATTGTGGTATGGGAGATTGAGGTACTGACTGGCCATTCTGCATCCAACCCAGACGAGACTGCATTTGAGTCCACGCGTCTGCCAACTGATCTGGGTCTGATGCAGTGACAACATCGTCTACTTCTGTGAGAACCGCCAGTGTTCTAAGCGAAGCTTTAATGGCACTCGAAGAGTTCTCACGGCCAACAAGGTTCCCTATTGTTACTAATAACTGACCATCGATGGCTGCACGAGCACTGGCAGAGTCTGACGAATAATGGAGGCCTTGGAAAGCTTTGAAGATGGTACTGGCCTCCGAATGATTGGTCTGAGGGGCCCGTATGTCCCATTGCTCAAGCTTTCGTGCCGTATGCAGAGTGCTGTTGACCACCTCTGGACCCGTATTGTGAAATGTTTCGTTTGACAGCAAATGGTGTGTGACGCTATTCAGGTTAAGCGTGATGAACGATTTGATCATCCCGCGCGAGTCCGCCGGATCGACGGAGGTCATTTGCCGCATTTGGCTATCCATGAGGGCGCCACGAAAGAGTAGGCTCTTGATACCATTGTTTTCGTAATCCAACCTGTCCAGTATAGACGGCAGACTTGGCTCTCTTTCAACTCCGTAGAACGAATCAGGCTCGTCTAGATTCCTGTAAATTGCAAACTGGAGCTCTGTTGGTATGCTCGATTGTGGCACTGTAGACGATCGCCGAGAGCTACGCACGGGTGGAGCAGAATGGGTCTCTGCAAAAAGCAAAGCACTCTTGTACATGCCGCATGCTGTGGCGGCTTCTGCAGCCTTGAGATAGTTGATGTCGAGCCACCGATCACGATCTTCGCGGGTAACCTCATGCGGTACGGGCTGAGTGCGTAGATAGAGGATTCCTCGTATCAGAATCTTAATGTAGGGCACAGTGGCCTGACTGCGGCCCTCGAACCAAGATAAACATGCTCTCGAAATTGCGTCACGAACACTACGCTGCCCATCGAATTCCTGGTGAAGTACTAGATGAAGGATAAATGGGAAGAGCTTTTCTGGATAGCCTTCTATGCCCTGGAGAATGTCCGACAAGGAACTGAGGAGAGAATCTTGCGAGGCAATCTCACACAAGTTGACTGTGAGATCTCGAATCCACAAGGAAACTGTTTTCTCCGGCGTTGGGCGCGCCATGATTTTGACGGTTGAAAGAGGGTCATTTTGACGAATTGGATATGTGTACAACAATGGTAGGGTCAGTGCGGTGGAGATGTATTCAGACAGAGTCTGGGGAAGAATCTGGTCGAGTTCCGCCTGCTGCTCAGCTGTCTTAGCCTTGGTGAGAGTAAGTCGAATTGTTCTTTCCGCAAGGCCCATCTCCTTGCGGTCATCACTCCAGAGAAGCTCTGCAAGCGAGTGGAAGATGGCAGCTCTCGAGCTACGAAACCTATACTTCCGTAGCGTGTAAGATCCGTTGCGTTCGATACTTGCAACTCGTAAGCCCCGTTCGAGTTCTCCATGGGCGCCGAACGCACGTCCAAGCACTCTTGCGGCCCAGATAAGGTAGCCTTCGCCCACACCAGCACGCTGGCAAGATTGCCACACTTGAGGCGCAAAGCGGGCTGCTTTCTCGTCGGTGCCCATGATGTCATCTTGCATAGACTTTGGAGGTTGGAAATTTTGACACAGAAGATTGAAAGCGATTTCGCGAGATGGGGCGCTTAGAAGGGATCTCTCGCTACGTTCATCGTCCAGTAGTTCCCGCAAAAGCCTGCTCTCAGCGGTTCCGGCAATAGCATTTCCTTCAATACGCGTTTGTGAAGCGGCGCGGATGATGGACTTGAATGCCTTGAGGAGAGATTTGCTGCCTTGAGTGGATGCCGAGTATGACTCGAGATACGCAGTGAACCACGAATGGAATGACTTGGCTCTGTCCATAGTCGCTTGGTACTGGCTTTCTTGGGTTGTACTTTCCTGTGTTGAACCCAAGAAAACCCGGATCGATGTAAGAATTGAGAGCCCAATGCCGGTGATGAAGGACAATTGCGAGGACAAGAAGGGTCTCCCATGCTCGAAGAGATACTGCATGACTCCTAGGGTATCTTCAGCGCATTGGCTGTCTGTGAGGAAGGGCCGCAAGGATTGCAAAGTCATTTGCAAAGGATACCCGTCCAAAGCAATGGGGCCAGCTAAGCCGACTAATACCCGGATTTTCCGAATGATGGAACATGCGTGTAAAGAGCCCAAAGCTGGATGAATTCGATCAAGAAGCATCCTCATCACGAAGACAAATATTTCGGCGGTCCAGAAACTCACAGGATCCATACTCGTTCTACGGCACAAGCGTTCTATTTGATCGCTCAAATACTTAGCAGTAAATGATGGTGCTATGCCTTCGGGTAGATCTTGACTTGAATGACTCGTGGTCTTGATTTCTTTCAACGCATTGGAAGTATTGACATATGGGGGACGCTTTGCAAGGCGTTTTTCAAGAAGATCTTCGTTGTCCATACTGTATATGACGATTCCAAGAATGCGAGGAAAGTGCCAATGAAAGAGCTGCGAGTACTGTTCGGGCTCAAGAAGCGTCTTAAGGCGCGCATCGTTGCTTGGCGTTTTGTTTTTCCCGTTACGGCTGCAAGTATCCCACGAAATGCTGTAGGCGGCTGCTTTCGCAAAGTTCCTCTTCAACCCTTCTTGAACTGGTTGTTTCGAAAGCTTCGCTAGGTATTCCAACTCATCTTCCTTTGCGAACATCATTGCTTGGCCAAATGCTTCGTCTTCGACATCTTCAATAAGATCTAGAAGGGTGCTGTAGTCGAAAGCAAGGAAAGGTATATCCGCGAACTTCTTTCCGGTTTTCAGCCAGCTGTATATGATTTGTGGTGCAAATATCCGAAAGAGTTCTTGCGAACTTCCCAGCTTTATGGATTCCGACACATTGCTTATGCAGTGCGTTGCATGTGCCATGGCGCAATCAAAGAAGCCTGCCGTCTCGAATATGAGATAAACGCATCTACGTAGAAGCGTATGCCAACTTGAACCTAGGCGAGACAGAACCAGCAAACGAATGGCAATGTCTTCTGGACGATCTCGATTGGGTAGGCTCTCGTGAATATCGGCGAATACCGAGTCATGCGTTGCTAGGACAAAATTGTTGAACATGTCAGGTAGACATTGTGCGATATGGTATTGGACCGGAATGTCTGAGTAGGCGAGTAACGTGAAGAGACTGGTGCGTACAGATGGCAGGGAGAGGCTTTGCGCAAATTCGGGCTGTGATCTTGACAAACAGAGACACAAATTGGAAACCCCTATTTGCAGGTTAGTCGACTTTGCCCAGCCATAAGCCTCATATCCACCTAGAAACCATTCATAGAAGTCTTGTCCGGTTGCGTAGAGAACCTGTGTCTCTGGATCTTTCGACCCTCCGTCCGTCCACAAGGCTTCAGTGCCGATCAATAATTCCAAGAGCATGCCTTCGGCGACTTCTGAAGTCTGGTACTCATTTTGACGCATGACTTCGTCTCCAATGTGATCGAGCAGCGACTGACAAGTTGCTTTTTGTAGCCTTCCAGGACCCGAGATCAGCGCACTTACGAACTGTCGGCAGTGAAGGAGCTCTGCCGCAGATATGGATGTAAGATGGCTCACGAATCCGGATGGTACAATGTTGTAGGCTTCTTTATCGACTGGAGACTTGACGACGCAAGCAATTAGACTCAAGTAGGCGGAACATGATGACCGAAGAGATTCTAGGCTCGTACTAGCAGCGAGATCATACCGGGACACACGCCGGTCCCGAGGCAAAGTTTCGTCTGTCATTTGAGAATCCGGTCCATCGTCAATGTCCATAAAGTCGATGTCTTCGGTATAAAAGGATTCCATCAAAACTCTTTGGGTTTCCAAGGCCTTCGACATGTGGATAGCAAAAGCGCAGATTCCGGATTCGCGAAAATACTTGGGATCCAGAGATTTGATTTGGCTAATGTCAGGTGCGGATTGAGCAAACACGTGAAGGACTGTATCCAGCTTATATTTGTCATCCAAGCGACGAGAGAAGAGGCTACTGAAGCTGCGAAACAAGGCTTCTAGCACCGTCTCCAGCTTTTGTATTCGTCGAATCTGCGAAGGGCTTCCAGCATAACATAAAGCGGAACATACGAACCCCAGCGTGGCAACTATTCGAAGCATATTTTGGGTGATACTCTGGGGGGATTCTATTGTCCACGGTTTCCATTTTTGTTGAGTTTTTTCCAACTCTGAGACCAGGAAGTCGAACACTCTTGCTTCTGTCATCAGCAAATGATTGGTAGGTTGAGATGTGTTGACATCTGAAGTAAAAGACTCTACGTCTAAACTTGTTTGAAATGGGAGACTCTCGTCGAAAAGCAGTAGATAATTGGTGAGCTCACGACAAGACTGTGCGTGAAGCCATGCTGTACCGATGGGTTTCAAGACGGCGAATGATGACCCACTGGCTGGGAGCGAGGGTCGGTCGAGGCACGCCGCAATTAGTCGGAGAACGTCTCGAGAATTGCAATAGAGGGAATTAGGTTCAGCGTATGATCTTTCTGAAAAGAGGTCTATGCAATTGTGAGTATGAAGTAAGGTCTACGACAGAACGAGACAACATACTGGGCGTCCATTTGGAATACAACCATTGTAATATACGCTCTGACGTTTCATTAAACAGCGTCGGGTTTCCCTCCGTCCGTCCACGGAGAAGAGCGGTCCATAAAGACGAGCTAGACTCGGTGAGCAGTGATGGCCCATTGAGCTCAACAGACGACAGCACTCTTTCGACGACCTCGGAGATGGATTCATATGATACAAGCCCGAGTCTGAGGACCACGTTCATTAGATGGCACGCAGCTCGAGAAGAAGAATCGGACGTGATGGTGCGAGCAGCGGTCTGCCAAATAGATTCCCATTGAGCTGTAAACTTGGAAGACTTTGATGATGTTTGAAATGCCGTCCTGGTAACAAATTGAGTCAGCTCACATCAGCCTAATTGTAGGATAAGGAAAACTTACGCTGTGAGCCCAATCAATGCCCAGGCAGACACACCGGGCGTATCGTGAGTTATCAAAGGATTGAGTGTCTCAAGAACCTGAAGCAAATCCTCGTCGTCTAGTGGTCCTTCTTGTACCATGAAAGAAATCACCTGCAGAGCAGCGGCTCTAGTGTCCTCGGTCTTAGTAGCTGTTTGCAATCGACGATCAGATGCTTCGCGCAAGTACTCGTGAAGGCGGTGCTCAACACGAGATCTTTTTGCGACAATGTCATTGTCATGCTCACGCTTGATAGCGTTACGATTCTGTTGGGAATCGAGCATGGACGCAAAGTGGGATATGTAGAAGGCATGCATCCAAGAGGTACAGGCGTCAGACTTCAAGAACTCATGCTCGCTGTGCAGCGAGTAAGCAAGTGTACCAATTGGGAATCTTGCTCCGACAGGTCTCCCTGCATGCCGAAAACAGAGCACTTCATGCGCTAATTTGAACTTTTTGTAGTCTGCTTGCATCGTCTCTAAGAGCGATGTAAGATCAAGTTTGAATGATTCATCATCGTCCGACCGGATCATGGCTGAAATATAAGCGTCAGTGTAGATTAGCATGATCAATAGCTCCTCTCTTATTTCTTTCAGGGACCAAAAAGACTTGAGCAGTGGCATCAAACGCCGAACCGCCGACTTGGTGAACTCTCCAGAGTCTAGCGTACTTAATTTGAGGAGAGAATTGATCAGTTGGAAGCCACACTTGGTGTCTACATTTCGCGTTTCGAGACATTTGATTGCCGCAGAGAGAATATGCTCTGACCTGTCCTTGTCGAAAACGGGGGCATTTGATGCACCCACTATATGTGCCAAGGCCCATAGAAATGCGTTCGCGGATTCTTTGAAATCCAATTTCGATTCCTCGTCTAATACTTTTGGCGTAGCGACGCTCGAAGATTTGTACAAAGATTCACTAGCGGATCTTATTGATTGCCCATTGGAATGAGCACTGCCTCCAGTCTGCCTCTCTACTATGAGAGGAAGGAGATCAGTGCATAGGTCTAGTGCAGTATTTCTGTCTTGTTCCGACAGCCGTTCCACGATTGTACTGGATGCAACGAGTACCCGCAAGATCTGAGGATACTCCGGCAGCAACGGCGCAATGAAGCCCTCGCTTCCTGACCGGACCGTCTGGTCGATATGGGTTATGAGGTCGCTGACTCGGGTACCTGAAATGCGAGACAGGCTGTGGCTGACAACAAGGCGAAGCGCTTTCGAGCGCAGCCTCAATCGCGACTTCGCTGCAGTTGTGCTCGACTTGCCGCGCAGGAAGAGCGGCCGGTCGTCAACCACACGGCTCGCGATATCGTCGAGTAGGTCTCCAAATTCTTTAAGCTCCAGCGCACTCAGCTCCGACCTCAAGCGGGAGTAGTTGTCTCTCGTGAGTTTCTCGACCGCTTTATTCACGTCGACGACTGCAGTAGCAAACAGACCTGGACACGTTAGATTGAGCGGGTAATTGGCTGTCTAGAAGGCTACCTTTCGGACCTAGCGGGTGGTCGACTTCGGCCATGCTGGTTTGCATTGTGGGTGTGGTTGGAGGCGGCGGAGAAGTTCCACGCCAACGGATGAGGTTGTAGGACGGGGAGTGTCATATCGGGAGCTTCGATGCAGCGCCCTAGATATTGAGCATGGCGCGTGCTGTAGGACGTCTAGTTATGTAGCGACAGAGCTTCATTCACCGGAAGAGCTGGCGTTAACTGCGTGGGCGAGGTCGAGTTCAGACGGAAGAGAAGCTGGGCTGGGCACGCTGGGGTCCAAAAGATCGGCCGAAGTATCTCCGCGCTAGCGCGTCTTCTTGCTCCGCGTCAAACAGCGAATTCTAGAGGAAACCGAGCTGCAAACACAGCTTCCCGCTCACCTCCACGCCCACATCCCGCGTCGCCGCAGTATGCCCACACTCGTCGCGCCATTCTGCTGCTATGGGTGATTCAGACAGCCTCGAGGGCCTTCAGGGCTTGCACCAGGATCTGCTCGCCCTGGCAGAGTCTGGTGTCCTTGTCGTCGACAGACTCAAAGATCAATTGGATCGCAGGATTCATGAGTTCAAGACTCTGCTGGATAAACCGGAGAAAAATGCCGCAAGCCGCACCACCCTGACTTCTGGTACGCGCAGCTAGACTCACTAGGACTACAGCGGGCTGACCCTGTGCTCTTTAGGTAGGATTACCATCGACGACGAGGAATACGAAATCAACGAAGATTTCAAGCAACAAACCATACAGCTAGCGGACAGCTTGAACCTGGACGAGCTGAAGTCCGCGGCCCTTTTCCATACGGCGCAGCAAGGCGCGCAGGATTTCGACCGGACCCCCCTCATGACCGCAATACTCCAATTCCAGAACCGCAGACAGTTCCTGCTCGAATGCTTGCGGGTCATTATTCGTCTCTCCATACGGGAGAGCGAGGAAGCCAATGCGCAACCCAGATTGATCGACTTTGGGGACTATGTACGGGAAATCGTAGGCGCCACAGACACAAGCAACGCCAATGCACATGCGTACTGGGGGAAGTGCTTGGCGAGCTTGAACGACATGGAACTGTGGTTACAACAGCTGGCAGAACGGGAGCAGAGTGCCCAGGTCGTGGGCCAAATACCTTCTTCGGAGGCCGTGGAGACAAACGAGTTTCAACGAAAGAGCTTGATCAAGCAACACGAGTCGCTGAGCGCCATCTGCACGGACCTCATCAAACCATACGCAAACCTCGAAAATTTCCGGTCGCTGTTGCGCAAGATAAAACGTCTGGACAAGCATGACCTTGTTACCATCCATTACGTTCCGATTCTCATATGCTTCATAAACTACCTGAACCCGGACTCTGGACCTTGCACTGCCGCTGAAGCAAGGAGTCTCACTAAGGAAATTGTGAGCAAAGACGGCGATCCTTGGGGCTTGCGGAACCTGCAGGCCGCAACAATAGTATGGTGGTTAGCCGAATATAGTGGCAGATACATTGAGTCCAATGCCGATGACCCTGTGCAGCGAGCCGCTGATCCCCGAGCTGAAGCAGAAGAACGCTCAGCCCAGTTCATGGATGCCCTCAAAGATGGTGCATTCCACTTTATGCTCTCCATAAGTCAGGATATCAAGCCTAGCAAATGGTACGATCCAGCCAAAGCCGGGTTAGTTTCGCATCTGATCCACGAAACACATATCCTCCCGTCAGACACCTCGCCTCAGCCCTTGGAGTTTTTCAAGACTCTTCTTATGGAACAGATGCAGTCTTTTGTGGAAGCTTTCATCACCAATATGCCGGACACTCTACGAAAGCTAAAATCCGAGGAGGACGAACAACGAAAGCTGCTGCACTCTCGATTTCAACGCGGGCCTGCGGAGTATGAACTCCACCTGGAGCGTTTCCTAATCATTATCGGATATGCCTTTGATGGATTTCCTGAGGAAGCGGACCAGCTATTCTGGTCTGATCCCGAAGGAAATCTGTTCGGCTTTTTACAGTGGGCAGCAAAACGCCAGCCGACACCCCGTATTGCTGCGTTTTGTGAGACGCTAAAATCGCTGTCAAATGGACCTGAATGCGCCGATGCCGCTCATAAGTTTCTTCTAGATGAAGGTGGTTCGTCGTCGGGGAAGATCCGGCGGACAAGTTCTTTGAGCTATACGCACATCTTCAACGAACTTTACGAACTTGGCTTGAACATTCACGAGCCAAGGAAGACGACACAAGGCACGCTTTTTCCGACCGCTCAAAACCCGGTTGACCAGATCGTGGAACCGGAAAGTGCGATGATGCTCGAAAGCTATCTCCGTCTACTCGGTCATCTGTGTCGCGAAAGCAAGCAGACCAGAGATTGGATGATCAATCACAACAGCATCGATGTCAAGGGCCTCTACTTAAAACTGTGCGTGGACAAAGTTGAAAGTCGCCTCCGAGCTTCCGTGTTCAGTGCTCTGGCGGCGTTGCTCACCGACAAGACTCCGGCTATCGCAACAGTCATGTGGAACGACCTCGACAAATGGACAGCAAGCGGTTTTATTGTCGATGCGCGGCAAAGCACTATAGCTAACGCAACTTCGTTACAGAATCTTTGGGAAGTCCTTGCAAGTGGATATGACGAATCGTATGCCCTTGTCGAGCTCCTTCGTGCCTTGGTCCAACCCTACTCCTTCAACGAACTTCGCGACACTCTTCCGTTTCCAGAGACTCTCGGCTCTACTCATAGACCCCAGGCTGGTATTGATACGTATGTCGATTTTGTGGTTGGCCGTGTCTTTGGCGTCAAATGTGGCGAATTGCCAGACGGCCTGCAACGACAAGTCCTCAGATGGAACTGTCTAAACTTCATCATCACTTCTCTCGACTCTTTCAACGAGGATCTAGTGATTTTCGCCAACAAATCGAACATTGGCGTTGATGCAGTTATACACGCGTCGTCGCTACAGAAATATGTTGAACTCCATCCCTTCACTCGAGTGATGGACTGGCTGTTCAACGAGAAGGTGCTGAAGGAGCTTTTCTCGACTGCGATCCAGAATGAGAGTGCTGTGGATGATGCAGCTGAAGATTCCCCGCTAGTTCTGTCTTTAATGCTCAGCATCAAGACCATGGATCTTCTTCTTACTCGTCAGGCTACATATCTCGATATTGTCCGACCGCTGGTTAAACTAAGCTCATCTCAACACCGAAAATCAGTCTCCAATCCAGTCATGGCTTCTTTTGAAGATGCGGTACTTAGCTCTCTCGATATTGTGACTAAATTAGGGTTCTATTGCGGCTCCGGGCACACAGAACTCGCAATTGTCTCATTAAGACTTTTGGAGAAACTTGCTTCCTCGCGCAAGCTCGTAGTCTCTCCTACTGCAGGGTTTGGGCAGCGATCGAGTCGCAGCAAGGTCGTCGGAATCATGGAGAAGGACAACAATGCCGAACGAATCTCAAGATCACTGGTCGATGTGATGAAACGAGATGGAAGAGAATTAGAGGCACAGTCAGAGGCGCCTGGTTACGTTATCAAAAACCATATTCTCGACTTCCTCAACACTTGTCTAGTCACTGTTCCAAACCGTCCTACGATTGCGCACCTTTTACTGGGATTTTCTTGCGGCAATAACCATGTTAGCATAACGCCTGGGAGCCTCTGGGACGATCACATTTCGCTGTTCCATGCAATTCTGCGTTTGGCGGTTGAATATCCAGATAATGACGGAGACCAGTATGTCACTTGGATGTCAACTCTAAAACGCAAATGCCTGGAAGTTCTCAACAAGCTATGGAAGTCGCCTCTCACGAGTGAGCTTGTTATGGAAGAACTACGAGACTTTGATTTTGCTTTCGCAGAAGCTATATCGCTTCAGACAGTGGACGCGAACACATTGTGGGATGGAGAGACGATTGATAGCGTCGACTTCCTCCTTGCAGGCCTTGGCAGTTCCGCGGTTGCATTTCAAAATTTCCTCCGCCAGAGATCCTTGTTTTGCGAGTACACTGCTAAGGAACTCCGGTTTAACGATCGCGCTGGAATGCCTACACAAAAGGCTCGCGTTCAGTCAAGTCTTTTGGGAATAACGGTATTTCCCGGCGGAGATCAGCAGCAGAACCCTACCATCTTCGACATCTTCGACTTTATGGAGCTGGAGGTCAACGAAGCATACACCCCACCTCCGCTAGTTTTCCTGGACGGTCTCGATCTGGACGTTTGCAGAAAAGACGAAGAGGGACTAGAAATTTACGACCTTGACCATGTTGGAGAATACATTCGTCTCCGATGTAACGAGTTGATTCAGAGTGGCGTAATTGACAACACTTCCAACGACCAAACGGTGTCGCACGGCAACGAAGTGAGGCAAGGCGGCACTGTTAGCGCTTCTAACAGGAAGCAAGAACTGGACGCAGAAATAGGGGACATTCTATCATGCCTACTCAGCAATAATGAGCGCGCTAGGATCGTCCGTTTGCAAGAGGAGGCCCTCAAGGCATGGGCTCAGCTGACAACAGTAACTCTTCAGAGCTGCGATTTCGAGCCCGGCGTCCGCATAGCTTTCATCCTACAGACCTTACAAGTGATACTGCCAAAGCTCGAGAAGTCGTATGAAGATTCCTCAGACACGGCGGTGGAGTTGTCCGGTCTAGCTGGGGCTTTGATACAGAGCATTGACTTTGACTCAACTACTTTTGAGAAAACACAGACGGGAGATTTTGCGAACGACAGGTTGTCCCAACTGTTTCGAATATCACTCGTTGGAGTATTGGGCGCTGGTAGCACTGCGGAGCTTCGGCAAGCCTGTTACCACATTTCCTACCGATACCTTCGAGGAGCATCTAAAAAGTCAACAAAAGGATCTCCGCTAGGACGGCATACTCTTTCTATTGTCAAGAATTCCGGCGATCGTCTGATCGAAATCCTTTGCGATGACGCCTACGCAGGCACAGGGACCTGCAAGGTTTCCGCGCTCTTGTTCCTTGATGCCCTTGTTGCGATGTGCATTCGGGAAGGGTCCAAGTACATGACGGAAGCTTTCGTACGGTTGAACTTTGTCAGTGTGCTGGTCGACCACATCAAGCACATTCCAGCGGAATTGAAGGCCGCCAATGTACAAGGTGCGTATTGCATCAATTCTTGTAACGCGATAGCTAACCGTCTCGTAGAAGTACCTGTTTTCCTGTCTTATTATGACGCCAGCCTTGCACTCCTAGCCAGGATAAGCCAAACGAAACTAGGTGCAGCGCAAGTCCTCAACGCAGGTCTCTTTCAGTCTGTTCAGGAGTCCCAGATATTCTCCGCGGATCCAGATATCGGTCTTGGTAAGCACCACTGAATGAATTTATATACCTCCTCGCTAACTTTTCCCATAGAGTTCGAAAACCCGAATGCCCTCAAGAAATACTTCGATCTGATGCTGTCGGTTCTCCGGATTATCAACGCGGCGGTCCTTTCGCGAGGTCCTCAGAACGACCAGACGCTCTTCCAGGCGCGAGAGTTCCTCCGGGAAAATAGAAATAGCATGGTAGCGGTGTTCAAGCGGAACGTAAAGGTGGGAGGCCTACAAGACGTGGATACTGACTTGAGCGACCTCGTCGATTGCTTCACGGTCCTTGTTAGTGCAACGAGGTTCCTAGAGGTAAGACATCACGACCTTTTAATTTGACTGAGTGCTAACCTGATGCTTTTCAAGTATGAAAATAAGACGACGTCGCAGCGAGCGACGCGAAACTTGTTTTCCTAGCTGCATTTTGGGTTTCAGAAATCTACGAGCGAAAAGTCTTGGTTTTCAAAATCTTGGGCTAGATCCAAGGGGCTATGTGTACCCTTCGGCGGCATTGCTATTCACTCCGCGGAAATGGATCGGAGCGTTGCCAAGCGTTGAGGAGGCGTCGGGACTCAATACGAAGAATCGCTGATTTTATTCGTCTTGGCGTACACCTGACAGCTGCACCTGGGCGTGCATGTTACTGCTGATTGACTGACTCCATCCACCTACAGCCCGTTGTACTCACAGTCTTTGTTCAGTCTCCGCCTTCTCCACGGAAACTGACTTCAGCCATGATTTTCAATTGTCTAGGCATTGCATTTCTCATTCTCAGTCAGCACATCAAGCATTGAAATATACCTTTATAGCGTACTGCCTGTGCAGGTTCGTCATCTCCGGCTTCATCGCTGTCGAACATGCAGCGATTCGACTCGTCCGCCCTTGAAGCGTCCGCGAGCACGCCTGTGACCTTGGTTGTGCAGTACGTGACGTGTCAGAGCACGCCTTAGTCTTGTCGTATATAAACTTCTCTCGACTTCTCTTATCCTCCAAATCCCATCGACCATCAAGTCTTACCGGTCTTCATATCCCACCCTTTAACTGTTGAACTTCAAAATCCAAACATTACCCGTCGTCCCAAAATGTCTTCTTCACCCGTCCCCAAAACCCAACCCACCATCCTTTTCAACACCACCTCCTCCACCCTCTCCCTCGGCCCCGCCTTCCCAGTCCCCATCTCACCACCAACTGAGCACCTCATTCGCGTTCACGCCACGGCCATCACCAACGGCGAACTCACTTGGGGCCTCTTTGTGGACTGGCCCTTCCTTCACGTCCCCACCTTCGACGTCGCCGGCACCACTCTCACGCCTGTTGAAGGATCACCTTTCAAAGTCGGCGACGAGATCTACGGCCGCGTGACAGCTGCCCGCGAGGGCTGTGCTCGGGAGTACGCCACGATTACTCCTTCCGAAGCGGCGCTGAGACCGCAGGATCTAAGCGATGTCGACGCAGCAACAGTGCCGATGAGCGCTGAGACGGCGTGGCAGGCGCTGTTCGAGCACGGGGAGCTAGCGGCACCGCAAGCTGATGGGAGCAAGGTCGCGGCGAACGCTGGGAAGAGAGTGCTGATCCTGGCAGCGAGCGGGGGAGTCGGGCTCTGGGCTGTGCATTTCGCGCGGCTAGCGGGTGCTCATGTTGTCGGGACGTGTAGTGAGAAGAACGCGGAGTTTGTGCTCGGGCTGGGTGCGGATGAGGTGGTTGATTATACGAAGACGAGTTTAGAGGCGTGGGCTAGGGCTAAGGAGGGAAGGAAGTTCGATGTTGTTTTCGACTGTGCGGGAAGCAGGTCGATGGAGGATGCGTGGACGGTGGTGAGGGAAGGGGCGCGGTTTGTGAGTATTGTACCGGGGTATAAGGAGCCAGATGGTGGACCGCCGAGGGGAGTGAAGGGGCTATTTTTCGTTATGGAGTCGAGGGGAGCGGAGTTGGCTGTTATTTCGGGGCTTTGGGAGAGAGGACTGTGCAAAACGGTGGTGGATAGTGTGTGGAGGTTGGAGGAGTATGAGAAGGCGTTTGCGAAGACGGCGTCTGGTCATGCGAGGGGAAAAGTGGTGATAAGAATTGGCACATGAGGGATGTTGGAAAAGTATTAGTCTAATCGCGTCTAGTTTACCTCTTCTAATGCAGTATGAATCTAAACGTAGCAGACGTGGTCTCGAAAAGTTGGGATATTTTAAATGAAAAGCTTCCGTCTCATTTAGACTTTTGAGATTACCATGGGGCAACTCAAGTAGCAGGAAGGAAAATAACATACACATAAGGACCAGAAGAGATAAAAGAATCAGCGGCGTAGTTTCGACGAGTTGGTTCGTATTCGCTAGCTTGCACATCACTCCTGCGCGGTCGCAATAGGCTAAAAAATGGCCAGAAAGTATTTTCCGTATGCGGAAACGCTATAGCTTGCATTTTAGAGTAGATGCGCCCGTGGTTTAGTGCGAAATTGATCAGTGGTAGATGCGCAAGACTCCTGATAGTCTGCATACCATTTCACATCATGATAATGATGGAAGCAAATAGTGCGGCAATAGAGAAGCCATCAAACTCCATAGACATGTCGTCGATGCTCATGCACCATGCCAGGAGGACGATCAGCGGCAATACCATGAGAGAAGTCTGCATGCACCTCTCCAGCGTAAGAGCTGTGCTGATATCCATCTTGTCGCGGACTGCCATCTTAACAAATGAAGGATCGTTACTCAGAATCGGGAGGATGACTAGGCCGACGAAATTATACGATAGTCCAGCGTGTTATAGGAGCCCTTACAGGCTATCGGTGGCAAATTGGGTATTGAACGCAATGAGAACAACACAGGCGACCAAAGTAACAATTCCGCCGGCGAGACTCAGACTGAAATACACAGCGTCGTCGTTATCATCTAGGCTTGAATCAAAGAGTTGGTCTTTGTTAACAGAACCACCGACCGCGGCGGCAGTTCCGGCACCGATCTGAGCAATTCCTTTCTGCGCGGCGCCTCTGTCAATAGTTCCAAGTGGTTTCTTCGCTTTCGAAATTGGTCTCGACGGCTCATTGAACATCGATCGGTTAGTCTTGAGCTGAAAAATGAGCCATAAAGCGTAAGATATCAAGATCACTACGCAAGTTCCACGGGACTGAGCTTGGGTTTCAGCTGGGCTTATCTTAGTCATGAGATGCGAGGCAGTCGGGACTAGGATACTCAAGACCGCAAGCAGGAGGAGAATGCTGATTGTTTGAGCTGCAAGGGGGTTCAAGTACTGTTCAAGGCAGCCGATTCCGCTTAACGAGAACCCCAATCCTGTCATCAAAAGCAGGTTCGATAGAACACTGCCTAACAGTGAAGTCTGGAGGATTATGATTTGCCGGCTCTTGAGCAAGAAAACTAAAATTATCAGCTGGACTGTGTTGTTGTGAAAATATCAGTCTATGTTCCTAATGTCGGAAGTAGCGAAGGTCAAACCTGAAGGTCATGCTTAGCAGTCCTCCGAATGTGTCCCCAAGTCGAAGGACGAGCTCGTCTATGGCAAAAGAAAGCATGGCCCCAGAGGGACTTATGGCAATGAAGTTGATAGCAAAAGTAGTCGGCGAGCTGGTATTGAGTTATTTCACAATAATCCGGCTGGGACGAATGCTAGTAGTACGTTGATCCAAGCTCCGAAAACGACAGCTCGAACTTGAGCCATGATGGGTATCTTTCTAGTCAGACCTTGATACTGTGTGAAGTTTGGGATTCGTCTCTTCAGATAGAACCACTCTGCGGCTAGCCGTATATCAGATTCATCATGGAGTTATTTCGATGCTTGGTCTTCTCGACTGAATATATTCTGGAAAGAGACTCTTGGATGGTGCCTAGGTGTCACGGAGACATCCTTCCCTCCATGTGTTTGTTCCATGGCCCTTTTATTGTCCACTACCGAATTTTGTTTCGCCTGGGAAGCACTAGGAGGAACTTGGAGGAGCTGCGAAGCAGGAATGGATATATCCGGCATGGTGTTGGCTCGGCAAACAGTACCCAGTGCACTCTCTAGACGAGGGTCTTGCCAAGGGATTATTGCGCATCGCTACCATGTGGGCCAGAACAGGCAACCTTGCAGGGTTCTCGAAAAAGGAATTTTGAGTGTTAGACTACATCGTAGGCACCTAGGTTAAATTCGCGGTAGTAGATTTAATAATGAAAGTAGTTGAAATCCCGAACAGTCGAAGAGCTGAATTTCATTGATTTCTAGGTAGTTCATGATTGGACGCAAACATTTGGATATCCTCATGGACCGGCAGCAATGCTGAGTTTTCGCAAATGGATAGAAGGCTGAGAGGTGCATTATGCAGTGATTTAAAGAAAAGATTAGCAAGATGTTGAATTTGATACTTGACACTTGATAGCTCCATTGAGAAGTGTCCTGAAACGCATTCATGAGTCAACAACTACGTAGCTTGACACCACACCTGGCAGAGAGAGGCAGGCAAAGACTTGAGTAGTTGTATTGACTGAATGAGAGAGGAGAAGAAAGGATGAGGTTCTAATAAAGTGCCCCGCCATCGCGCTTTGATCACTCAGCGACTGTCACCCTTCGTCATCGCCCTTTGAACAACTTCAACCCTCAATTGAATCCACGTTCTTTCTCTACCCTTATTCTTAACATGACAGACCATAATACTGAGCCCGAAACCCCCGAGATTGTGGGCGCGGACCAGGTAGTCATATAGAGCCAAGCACCGTATCCACAAGACTAACATCCATCATGAGGGCGGCAACCTGAGCGAGTATGCAGACCTCGAAGAGCTCACCCAAGAGCTGTCCGCGAGTGACTCGGAGGTCCAAAAAGCGCTTGAGGTCTGTAAACTCTGTCCATATCTTTTCACAGTGCTAACGAGCTTGTGTAGGTAGTATTTCAAGCCTCCGACGCGCATCGCCGAAAGTCCTCCCTTGTGCCCACAGAGGCGCAACGACCTGCAAACCTACGACGGCGTACGCAATGCTTCGTACATCAGTTATTAAAGAACCAAGAGGGTCTGCATGTCGGCAGCCCCAATGGCAGCTATGTCGGGCTCGCGCAGGAAATGAAGATGGACAAAGACCCAACTCCGTGGCATGAGGGCCGACACGACTCCCGGCTTCTCACAAAGAAGCAGATATCCGACATGGCGTTTGGGATAAGGGAACTGGCGAAGAAGCTTTCGCATATACAGTTGAAGATGAATGTGCAGAATGTCTTCATTTTGGCCAAAGCGCATGACGAGACGCTGATACATAATACGCGGGAGGTGGCAGAATGGTTGCTGACGAAAGATGGTAGCTACAAGGTGTATGTATTAAGGCGTTGGGTCATACGTAGAGGCGTCGCTCATCACACGGACCAGATATGTCGAAAAAACCCTAGAACACAACACTATATTCGATGCAGAAGGGCTGCTTGGTTCACACCCTGCCTTTAAAGGTCGGCTAAAGTTCTGGACGAACAAGTTGTGCGCCGAAAAGCCTCAGACCTTCGACATAGTCCTCGCTGTAAGCTTCACGTTGCCTTAGTTAGTACAGATATTGACAGTGTCTAGCTTGGAGGAGACGGCACCGTTCTATACGCCAGCTGGTTATTCCAACGAGTCGTACCACCCGTACTTGCCTTCTCCCTCGGTTCTTTGGGGTTTCTGACCAAGTTCGACTATGAAGGGTATCCCCAAACGCTCACCAAGTCTTTCATGGACGGCATCACTGTCAGCCTCCGACTAAGGTTTGAAGCTACAGTAATGCGATCACAAAGGGGGCAAAATGGCAATGCCGAACGAGACTTAGTCGAGGAGCTCATTGGAGAAGAAAGCGAAGACAACCACACCCACAAGCCTGACGGCACTCATAACATCCTTAATGAGGTTGTGGTAGATCGAGGACCAAATCCAAGTATGCAACCCCACCCACGAAGTATGACCGTGCTAATATTAGTCTGTAGCGATGTCTACTATTGAGCTTTTCGGCGACGACGAACACTACACCAGTGTGCAAGCGGATGGTATGTGCATATCTACTCCAACAGGCTCCACAGCGTACAACCTCGCGGCTGGTGGGTCGCTATGCCATCCCGACAATCCCGTCATCCTAGTCACAGCGATATGTGCCCATACCCTCTCATTCCGACCCATCATTCTCCCGGACACCATAGTACTGCGAACGGGCGTGCCGTACGACGCTCGGACGAGCTCGTGGGCTAGCTTTGATGGGAGAGAGCGGTAAGACGTGCCCCAGCCTTGAAAGTAACACAATGCTGACCTCACCAGTGTTGAACTCCGACCTGGTGACTATGTGACGATATCAGCGTCCCGCTTCCCATTCCCTAGCGTGCTTCCTATAGAGCGGCGGAACAAGGATTGGATGGATAGCATTTCGAGAACCCTGAATTGGAATTCGAGACAGCGGCAGAAGAGCTACAAGGAGTGGAGTTGAGTTTTCTGGGCCGCGTGGGGTTTTAAACGTTTGGTTCGAAGATACATCAAGGGGTTGGATTGGGCTTGATTGAATACCATAGACACAGTCTGATGTCCAATTCTGTCTACCCTAAGAGTGTCACCATTTGAAGTCCTCCAACCATTATATCGCTCCATGAACACGGCGTTGCTGCGCATTTGATAATGAGCCAATCAAGCCCAACTAATCCTACTAGCTCCCATCCCAGCCAACCTCGCCTCTCCATCGAGGTGCACGTTATTTCCCCATCCCCATTAAGTCCTCCAAAACTATTCTGTAAATACAACTTCTAAGTTCTCGTATTCCTAGTCCACTTGATTACTCTATCGTAAACTCTTCTGGCGCCATGGGCCGCGCCGAGCCATCCGCCGGCATCGCCCCACAAGCTCACAGGAAAAACGTGCGAGCCAAGCTAGCAAAGGCCATTATCAACAAAACCATTCCAGCGATTACAAGTAAAAATGCAAGAGCGGCGAAAGGGGTAAACGAGTCGACGTTGGTCATAGATCCGCCAGCTGCGGGGCAAAGAGATGGATCGGGAAGGACGAAAGACACACGTGCTGGTGACTTTGAAGACTTGAAAGGAAAAGGAAAGAGTAAGATCAAGGCTAAAAGTAAGAGCAAGAGAAAGGGCAATGAGGTGGATTTCGAGGAAAAGGTGCAAGATCACGAGATACCTAAAGTAGTGAAAAGCTCGAAGGACAAGATTGAGCCTCAGCCGAGAGGAAAGATCAGAATCCGTATACTACCTACTGATACCCTGACTGCTGCTCTTCATATCTCCGCCCCGACGAAACCTAAAGATCATTTCCCGCACTCGAATGTCACAATTCTCAACATGGCTTCGCCCCTCCGACCAGGCGGGGGCATCCTGACAGGTGCAACTTCACAGGAGGAATTTCTCTGTGCGCGCACAACTCTCCTCCCCTCTCTGCACGAGCGCTTCTATCGTCTCCCCACCATCGGGGGTATCCTTTCACGTGACGTACTGGTCTTCCGCGGGGCAGGGGCTCTGGACACGCCTGAGCTGCCGGTGAAGGAGCGGTGGTGGGTTGATGTCGTGAGCGCGGGGATGTTGCGGTTTCCGGACGTGGCCGAGGAAGAGGTAGATGGAGAGATGGTGAAGCAGTATCTAAGCACGAAAGATAGGGAGACAGCGAAGAAGATGATTAGGGCAGTGATGCGGATGTGTGTGATGACTGGACGAAAGAAGGTGGTGTTGGGTGCGTGGGGTTGTGGAGCCTATGGGAATCCGGTTATGGAAGTTGCGAGGGCGTGGAGGGAGGTACTGCTAGGAGAGGGAGAGAGCTGGGAACCGGTCGAGGAGGTCGTGTTTGGGATTCTGGACAGGAAGATGGCCGGAGAGTTTGCGGTGTGGTTTGGGAAGGGGGTGGACGTCGAGGATGAGGAGGTGCCTAGGGTTAAGAAGAAATTGGATCAGGTTGACAGGGAAGATGAAGTTGATGAAGAAGAGGATCGGGAGGAGTTGAGGATCAAGATCAAGGAGATGGAGGATCGCATTGAGCGGGTCAAGGTTCCGCAGCTGAGGGCAACGCTGGAGGGAGTTTTGGATGGGATGAAAAAGCAGTTAGCTGATAGGGAGGGTGGCCATCCCAGTGAGCATAGCGAGACTGTTTCAAGCGATGGAGATAGCTCGCAGGAGGCGCTGGATCTCGAGGATGACGAGGAAGAGCTTGATGGCGAATCGGATGAGGATGAATGATATCCTAGCCGAACCTAATAATAATGACGCCTTGGTCTTAGGTACCTGAGGGAGTCTATTGCCTTTCGGAGTGATAATCTTCCACCTAATTCGAATTTCAAAGGCATGTTGAAGCACTGCAGGCAGCATTGTGAGAGAGAGAGAGTGCGAGCAACCACGTCATAAGTGAGTCTCGCTTCGTCTCCGCCTCCACATGGTTGCTTCACTGCTTTTAGTTTCTTCACCTCTGAAAGTGTCCTCTGATCCTCATCGCCTTTAACCCCCTCAACTACCCATCCACCGCCGTCCTCTCCGCCGCCGCAACTTCCCCATTCGTTAATCTCTCTTCACGTTCTCCTATGCTATGTCATCTACGTGAAATTCGGTAAATTCTCTCCTGCCAATTCGTTCTCTAGACACCTTGCGAAGCGCGGCTTGCCACCCTCCTCCTGCGCTTACACCACTTGATCTATTCCTCCTCCAGCACCAGTATAACAGGACGTGGGATTCAGGGCCAGGATGCCGTTACAACACATGGAACCCCGCAGGGTTGGTCAGCCACGCAGCTTACGCGTTGACCGCAGCTAGTTACAAGCTGGATTGGATTGCGAACTTTATTAGGCAGATAATGTATGCGGTTATCATCGCGCTGACAAGCACGTCGAAGGTGTTTTTGATATTGCGCGTCGGTATGCATGCGCCGTGCTGCGTATGGACTTGGGCGCGGATGCGAGGGTGGTGCGAAGAGCACTATATATGAGAGAGCGGACAATTTGAGGAGAGAAGTGGTCAACGGGACTGCAAAGGCGGTGGGACGAGCAAATGTTGCTCATCATGGAAGAGATGCTTCGTGAATGCGGTGTTTGCGAAAGGGGAACGACTATTCTGCAGGTTGCGACGGACTGGATGTAGCAGTAGCTAGTATTGAGTGAGCTGTTGTAACACTGGCTACTTGAGTAGAGGCTTGTCTGGTTATCCTTTAATCTTCAGAGACGACTCAGACATAGAGGTCGGAGGGGTAATTGGCCTAGAGTAGGTAATATACCGGAGCTATGTGCCTCTGCGAAAGCCTAGTGTGGCCACCACGTATCGACTTACAACGGCTTAAGAATGAGTGAAGTGAGTGCTGCGGTCTATTTCCGACTCAAGCTAAATCTCTGCTCCGATACTCCCGGAGTCAGATGTCTAAATCACATGGCGATGAATAAAATAAATGTGACGAGTGAAAATGAATTACAGTTCGTCCACCAGGATTCGAACCGGGTCCCGGCCAGGGACAAAAAATGGTCACCTTCTGAGCGTATTCACCCCCACGTACCTGAGCCGACTGCTCACCTCTTCTAACTCTAGCCACCAGGACCTGCGCCGACTGAGCTCGCCGAAGCTAACTCTAGTCACCAGGCCTGCCGACTGAGCTCGAGTGGAGCGAGAAAGCCACCAAGCCTCCAGCGCCAAACGGAGTAATGTGTGAGGAGCCAAACTAACTAGGCCACCACCTCGCAGAAGATGATGAGGTGCCAAGAAATAAAACGAAATATGTAGACTAGGTCAAAAAGTAAATTACAGTACGTCGAGCGAAATCAGCTGGGGAAACAGAGGGGTGCGAGAGCTCGCGGACTCTTGCTCGCGGGCTCTCACAGCTTGTAACTCTACTGCAGTGCCAGGTTATTTCTGATCCACCAAAGATCACTGAGGATCGCGTTCTGGATATGGTCACGTGCTCTACCACCTCAAGCGGCTCACTTGTCTAGCTCAGTAACGAAATAGTGAAATCTTCCTCATTAGCGCCCGCATCAGAGGTGATGAATATGAGGCCCAGGGACGTCAATGGTATTTAGTGTAGGTGCGTCAAGGTCATGTGTCGTCACTGTTTCGTACGGTGCGGTGTCTGGGCTCTCTCCGATCTAGTGAAATCTTTCTCGTCAGCGCGAGCGGCATATGTGAGGGACATACGAACCTGTATAGTCCGTAGCGCAGATGCGTCCTTCTCTAAGAAGAATTTTAGAGATAGAACTAGACACCTAGACTATGGAAATGGGCTAAGGGGAGTATAAGTGCGGACAACATGTGAAATATACCATAGACGGCAAAGACGAGATAAGAGGAATCATGAATTGAAGGCAGGCTTTACATTGTGCTGAGATAAAAAATGCCGCGCAGTACTAGTTCAATCTTCGGGTGAATAGTGAGGGGCCTGGAATTTTGATCGTTGGGCATCTACTTATTGCATAACATTCTCGCACTGATACATACGATCTACCTATTCCCACCATGCAGCACAAAGAGATTAATACAAGCGTTGTGCCTCAAGAGTCGATGGAAGAACGGAGATCCTGAAGTGTGACGTGTGACGTGGGACCCGACGTCGGGAGAAAAGAGGACCCAAAGCTTGGACCTCATCCTCTCATCTCACAACCTAATGTCTTCTCCAATCTCTAGTTCTTCAATCAACTCGAGCCCAAATTAGCAAAATAGAAAACTGGACTGTATATTTAACCTCTGGATTGGTCTTGCCATAACAGCTCGTGTGAGTCTGTCGAGCGTCGACCGATTCTCAGCTAGTATAACATTTGAGCACATGACTCTGCGAACCCATCGTTCGGCTACTCATTAATGTTCGAGCCTGTGATACGCAGGACATCATCCAGGCGCCATGCAAGATGTCTGCGATCCGGTCGATCTTTCTTCCCCAAAACCATATCCGCGGCAGTCAGCTCAGACGTGTTTCTGATATTGAAATCGCAGCCCACCATCAACTCCATTATTTCATCAAATGACGTCGATGTGCCATGCAAACCCCCCCCGCTTGGTTACCATGAATGATTTCGGTTCCAACAAATCGCGACGCTCAGTCAAATTGGAGTACAGGTATTGAAGGAAGACTATCATCCGCTGATTATTCCTCATGACGAGGTCTGGTGCGATCGTGTTGACGGCTGCTGGGACAAATTCCGGAGTTTCGATGAAGATTCTCCAAGCTCCCTTCTTTCAGATTTTGTTCCTTGATAGCGGCAATGAGACATTGAGTCCAAAGTCGGACGGCCGGACCGCAAGCCGGCGGGCCAGCCGACTCTTCCAGCTCAGGGTCGTTTCGAAATCTTGGGTTCACTGGAACGTCCCATTCCCATTTCTTTGATGGAGGGTAGCCCATAAACTCAAGCCCAAGGTATTGGAGCTTCAGCGTCCCTAGAAGTTTGAAAGTGGATTTCCATAGGCCCCAGGGCTTAGTTTCTTCGCCCCAGCAACTAAATATTGGCCAGGACTCGTCACCAACTCGAACGAGCTCCATTGATCTTATCTGTTCTAGAGCACGAGACGGACGATCTACAAGGAAAGCATTGAGAGGCCGAGCGAAGTCCTCGTGACCGTTGATTTCACAATCAAAATTGAAGCTGAATACGTTCTGGGAGTAGAATACCTCCGAGGCCTCGGAATACGTCTCGCGATTGGCCAATAGAAGATTCATGTGCGGACCAATTGGTGGATCGTCCGGCTGATGAAGGCCGTAACTCCTATCGCGCCAGGTGGTGCGCTGCCACACCTTCATGGGAACATAGACATGACGGATTTCGAATCGTTCCCTAACAAGGGCAAAGATCACGGAGTTCGCGAGGAAGGTCGAGCAGTCGGAAGCGGTCGATACTGATAGGATCCATTGAGGAGTTGCGTCCGAGGAGATAGGTAGGCGGTTTGATGCTTGCTAGGAGTGAGTTGGTACAAAATTTCGTGGAGTTCCTAGACGAGAGTGCGGTCTTTTATAGCAGTACCAGGGTACCATGATTCCCATGTGGAAAAGCGATCCGTGGGACCAACAACTCAGACAGGAAGTAGACTCATCGGCTCAGACATAAGACTGGGACTTACTGTCTGCTTGAGCTGCTGATAGATACACCATAGGGGCGAAAGTTCTGGTACACCATCGTTTGCATTGCCCCCGGGACAGCTTCCCACAACTTATCAACTCACGCATCTCCCCCACACTTCTCCTGGACCATAACCTCACTTATGAAACTATCAGATCACGGAGTCCTTGAATAGTCATATTCTGAAACTATGCGTTGAGCCTTCCGCTCTGCTCCACCACTTCCCGCATGCCCACCGCACTCACGCAACATAATTATATGCCCCACTATTCCCCCTCTCCATATAGTCCTTCTCAATCAAGCGGTCAATATTCCGCTTGATCCCAGCCATATCCAACGTGCCCCGATTCTTCGTGACTTTGATGGTCTCCGCCACGAGCTCTGCGTGCGTGATGGTTTTTCGGCTCTTCATGATGCGCACGATAGCTGCCTGAGTCTCAAAGTTGCGATCTTCGGCAACGCGCTCGTGCGTCGCCTTGTTCTCCTCCTTGGTCTCTTTGAGCTGCACCGTGTTGATCTTGATGCGGTATTTCGCGTCGTTGAAGTTTGCATTGAGAGAGAATTGGTCTGTGGGGTTGATGTCACGGCCTCTGGGGTGTTTGGTGATGGGGCGGAGTTTAGCACAGGCGAGAGATTGTAGCGTGCGAGCAAGCTCGGCCGGTGCTGATAAAAGGTTAGTGAAGTGACGGGAGATTGTGGTAATGGGGGAGACCTACGTAGCCCAGTGGCCTCCTTGAGATGCTGGTAGCTCAGCTTCTCGTCGACACCCAAGTCGTTGAAGAGCAGCAATACGATAGCCTGGAACGAGCTGACGACTAACTCCTTATTCCCTTTGGGAAATTTAGCCTTGATCTGACAGTGCGCCAGAGCGTGCTTCCAATCCAATTTTCGCCCCTTGTGCTTGCTCTCGTAATGAACCTCGAATTTATCAATCGCATTCTTGATGTCGATTGGAATGATGACTTTGATATCTGGGAAGGTAGGCCACGCAGCTGCGGACAGAATATTGACGGATAAATCCACAGACTGTTTTTCTGATCGTTCGGCCATCCTGGATTTGTACGAAGCCATCTCTTCTCGCGCCAGCTCGACGTCCTTGAACATTTGCTCTAGGTTGGCTGTAAAGGAGGATCCGCACTCTGTTTTCAGCTTGGCTAGCATACTTCTCTCAGCATCGGCACTTGCACTTCGACCCATGAGTAGCCGCCTAGCGAGATCTTTCTTGTAGAAAGCCTCGAATACTGCCTTGCCATGGACAAACCGAAAGAGATCGAGGACCTGGTCAAGTTGGTTGTTGATCTCAGTATCTTCGTCAAAGATGATGTCCTCGTTGTCATCTTCGGCAACAGTCACAGCCTTAGATGCGATTGACGATAGTTGTGCTGGGATGGCCTTCGCTCCGCCTCTTAGAAGCATATCCACATACTTTGCGATCATTTCTCCAGGCTTTGAATTGTCCGTGTTCCAAGTCGCACTAGTTTTCTTGGTTTTGTTCATGAAAGCCTCGAAACATTCCCGAAGGGCATGACCTAGCTGCTCGTCCCGGTGGAAAGACACCTTCCAGATAGTATCGAGCTGCCTCTTCAAGCATAAGAGTTTCACAACCATATCGTCCTGCTCTTTGTCGTCGAACACGATACCAGTCCCGGTATCATCGATCCACTTTTCGAACGAAGGGCGAAGGCTCGACCCTAGGCGTCGTCGTTCTAGGAGGGTGTATAGCTGTTCTAGTGACTGAACTCTGTTCTCATCCAATAGGTCCGCGACGTCGTCCTGATTGACGAGCCGGTCTTTCCGCTTCTCAATCAGATGTTCTTCGAGAAGTGTGAGGAGGTCTCTTCTCGTGGTAGAATCCAAGCTGAATATTTCCACACGCTCCATCTCGCTCCTGATCAATCTCACCGAGCTTTCAACATACTCAGGAAGAGATTGGTCTGCGCTTTCCCTGACTGCCCATTCCGCAACAAACGACTGCGAGAGCTCTAGCATTCGTGGCTCGAAAGATGTTGTATACACTTGCATCTCGTGGAACATCTTGATAGTCTCTGAAAAAAGCTGCCGATCTAGATTCTCTCCTACTCGGTCGGCTGAGATTAAATCACAGGCTCCATCCACTATCCTTGGATTCAGCTGCGGGTCTTGGAAGACTATGTTTCGGAACATCGATATGGCCATCTCCTGAAGTGATTTGGACTGTTGAAGTAGATACGAGCGGTCCATGTAGCAGAAGATCCAGTAGACATATTTCTGTCCTATAGTCAGCACTCATCCACAGCTTCCCTGCCCACTACATACCAGTTGCTCATTCCATGTTGTCCAAGCTGCCAAAGTTGCCCTGAGCAGATCCACGCTCTTATTTCCCAGCTTCTCTAGCAGCGGTCCTCGCAGCCCCTCTGCCACGTACTTCTCGCTTATCTTCTCCAGCCTGTTGCAGACCTCCTGTGCATGTCCCTGCCTGCAAAGATTCTCTACACCCCGGTATAGCTCCTCCAGCGAGAAGTCCAGCTTCCCGCTCTTGAACACAACCGCCAATGCCTTGTCCAGCTTCTCCCATACCTGATTGAGATATATCGTCGGGTCTGTCTTCGCCTGTGGCCGAAAGTTCTTGACTACCAGCTTCCTCGCTCCTAGATGTGGATTGAAGTTTTGCTTGTTGGTCCGCACCGCACTCTTCCGCGGACTGTTGCCCGGCGACTTGGTCAAGTCCACAGTGTTGTTCGTCGGAAAGGAATACATTTTGTCCGGTGGAAGCGGGGCGGAGGCTGGTATAGAAGGTGGGGGGACGATGGGCGCAGGCGAATCGAGTTTTAGGCGCTTGCTCGTGGGAGATAGGAGACGCGTGTCTAGCGACTTCTGCTGCGAGTTTGAGAAGAGTTCAGATATGGTCTGCTGCTTGTGGGCGTTGGTGGTGCTGTCGGCAGCGGCGGCAGAGGTGGAGGACTGGCGTGGATGCTTCCGCTTTCTATCCGCCGGGATTCTGTCGTGGGTGCTGGCTGATGTAGGTGGATTCTGCATCGAAAGCAGGCAAGGTCCCTCGGGACGGTCAGAGGTCGCTGGCTGTCGGGATGGTGAATATGTGATGCTAGTCGTAGAAAGATGACGCGAAGATAGTGGATGAGCTCCCTGGCTCCCGAGACGGCATGGATCGTTAGTTGGCTCCGGCTCAGGGTTGATTAGATGACATCTGAGAGCGTCTCTCCGTCAACTTGCATCCCATTATTCAAGTAGCTGCCTTAGGAAGAGCCCTAGGCGACAATCTCAGAAGAGGTTGCTTTGAGATGAGTTAGGAGAGGGTTCAATGTTCATGTCACTGTCATGAGGTCCCCAAATCACCCACCGCGGAGACGTCCCGAGGCTTCATTCACGACATGTTATTCTCGTCCGTTCTACTTTTATCTACGCAAACGAGGTAAGTGTCCTGGTTTGACGCGTACAGAGACGCGTGCCATTCATGTAGCTAGAGCACTGGAACCATGGTACCTAGGTGCCACCAAAGTCCCCTTTTGAACTGCACTGTCATGTACAACTCGGAGCATCTACTCTTTGACAGCCAGTACGAATTCGGGAGGACTACAAGCACTTTGTCCTCCGATAAGATGCGTGTCTTCTTCCACTTTCATCAAGCGCGTTTGCAAGGCCATGTCTCATACATCAATGCGTTCTAGACATGTTGTATTTGTTCCCTACCTTTCTCTACTGAGCAATCCTATACAATCTCTGTTATCTGCACGCAAGCAATACAAGCTGCATTCCTCTCACAGTCAAGCCAATGGAAACAATGAGGTGGAGCATGTATCGGGTGAATGCAGCGCCAAGCGCACAGAACTTCGGTCTGTTTGCAAATGCTTTCCATCACAATCTTTGCCTATATGTACAGCAGAGCAAAATACGCTCTCGCCAGTCAGTCAGAGATGGAGAAACCTTGGGCACAAGAGAGATGGGAACCCACAATCGCCGCTGTCACGGTGGCGTGGCCGACCCCTTCAGCTGAAGTGAGTAAGCCTTTCTTCTCCTTTCTAATTCGGACAGCTTGTTAGCACAGCGTACTGACTGAAATTTCGACGTCTTTGCAAGCATGTGATTGTATCAGTCTCGTCTTTCTTATGTCTCCTAACTCTTTGTGATAGGAATATAAGCTACATGTAGCTTCAGTACGCGAGCTGACAGACTTCATCATCGGACTTCCCTACCACCCTTACGCATAGATCAGACGTGCTGAGGCACTGAGCAAACTTGGTTATCCTGAGCTGGCCGTGGGCGATGCACACAAAGCACGCCTTCTGGTCGAGGCAGCCCTATCTAACACCACCGAACTTGGAGAAAAGGCTTTGCTGGTTTGCGGAATGAGCGGATGGATGAATGCTGCGGACCGATGGGCGCAGTATGGGCTCGGCCGGTTCCGGGAGTCGGTTGAGATCTCTCTTCGAAACCTTGAGAAAGATATCTGGACCGGTATTGCGCAACAGTTGGTACGCTTGGAGGCTATGTGGGATCTACACCACCTTCTTCCTACCGTGGCACAGAAATCGCACTATCCGCCTACGGACTTAGCTCGTATGGAGAGGCTGTTCGAATTGAAAAAAGAGTGTTGACCCAAAGATGGTAATCCCCGCCACGACGAATATGAAGCTTTACGAAACGGCGGCATTCACACCCGCACCTATCCCTGGATGGCTTCCGATATGATGCATCGAGGAGAACGTCTCGAGGAACTGAAGCAGGACATGCAGAAGGCGTCTAACTCGTGGTGTAGTGTCGAGAACAGTTCCATCAAGGAAGGTAATCGGACCACGGCCCAGGATGCATACGGCGTTTATGCGATCACTGATTTGCGAAAAGGCGAGATCCTGCTTGTCGATCGTACAGTGGCGGCTGTTACATCCGACGAGGGATCATGCCAGGTATGCTTCCGCAGATTGACTGCCAACGCAGTCGATCTCCTATGCTGCAACGTCAAGTTTTGTAGCACGGCATGTGCAAAGGAGGCGAAAAAGTCCTTTCACAAAGCCATGTGTGGCAAGACTTTTAGGTTTCCTGGACTGAGCGACCTTTGCTTGTTTCGACAGACGCTAAATTCGCTTTTACTGCGTTGCCTAGCTGTTATCGTTCAGGCAGACATCGGTTCACACCCACTGTACAATTCGGTGGTCAGTACCCTTACAGCTAATCGCGCTGGCCCTCGACCCTGGAGATACCACGACGACATCATCTACCCCATCCACATGCTTCAAACCCTCGGCATCGACGTGTTCGCTGATCTGCGCCACGACACTTGGGTCATCAGGACGATGTACATGCGAATCCTCAACAATATGGATGGAGAAGAGGAAGGAAATGGAGTCCGCACCAAGTTATTAAATCGGCTGTATTCCATGCTCAACCACAGCTGTCACCCGAACCTGGACTGGACGCATCAATATGACCGACGCTCTTCAGTGATGATTCGTGCCAAGCGAGATATCAAGAAGGGCGAGGAGCTTTTTATCTCCCACGTTGGCGAGGAGGGCAGATTCCAGCCATTTGCTGAGAGACAGAGGCGTCTCATCACTTGGTTTGGTGCTGATTGTGGATGTGCGAGATGTAAGGCCGAACGGCCCGGCGCGGACGAAGCCGAATTTGCGAGGTATTGGCGGGGACACCTTTCTGCTTGCTCTTCAGAAGACCGCTCGCAAAACATGCTCTTTCTCGCGGCAACAGAGCAGAGGAGGACAGTAGATTGGTAGGTCACACCGTCTAGGGATGGTCCGGCAAGGTAACAGACTGTTCTTAATGGTTTGCTTCTATCTCACTCAAATTTTACAATGCATGTTGAAGTACCTTTGGTTGTGTCCAGGAACGGTCCATGACAAACATGGCAGTACTATGACTCTTGATTCCGTCGACATGGATTCTCTCTTCCTCATTTCTTCAAGCAAGATCTGCAAGAGCAAACTTGATGTGATAAGGCGTAACGTCACTGCCGCAGTGTCCCATTCGTCCCTTTGATTCTGTCAATTGATGGCTTCAAGATTTCTCGCCACACTTTCATCGAAGCTCCGGAGAGACTGAATGATGCTGCCCAAATCTCGCCAGCCTGTGGTGACGATGCGTTCAAGCATTCACTGGGTGAAGGCAATGCCAAGACTGTGCACGGGACACCTCTGATCAAACCTGCAGCCCACCACAGCTTCAATTCTTACTTGTTGCATACCATAGTGAAAGAGGCGCTTCACCGCAACGCGAAATATGGACAAGCCGTGAGACAAGGAGAGATGGGACCCCACCAGTGCTTCTCCGTTTTCAGGCTGGAGCCAGCCTCCAATTGAGGTTAGTACACTCTTCGGGATCATCAATCTGTTTACTCCGCTGGGAATTTCTACCAGCTTAACGGCGGCTTGCGGCATATGTACTACGTTCTCGAACCCTGCTAATTCCGCTGCAGAAATACGAGCAATATTCGGCCGAGATCCGCGAGTTGACGCGTTCAATAATCGAATTGCCCTACAACCCAAAGACTTGGAAAGATCGAGCTGAGAAACTACGTGTACTCGGCTGTCCTGAGCTTTCTTTAGGCGATACGCATAAGGCTCGTCTCCTCGTTGAAGCCGCCCGGTCGAATCCCACCACCGATCTTGGAGAAAAGGTGCTGTTGACTTTTGGGATGTCAATCTGGCTCGAAGCCCCTAATGAATGGATTCGCGCTGAGTTATATGGGTTACGGTGGAGCTTTAACGTTATGCTGCGCCGCTTGGAGAAGGCAATCTGGCTTGAAATCTACCTTGGGCTCATCTACACGGAGTGCCACTGGGATATCCACCATCTCCGCGATAAAATGGCACAACACGTACCATTCTTTCGTCTGCGGGGGTTTCAAGACCGTTCATTAGCCTCCATCAAAGCGAAGAAGATCCATTTAGAAGCAAAAGGCTGCTACGGTAACAATTCGGACCGCCTACGATTCGGAGCTGTCTACCTACGGGCATATCCTTGGATGGAACCCGCCCTGCTACGGCGATCAAATGGTGCGGTTAAAGGCTTGAAGAAGGCTTTAGGCATATCTCCAGAGTCACGATGCCGACTTGGAAAGTCTTCGATCCAGAATGGTCTGACTCAAGTCCGGGGGACGAAGTTGCAGACTGGGGATGCATATGGCGTGTTTGCGACGCGCGAATTGCGTGCAGGGACAAGGTTGATTCGACATCCCTCGCTATCTCAACAAATCCAAACGCTTGTCCTGTATGTCTCCAACTCTTCAACGCCAATACGATTGGCCTTGAATGCTGTACCACCGTCAAGTTCTGCACCCAAGCTTGCGCAGACCTGGCTAGGGAATCTTTCCACAAGGTTACGTGCAACAAGAAGTTTGAGTTTCCTGGCCTTGACAGGCTTGCATACGGAGCACAGATGATGACGTTACACACTCTTCGATTCCTCGCTCTTATAGTGCAATGGGACAGTGAATCCTCCTACCGTGGCTCTAACCCCCTATATAGCCCAGCAGTCAAAGCCTTGACTCCACACTATGCTGGAAGACCACGATTCTGGTCGTATAACGAGCATATCGTGTATCCGATACAGATGCTTCACACCCTTTGCATTGACGTTTTCACAGATCTACGGTATGATAGTGGGTCATCCAGACTCATGGCTCGTCTCGACAACAACATAATATCGAAGTTTATCGGTGAAGGCTGGATCAGGTCGCTAAACTCGCTACACTGCCTCTTCAACCACAGCTGCTAACCCAATGTCGACTGGGTGTCTAAAGCTGGCGAAAACCGATTCTCAGTGGAGATGTGGGCTTGCCGAGATATCAAGGAAGGAGGTGAACTATCCATCTGCTACACAGATGTGGTACTGTCTATGCCGTATGAGCAGCGGCAAAAGGAGTTACTGCGGTGGTTCGGCACTGGATGTGGATGCGTGAAATGTAGAGCAGAGCGCCCAGAGGTACCGAATGTTGAGTTGGCGAACTGGACTGAATTGCTTCTACCCTGACTCATACCACCCTCGGCTCGTGGGTCGCCTTCAAGAAGAGTGTAGGCAGATGTGACTCAACGGCTGAAAGGACAGAATGCTTTCTAGTTGGCTGATGGTGGTCTCTACCGTGACAAGGTGGCCCATACCAAGCACAGACAATACTATGGGGAGCGACTAGAGTATCCTACGCATACAACTACGAGCTTCAGCAGTAGTATGGCTAAACTAAATACAATTTCTGGGTCCTCAACAAAACGACCCTATGTGACGCATCTTGAAAGCGATGCCTCGTCTATACCGAAAGTGTCGTTCAATGCTCAGCGGAATGGACAGCTGCCCACCTCATCTCTCCAGGTGAACTTCCAAATCTTTCCTCAGATATATAAATTTGCATCCTCCATCATAAAGGTAACGCCTGATATCTATCGATACAAATAACTCTAATTTCCAATTCCAATTGATTGCACACTGTTTATTTAACGTCAACTTCAGGAGCAAGTCCACGCGACCGTCTACCAAAGACAGTAAAGATCGTCAGCATACCCACTAACGTCATTGCTTTGGAAGCACAAACTTTGAACTTCTTCATCTCCTCTACACAACCTAGACTCTAACTATTCACAATGCCAGAAACCGAGGACATCGCTCTCCGCGAATCGCGACTTTCGGACGTCGGCGATCAATCGCCTCACGATCCAGAGCAAGATGCAATCAATCTCGATCACGATGACTCAAGACAGGGCGAGTCGAGTAGGAAAAGAGCTTGCGTTCTTGTAGGCTCCGCGATACTACAGCTGCCGATATGGGGTAGGTAAATCTTTACTTGAATAATGTGTTCCTCTCTATTCACCCGCCATTTCTGCGCTTGTGCTTCAACACCATTTCAAAACCTGGAGAATGGCTATTCCTATCATCTTCATTAGCCTGCAAATTCCAGGGACACTCTGCAGAAAAGGTTGAGAACACTTTCAATGTCAATTGATAAAAACTTTAAATCCTTTCTGAAGATATCGAAGCATCTCAAGCAGTGGCGTACCATTGCATACAGACCGAATCCATATTATCATGAGTCCTTCAGGTCAATCCCACTCACACTCTTCCCAGGCTTCGCCATGAGCTACGGTGTCTTCCAAGAATATTACACCACCCACCACCCCCTCCACGGATCCCCCTCCCTCACCGGTATCATCGGGACCACCTCCAACGGCGTAATGTATCTCTCGATGCCGCTCCTCTTCTACCTCTTCACCAAACGCCTTGCGCGCTACCGCCAAACCGCCGCCCTGGCCGGGGCCCTCCTCACCTCCCTCTCCTTCCTCCTCTCCCCCTTCAGCACCACCGTCTGGCACCTCGTCGCAACCCAAGGCGTCCTCGCCGCCCTCGGCTGCGCCCTCATCTACAGCCCCACCACCCTCTCCCTCGGCGAGTGGTACACGATCAAAAACCGCGCCGTCGCCTACGGCGTCGTGTTCTCCGCCAAAAACATCGTCGGCTCCGCGTGTCCGTTCCTCTTCCGCGGCCTCCTCGACCACTTCGGCTTCCGCACCACCCTCCGCATCTGGACCGCCATCGCCGCCGCCACCAGCATCCTCGCCATTTTCCTCGTGCCTACGCATCCCTCAGTTGTAGTGTCCCGCACGCACCACGCGCGCAAGATGCCCTGGACGTTCCTACGCCACCAGACGTTCTACATCTACGCCGTCGCGATCGTGCTGCAGAGCTGCGGGTACGGCATCCCGCAGACGTATCTGAACGAGTACGCGCATGACGTGACGCTGCTATCCCAGACCTCTGCCACTTTATTACTCACGTTATTCAACGCACCCGGCATCATCTCATCGTCGTTCTTTGGGTATCTGAGTGACAAGAAGCGCTTCTCCCTCTCCGCGACGACCGTGACGGCCATCTCGGCTGGAAGCTCGGCGCTCTCTGCATTCCTCTTCTGGGGGCTGACGAGCCAGGGGAGTTTGGCGCTATTAGTGCTGTTCTCTATTACCTTTGGGTTCTTCGCGGGTGGGTATAGCGCGACATGGGGTGGGATCCTGAACGAACTGGAGCGCGAAGCCGCGCAGAGTAACGAAGCGATCGACTCGGGGATGATCTACGGACTCCTCAACGGCGCTCGCGGAATCGGCTACGTAAGCGGTGGACTCGCCGGCCTACCTCTCCTCAAAGCCGGGGCCAAGAGCGCGATTGGAAACTTCGGTTATGGCACAACCTACGGCCCTCTCATCATATTCACGGGCCTATCATCCGTGTTCGGCGGGTGGGGAGTGCTGTGGAAGTTGAAGAGGGTGTTGCGATTGGTGGGATAAGAAAAGACTACCTATACACTACATACTGAGCCCCAGAGTGGTATTTCCAAAACCCCCGGAATGAACGCCTGTGGATACCGGTTTCAGTTTCCGTCATTATGTCTTACGCGTGAGGTACGATCGTTATTTAGAATAGACTCCAGCCTCTGCCCCCTCTCTTCTCTCGCTCATTTGGGGTCGAGCGCGAGGAAAATCGTTTTTCTCGAGCTTCGAGTTGCCGTAACGCTTCCATCTCTTTTAGCACGTGTTCGAGGAGCTCTTTGCGGCGCACGACGTCGAGATGGCGCCGGATCTTGGGGTCTTCGCGAGCGAAGCGCTCGATTTCAGTTTGGGAGAGGCCGCGGCCGAGGCGGGTGTCTAGTTCACGGGGGAACTATGCATTTGTTAGGATGCTCAAACATTGAAGTAGAGAAAGGAGATAGGGGAAAGGGGAACATACAAGATAGTAGAATTTGGAGAGTAATTCGGCGTCCAGGAATAGATCGGCGGTAGTAGTGAGTTTATCAGCTACAGCGTCTAGGAAGACTTCCGGGCAGTAGTATTTGTTGGCTTTGTTGGCGCATTGTTTAGACTTGACGGCCATGATGCGCATCTTGAGCACGTCAAGGCGGTCGCGGAGGAAGACAGCTTCGCGGCCTGTAGATCGAGCTCATTAGCATATTTTCAGTAGTCGGAGATCATAACACATACCTTTGTGCAAAAGCGCAGAACTAAATCCGCCAGCGCCACCGATGCCATCGCCCTCGAGAACAACCTTCCCGTCCCTCACACGGTCGATGAAAGCCATTACATCTTTCGCCTTCTTTCGACCACCGATCTGTGTTTCTACAATCTTCGCTGCTGACTCGCAGACTTTCAATTCCTCTTTGAGCACATTGGTGACGTTCTCGCGGCCCTTGGCCCATTCGCTGTCCTCGACCTCAATCCGGTACTTGTACGGCTTGATACAGATCTCTAGCTCGTCGCTGATGTCGTACGACAGATCTCGCAGGATAGTTGTGGATGCTTCTGTGATGGCTTGGCGAGCGAATGGATGATTGGCAAACCGAGAGCTCAACGTCAGTTGATCGACGTGTGCTTGTAGGGCATTTGCGACAACCGAAGTAGCCAGGCGGCCAATGCCGAGCTTCGTCAATGACGCACTAGATGAATCCAGCTTGATTTGCCAGATTGTGTTGTCCAGATCAGCCTTCGGGAGGCTGCTCAACGGATCTGGGTCGGGAAGCGGCTGGGACAAGTCATCAAATGGCCTGTTCCAGTACCGCTGCGCTAGTAGGTTCAGCACCTGCTGGTCTATCTCGTGCTTTACTATCGCTCGAACCTCAGCCCTGCCGAACTGTTCTGTAAATCCTTTGAAAGAGTGCTTGAACGCGTCCAGGCTCTCGGCCAGGTACGACTCTGCGCTTAGTGGCCGGTCATTGTATTGTACTTTGAACTCGTAGGTCGCTTCGGCGAGCTCTCTTTGAATAGCTTCGCTTGTCGTTTTGAGGCTGGATGCCATAGTTGATTCCAGCACGTACATCAACTTCTTCCGTAGGTTTTGCGTTCCCACGTCTAGGTGGGAATCGCCGCCAAACTCAGGATGTGATGAAAAGTAGGCGGCCTCATTCTTGGCAATGGCACTGGTGATGTTTCCGTTGCCGCGATTGAAGAGCTTTCCGGTGCCGATGGCTTGTGGCACTCGACATACTACACCGACATAGCCTAACCGCAGGGCGTACTTTTTGTCGTTCAGTAAGCTAGCTCCACGTTCAGCATCAACGAGATCCATCTTAGTAATTACACCAATTGTCCGCTCTCCTCGGGGATCCACTTTTCGGGATGCTCTTAGGGCGGTCGAGTTCGCCAGATCTACGTCGGCGGCGGATATGGCAAGGATGATATTAGGGCTTCGGATATACTTCTCGCAGAGTTCCCTAATCTTCTCCTTCAGCTCCGGTGGCTGATCCCTTCCGGTGACTTGTATATAACCAGGGAGATCGATCAACGAAAGATCTGGAACATTGGGAGAGTAGATTCGAAGTTGGATGGGGTCGTCAGAAACGCAAGCCTCGACAGGGACGGCTAAGTTTAGGTCTGTGAGTGTCCGCTGGATCTGGGAGAAGTCTGTGATTCTTCCCAGGCCGAGGGCGGGGAACTCGCCATACTCAGCATGAGCCTCGGGGGTGTTGACAAGGGTCAGCTCGATAGGTCGTCGAGTGACCATATTGGATCCTTTTGGCAGAAATTCGTGGCCGACAATTGCTTCCAACACCGAGCTCTTTCCTGATGATTGGGATCCAATTACTACAATTGACGGGAGAGTGAGGGTTTCCGACTGTCCCACAGTCTGCAACAAGCTCCTGATCTCAATCATCTTCTTTGTCAACATCATCATCTGCTCGTCCCGGGCAATCCTCTCTTCCGATGACTGATCCTCCTCGTCCTTGGAGTCGTATCCGAACGCAGCTGCTGTCGTAGCTCCAGCCGCTGCGGTGCCAGCACTCGGACCGCTTTGTTTTGGATTTCCTTCGGGCCCTGAACCACCTCTGCTGCTCCCTGATGTTTCTTCGGGGAAGAGAATCGACTTCAACCAATCTGGGTAATCAAACTCCTCTTTCGTCTTCTGCCATCCTCTTCTCGTTTGGTCCAAGGTTTGAGTGGCGCCTTCGTATAAAGTTCCGGCGATATTGGTTGCTCGATCGGTAGTGCGGTTGAAAATATCCAGGACATATCCACCGGCCTCTGCACTGAATTAGCATTTTCAATAGCAGCAATTTGTGGTCTTTCACTTACGCCCAGCTTGATACTGAATATACGAGGCTCCTGCAATCACAGCTCCCCCAGCAACAGCCCCCAGGGAGGCGAATTTGGTGACGATTTTTGGCAGTATGCGGGCAAAAGATATGGACCGCACAGCAGGAACATTGTGCAGTGCGTAAGACCCCAGGGGCCAGGGGCGCTGCTTCAACAGTCGCAATCCGGCATCTGATCGCAGTAAACCTCCCGCAGAGGTGGCCGAATGGTAGAATCGGTGTGGCGTGTTCGCAACTGCGGCACGCCGGACGAGAGGCGCGAGACGTGCGAGCCGCCCGCTCATGGTGGATGGATTACGGAGCCGGGGGTCTGCGCATGGAGCGCGCGGGCAAAAGATGCGTGATGGCGAGGCGTGGTGGTGTTTTTCGTGAAGTTGACGACGATGCTTCGTCACAGTGCCAAGGCCGGCCGGCGATAGGTAGAGCACCTCACCCTGCACTTGCGGCGGCTCCTCTCCACCAACGACGCGTGGGGGCAGCCTTCTTTATCCGCTGCAGCGGGACGACTGCGTTATTTGCGCTCCCATGTTCCCAATTTGACCATTGCACTCCGCGATTGCGTGATCCAATCAAGCTCGCCGTTCGAAAGACTCACATCGTCACGTGACCGTGTCGTGCTCGTTTGGTATTGTGAACAGCTGCTACGCAACCAAAATTATTTGGTTGTGCACATTGAAAGAACATCCCTCCTGCGCATCACGACGTTCATACAGTCAAATGAGAGGCGACGAGAGTGCTTTCAATGCTATCATTTTTGGTGAGCACACGCTCGTTCTCTCTCAAACCTCATCCGTCGCAGAACAGTCCGACACGTCCGTGCGATTCTACGTATGGTTCCAAAAGAGAGCCGTCACAACGAAACGGTGATATATGCGAGTAAGCTCATCCTCGCGTTTGTAGGACTTTGAGACGTTTGGGAGCATGCGTAGCTGGGATCCGAGAAGTTGAGGATGGTCACGTGAGCAAGACGAGATTCAGGGACTTCTATTCCCGCGTGCCTTTGTTGTTCATTCTTGATAAGTAGGCTACGTGAGCAAAGAGAAGGTGTCTAGGAATTGCTAGTCTCTTAATGGCCTTATACACTTCGTGTCCCCTTTCGCTCGTTTTTGTAATTCAGAACACTGGTGCCCGCCTTTGGCGCCGCGTTAATTATAATCCAAGAAATGCTTCCACATCATAGAAGTAAAAGATAAAACCGCCATCGAATGCGAGAGCGAACTCACAGCGAGGGAACGTGGTTCTGACACAGAAGAGAGACTTATGCAATATTTGATATCACGACTGAAGATTGAATATGCACGCCAAAGCCGCCTACCTAAGCTATTGATACAAACTCCTCCAATAGCACAGCACGACCTCCAAAACTAGAAAGTCGTCGTCGCTAACCGGCTGGCCGCATTCTTAGCATCAATTCTGTCCTCGTCTTCCTCCCCAACACCCTTCAAGCTCCCAGCTCCACTAACAGCTCGCTTCCGACCACCTTTCCCGTCACCCTCCTCGTCCTCTTCGTCAATGTCAGCCGGCACACCAGCCAGACCACCACTGACGCTCCTGTTGAGTCCATCGCCGGGTCTTCGGGGCACCCCAGACCACGCATCGCCCTTGGGGCCTTGTGAGCTGGCAAGAGAAGCCCTCCTCGTGTTTGGATGTGCCTCACGGCCGAGGCGAGAGAGCCCACCTGAGCCGTCAATGGCTCGAATATCGGGGCGTACTTGTTCGAGAGTGGCCAGAGTGCGCCGTTCAGCTTCGATTTCGCGTACAACGTATTCCCGAATCGCAATCCGCATTTCAGACGCTGATCGGGCGAACCATTTGCGTTGCTCCTGCAGGAGGTTGGATGTTACTCGTTGTGTCTTCTTTGTAAGGTAGTCTTCGTGACTGCGCGCTTCGTCTAGAGCGGAGATAGCCTCGTCGACTTTGTCGCGCTTGACACTGGAGCTGGCCTTCAGTCGATCGGCCGCTGACAGCTTCGAGCGCGTGGTTGCTTGAGCTGCTAGTAGGTCACGGAGGAGGATGTGACGGTTCGTAAGGGTCTCCTTAACGATGAACGCATCGCTGCTGTGGTATGTCATTGGATCTCCCAGAGTCGTGGCTTCAGCAGTACCCTGAGCTGCATGGAAATCGCCAGTCGCTTGTATAACCTTCCCAAGCTTTCGATAAGCAGTGCTCAAACCGAGATGCGTCTCCTGAACATGCATAGCGGCAAATTTGACGCCAAGATCCGATTCGGCGAGACCAAGACCTGTATGATATGTTAGCTTTAGTACTTCTCCTCAACCTGAAGACTGGGCTTAGTGTAACAGTGCCAATTCACATACTTCTTCTGTGTTTGACAACCTTCTCCACCTTCTGCCCTGTGGCCATTGTCCCCAAGTAGAATGCTTTGACAATTGGTCTCGCAGCGGCGAGTTCCGGCGTGTCATCCGGGGGTGGTGCAAACTGTTTGATGACCTTTCGCTTGACACCAGTGGCAGGTTGCTTCCGTCTGACGACAGGACTATATCCAAAATCGCTTTCCACAAAGAACACCATTTCTTCATCCCTCATCAAGACATCATTGCCACACACCACATTCAGCCATCGCTGCAAGGAGGCCTTAACGCGTGCTTCGTCTTCGTCGGTACCAACGCCAGCGGAGGTCAGTGGTGGAGGAACAGCGGGGACAAAAGCTTCGGGATTGGCGGATATGAGGTGTTCGCCCAGTTTCACGAATTCGGAGTGCATACGGCGTACGTCGCGGAATTGGGTTGTGCGAAACTTCGGCAGGTTTGTCTACAGTATAGGCATCGAGGTTAGTTCGGAAAGCTGCATAACGTCCTGGCGCAACGGGAGAACCAGTGTTTACATACATATACGTCGAACCGCAAGATGGGGTCCTTCCGCCCTGTCCTCTCCAGCCCCGTTATCTTTGCAGAAAGCTTATATTGAGGCTGTTGTTGGCGCTGCTGGCGAGCGCCATGATGATATCGCTGAGGCTCTTGTCTCTGGTGCTCTTGTGGACCGCGAGTAGGCGAAGCCGGCTGCTGCTGATGTGAAGCATGTTCTCCATTCTCTGACGACGTTCTTAATGCTGGATGGTGGTCCTCCGAGTCTTCTCCATATGGCGAGGTTGGTAGCGGGGAAGGTGGTATGTCACTAGTAGGAGGCTGCTCGAAGGCGGATCGATTGTGTTGGGGCGATGATGCCCATGGTGAGGCCCCTTCAGGATCGCTTGGGAGGGTTGAGTAGTCCATTGGTATTATTGCGAGCGAGGAGCGAGGAGCGGCTCGCAATGGTAGTGGTCTTCTCTCTGCCGCAGGCAGGCAGCGTCGTGATCTCGCCGTCGCTAAAGCACGGGCATGGGCGTCACAGTAGCGCCTGACAGTTTAGCTAGCACCTGGAAGGAAAGCTACAATATAGCTCTAATCTACGTACGTAAATGTAATTAAATCTGGCTTTCTTATTATCAGATACTATAATATCCATAGAGCGTACTTTCCAGACGTAGTATGAAAACAAAGTGAACGGCTGGAGTTCTGCATGCCAAGATTCTATTCGCTCCCTCGAATCCTCCCGTTTAGGTCAAGCCTAAAAGTCTTCTCTCTATGTCGTTGCATCTCAAACACACCGCTTCATCCTTTTTGCGTCGATTTCCAACTCCGAGCCATTTTTGGTAATGCTCGCTGGATGGGCTTTGCGCGCCCGTCATGTACGAGTCCCTCTTCGTGGCGGACGGAGACATCTGCCAGTATCAGGGAGGCGGTATGCATCAGGGTCGGCAGATCTGTCTAGGACGAGGAACATTGGCATCATAGCACATATCGATGCAGTGAGTAGAACAAATACATAGTTCGTATATCTTCTAAAGTTCTCTAGGGCAAAACAACGACGACGGAGCGCATGCTCTATTATAGCGGCTTCACTCGAAGAATAGGAGGTATAGACTCTTTCATTATTTTTCATCAATCTAGCTTGGGACTACACTTGTCACCCGTTTCACTCCAATCTCTTTCTTCTTGATGTAAAGGATGATACCTGGTTCGAACACAGTTTCTGATTATGGTCTTAGATGTCGATGAAGGTTCTACTGTCACTGATTTTCTTCCTGCCGAAAGAGCCCGCGGCATAACCATACAATCGGCCGCAATCACATTCAATTGGCCTCCTTTACCAGACGGTAGGCAGTCTACTCCTTCACAGAACGGATCGTCAACGGCGGCGAGGTCCTCAATTTCGCATAATGTCAACCTCATTGACACACCTGGTCATGCCGACTTCACTTTCGAGGTTTTGCGGTCTCTTCGAATCTTAGACGGAGCTATCTGTATCCTAGACGGAGTGGCCGGGGTTGAAGCTCAAACTGAAAAGGTATGGACTCAAGCGGAACATTACAATATTCCAAGAATTATCTACGTCAACAAACTCGATCGTTATGGTGCTGCGTTTTCGAAGACGGTAAAAGAGATTGGAGTTCGGTTACACGTCTGGCCCGCCCTGTGCCAAATTCCATGGTGGAAAGACGGTAAGGGGAATTTCACAGGCGTCGGAGACGTAGTTGGACTTCGGGGGTTACTTTGGGAAGAAGGTGGCGACGGCAAAGCCATTCAAAGCTTTTCTATGGAAGAACTTGAGACAAAGGACCCATCATTCGCGACTGAACTCAAGAAAGCTAGAGTAGCGCTCGTTGAAGGTCTTAGCGAGTACGACGACATCATCGTTGAACAGTTTCTGGAGTACGACGAGGACCACATTTCTATTCCAAGTACCCAGATTTTGGACGCGCTACGGAGATGCGTCTTGCAATCACCGCAATACATCATTCCTGTCTTTGCCGGAGCTAGTTTCAAGAATATCGGGGTTCAGCCTCTCATGGACTCGGTGAACAGCCTCCTACCATCGCCAGAGGAAAGACCGGACCCGGAGATCAGTATAGGAGGGCTTAAAGGAACATTGCAGCAGTTGCTGACTGGCCAGCTCGATCTATCTTTGTCCACCAAAGATGCTCAAGCACAAAAGAAACCACAAAAAAGTCACCAGTTCGCGCTGCAGAATCTTCAGGCATGTGCTCTAGCCTTCAAAGTTGTAAACGACCCAAAACGTGGTGTGCTAGTCTATGTGCGGGTATATTCAGGGTCCATCGATCGCAATAGCAGCCTTTTCAACACTAGCCTGAACGTAACAGAAAAGGCACCTCGACTACTTAAGATGTATGCATCGGAGGCAGTCGAGGTCGAATCCATTCCTACTGGCCAAATTGGCGTCATTATCGGGCTCAAGTATGCTAGAACCGGAGACACGCTCATTTCTTACACGGGAGTCAACCCCAAGCTTGGCCCGCCGGCTCCCATCAACACGCTTCAGCTTCGTCCGATCAATGTTCCTCCTCCAGTGTTCTTCACAAGCGTGGAACCAAACAGTCTTTCGGAAGAGAAACTTGTGCATGAGACTCTAGCGCTTCTTCTCCGAGAGGATCCAAGCCTTCAACTGACTATGGACGAAGAAAGTGGACAGACTCACCTCGCGGGTATGGGCGAGCTTCATCTAGAGATTGCCAGGGACCGACTTATCAACGACTTCAAGGCTAAAGCTAGAACTGGGAAAATCGAGATTGGCTATAGAGAGACGATAAATGTGGCGTCGGAGAGCTTTCAAGAAGAAGTCACCAGAGAAATTGGAGGGAAGTTTGCTCGTGCCTCGTGTTCCGTCTCAATTGCGCCTTTAGACCAATTTCCAGGAGAAAGCGATCGTTCTTCTGACAACGAATCCGCCTTCGATCTTGAGAATGGCAACCATGTTGTTATCCAGCATCGAGCTCTGACCCGATCTGGCCTACCTGTTTCTTCAGACGACATTGGATTGCCAGATCACCTTCCTTTCGAAGTTATGTTATCAGCTTTTCAAACTGGTGCATTGGCGGCACTTTCACGTGGACCGGAGCATGGCTTCCCTGTAGCGTCCGTACAGATCAACATCTCTCTTAACCCATCTCTACATATCTCCCAGGAGACTACACCCGCAGCTTTGTCAACCGTCGTCAGGCAAGCCGTCCGCGCCGCACTCAAGGACTCAGTCCAGAAGGGAGGATCGATTCTCATGGAACCAGTGATGATGGCTACTATCACTGTCAACGAAAGCAGTCTCGGCAGCGTTGTCCACGACATTAGTTCCGCACGTGGCGGACAAGTCATGTCTCTCGATCGCGACGAATCCACCGATTCCGCCTCCGACACCAGTGCATCCAACCAAGACGACGTTTTGATCATCAATTCTGATCGCATATACACACCACCGGACCCTTTTCAAGGAAGCGACTCGGCTCTTGCATCTGCGGACCGACAGAGACAAATCACTGCCCGAGTCCCGCTCAAAGAGATGGTGGGTTATCTCAATCATTTGCGGAGCCTGACGGGCGGCAGAGGCACCTTTGTCATGACTGTGGATGGGTTTGAAAAGATGAATGTGCAGAGGCAGAAGAGCGTTCTTGATGCAATGCGTGGCGACTTTGTGTAAGTACTGTATTAAAAGGTTGTAAGAGTAGGCTTGTTGGATTGAAAGAATGAAGAAAAATGTATACCATAGGTGCGTCCCTATCAAGACAAGCCACACGGCACTATATTTGAAGCCCATCTCCCATCAGCTATTTCCCAATACTGCTTGGTGTTAGACTCGCTCATGCAATAATATTACAGCCACGATCGGATTACATGCAGATCCGACGTCATCAATGCCTGCACGTATTAACGTATCACGGCGGCCGAAAGTCTCAGGCAACAAATGCGGCCGGAAACAAGAAACGAATTCATTCTAAACTTTCTACAATAATCACGAAACCCGATGATTACTCTCAGCTATTTCCTACCCTCATCTTCCACTATTTCTGCCACATTCCTTGTTCTACGCCCCCTAACTTAAGTCTTCCCGAAGCACTAGGCCTCTCCACAATGACATCCCCTCTCACCTCCTGGCCGTCCACCCCCGTCCCCTCCGCTATAAAAACCCTAATAAGCGACTTCTACACCATCGGCGCCCAAAAGGGCGATGAAGCCACCGCAGCCTACATAAACCTGTTCACACCAACGGCACAAATAGTTCAGAACAACAAAACGTACACTGGCCGTGATAGTAAGCTCGTCCCCGCGCCTCGTTGTGGCCTCTTTTTTCCGCATTAACCGTCTAACGCGTTGTTTCCATAAGGCATCCTCGAGGCGCAAAGCGGAAAGCTAGACCACGTGAAAAGCCGCCAGCGCGAGATCCGCAAAGTGTACTCGTGCACTGAAGCTGGCGACGATCTGCTCCTGGTGGGGAATACACGTGTGGTGCTGGACACGGCGGAGGTGCTGGATGTGGGGTTTTGCGTGCAGCTGGCGTTTCAGGAGACGGCGGAGGGGTGGAAGATAACGCATTGTCAGTCTTGGAGTGTAAGTGCTCTGCTGCGATTTGTTATGGTTGAGTGGTGCTGACATAGGGTGTACGTGTAGGATTCGGTGGAGTTGACGGTGGAGATGATGAAGATTGTTATGAAGGAGAAGCTGCGCGGGGGTGGGGAGAAGGGGAAGGGCAGGGAGAAACGGCAGGGTTCTGGGCTTTTTGCTGGGTGTTTTGGGAGGAAGTAGGCACATGTGGAGGCAATATACACTATCGAGCTTCGTTCCTCTGATCTCATTCTCATTAAGTCACTCCTTTCTCCCGCCTCGTTTCTGTTAGTGTCTCTTCCGCCTTCTATACCGTATCCATCTTGCACGCTTTGACATGCCTATCCCGCGCATATTTCCTTCGAAAGCCCTTCTGTGCATACTTGCACTTTACAAACGCACAGAAGTACGAGCGAACTGGGGAGTGGATGAGGCTATGCCGGGCTAGGTCCTTTCGAGTCGAGAACCGGTAAGCGCAGGCCGTGTAGGTGCAGACAAAAGGCCGAGCTTGAACAGGGACGTGAACAGTGAGGTGTTTCCTGCGGGTTGTTAGGTGGCTGGTGTGGTGGAGAAGGAGACGCGCAAGATTGAGGCAAACGGGGGAGATGAGGAAGGAAATACGAACTTCAGATCGCATTTACGAGAGTAGGTGCGCGAGCAGCTGGGGCAGGCGATGAGCCTAGTAGCTTGGTGTTTTGACTTGTCGCTATTGCCGGTCAACTCGTCTTTGGGGCTATTAAAAGAAGGAGTATGTGGGTCGTATGGTCTAGAAGGCCCGCAGAGTGAATGACGACGCCCAGACTCCTGGTCCGAAAGAGTGCTGTTGGATGCTTCCGGGGTGATGGAGCCTGATGTTACAGAGGGCCCAGAGATGACGTTGACATCAGGTGTCGAAATATTCGGATTGCAGACCTCATTTGGCAGTAAGGATGAGCTCGTCAAGTTCGAGATGTCGGAGTTGTCGGAGAACAAAGTTTCAAAGGGTGTGTCCTAGGTATTTATAAGCTGGCGTACTCCTTTCGAATAGTGGGAGCATGTTTGCGTGCTTCTATCCAAGACTGTAATTCCGTGGGCAGACCTAAATCCCACAGCTCTAAAACTTCGCTCGGCAGCGGCGTCTCCTTTTCGATGCTACACTCGATCTCGACGGAGGGTGGTTCTAAGGATGTTTTCGGGTCTGAAGTTGAGTCCGTGCAAATGAAGTCTACGAAGTCTAATGTTGAGGTCCAGAAAGGGTCAGTATAATTGGCATGAAGTACATCTTCTCGTGCTAAAAACCACGGAGAAGGTCCTCGATTATGACCCTGGCCTGAATCCAAGTGGGCGAAGTTCGATGCCTGGTGCTGATTCTGCTGGCCAGTAACCTGTGGTCCCAAAAAGGTCGAAACTACGCAGGTATGAGCATGAAGGAGTACCATCGTATCGTTCAACTCACATGAATGGTTGGAGTCATAAACGGTACGAGTGGGTTCAAATTGCTGAATTTGATTTTCATCTTGGTCTTGAAGTTGCAGTGGATTTTCTTCATGATCGAGTTCACATTGTTGATTCTGAACTCGATCATGAAGAAAATCCACTGCAACTTCAAGATCAATGTATTCCTTAGGCCATGGTGGTGGGATAGTGCTTACTGGGGAGGAATTGGATCCCCCCGCAGCTAAATCGAAACAGAAACAACAGCTACATCGATATTAGCTCCTAAACAAAAGCCGTACAAGCATCTTTCTTACCAGTTGCTTTGACTCGAAGAACGAGCCCTTGCGCCAAGCGCTACCTCTTCTCAATACTCGTTCTGCCAGCTGTTCGTTTATCCTCGCCCAAGACCTTCGACAGGATATTAACTCGCAGATGAATAGCGATAATATTGCCGAATGAATGATGGATGCTTGAACGAGGTGAGAAAAGAAGCGGAGTTCCACGGTTACTTAAGTGTGACGGTGCTGTGTGGCCCGCAACGATCTCCCGAGTTGACCGGTGAAGCACTGGCGAATCATCATGAGGGAACGCACCTCACATATGTGTAGCCACCAACGCTCAGAAACTCGCCGAAGAGGGGAGAGCGGGGATGACCCAGCGACTGTAATCTCTAGCCTTGGCTACGCCATATTTGCACAACCTTCTCAGATTATTGGTAAATTGCGGGAAGAGGTGGGCACAGTACTAGCGCAGCGGTCTATACCTATCTACTTCTTTGATATTGCTTAGGGTCCAGTACTCATCCATCAGAGTCGACTAGATGATTTTGTCAGGGTAGCAGAAATTACCGTTTACTCCAACCGTTGTATGTGTCGTCATTTTGTCGCTAGTAGATGTCTACGTCTGTCCATTTGGAACCAACTTCCGGCTCATCGTCTGCCATTAACTCTCCATCCATAGCTCCGTAAACACAAGAATCTCCGACTAGATGGTACCCACCGCCGTATCTTTGCCGGGGAATGACGGGTACAGTGCAGCCCAGAAGGAGCCAGATTTCATCACCGAATTGGGTGTCCCAGTCAGCCCATCCAATTCGCTGTTTTTGTATGGCTATCAGTCTTCGGCGTTCCGTTTGAGGCAGAAGAACGTCGGGTTGAAACAGGTTCCTAGGATTGGAGTAATAATAGCTATCAGGTACTTGCTGCATACGCTCATGGGCTGCGAGGTCGAAGGGACCGTCGAAGCCGAGCCATTCGAATAGGCGATGCCCGCTGAAAGAGAAGTTTGCGTTCAGTAAGATCCAGTTGTGAAGCGACGGTCTCTTCAGAGCTATGGAAGACATAATTTCGGGGGGAAAGCTCTGCATCTGGGCTATTCTGAGTCTCATGGCTGCTTCCATATGCTGATCCACTGCAACGTTTGCGGCTGTCCCATCCACGAATAGTGTGTTGAACAACGCTAGGCCACCTCTTGGATTACTTGAGGTCTCTCGTCTGGCTAAGAGGGAAGCCTTCTCGTCGGGAGAATCCATGTCCTGGAATCCATCAGGACGTGGCCGTTCGTCATGCTCGCTCCGGCTAATTTGATTGACATGATCGACAAATTTACCTCGCAAGGTGAGCATTTTGTCATTTGACGGAGAAGACTGCGCGAGATTTAAAGGTCGCATTACAGATAAAATTATCTGACGGCAGATGGCGTCTCCTCGAATTTGCTTAAGAAACCCCCAACTTGTAAGTGTAACGATCTGCATTGTACCGTATTAAGCTCCAGCGTGGAACTCAGGTCGGCTCCTTGAAGTCTCCAGAGTCGTTACCGAGAAAAACGATCGTATCCAGGTCTTTCGTCCATCCCAGCGCAGAAACCGTCATTGCCTGCCACAAGTCGGCTACGGGTGTGGAGTAATTCGGATGCGAAACATAAATAGAGTCATCGTATGTTAATCCAAACAACGCAAAGATTCTGTCGTGGCTATCCGAAGCAAGTGCCACCCAGCTACGGAAGAGGGCTTCAAGCAAACGAATGGGCTTGCTCTCTCTTGCATCTCTGCGGAGTTTCTCCAGGTCGTCCAGGTGTAGAGTAGCCGAGCTCTTACGCTTGAGACAAGGGACGCCTTCTTGAATCTTGTCCCATGTCGTCTGCTTCCTGCCCGCTAGAATCACGATCTCCCGACTGAGTGCGAGCTCTTGAATGAACCAGACTCGGTACCAATACGGGTGCATCAGAAAATGTGTGAGGGTTTCAAAATCTCGACCGTGCCGTATTCTTCTCCTACTTCCCTCGTCTTCAGCCTTAGCAGCAATCTTCTCAATCAAATCAACCACCCCCTCGTCCTCGTACGCCCTTCCCCCAACCCACGCCACCGTCCCCTCCCCCCTCCGATACACGGCTCCCATCCTCAGCACCTGCTGCCCCCTCTCATCAACGTCCTCCTAATTAATAGAAAGCGCATCGACCCAAATCGTCACAAATCCATGCTCGCGTAGACTGAGAAGCGATTTTGAGTAACGCCGGAGTTAAGACCATTCATCGTGATTTGACGAACTCGAGTCGCATTGCCCCAAAGATAGCTGAACGCTACGTAAGGAGGGGGGACGCTAGAGATTCGTGGGCGATGGTGCATGAAATGAGATCAGATTGAGCGGGGTCGGCTTCGAGGAGGGTGACGAGGCGGAACTAGCTTTTGGAGGGCTGGAGGGGGGAGTAAGTGTAGGACATCGTGGAATCTTCGACTCTACGACGTTTTGAAATGCAATAGTTAGAACTATAACAAACACGGTAGTTGTCTTGATATGAAGGCTATGATAAGAGGGTCGGGTGAGTGAGGAGAGCGGTTGAACCTCACGTGGTTCCGGAGGCTGTGTAAGTATTGCGTCGACAAGGCTGAGGCCTTCTCGAGGTTCGTGGTGTTGGCCATGCAGACTCATGGCGCCTCGTCCACCCTGATTCGCCAGGGCTTCACCGGTCGAACATCAGAGCACATCTGCACCGAAACTGATTTTGACTATACCTTAGCTAAATAGGGTGTCTGGCAAGCTTGGTTGACAGTCGAGCGCTCTCTGCGTCTTCATTAAGGCTGCGCCTGAGGGATTCTCAAAGGTTAGAGGCGTCTGTGGGATACAACGACGACTCATGATACTATTTATGTGGACACTGGATTCATACCACAGCATAGGTAGATCCAAACTGTTAGTGGGCAAGTGAACAGGAACACTAATACTGGGTGTGTAGACAGATACCTTCGTTCCTTGAGCAATTATCAACTTTCCTGCTTAAAGCGACTTCGCCTGCCATGTCCCAATTCTCTAATCTTCATCGCGTTTTCGCTTTTTCCTTTTTACAATGAATCCCCTCCACGTGTCTATCGCACGCGTCCTTCCACCGAAACCCCTTCAGGGCATACTTACACGTTGCATGCGGACAGCTGTACGGGCGCTCGCGGGAATGAACTCGCTGGTGCCGCCGCAGGTCCTTCAAACTCGAGAAGCGGGAATTGCAGGCCAGAAATGTGCAGGCGTGTGGCCGGGAGTGGCGAGCAGTGTGACGACTGTAGAGGGTCAGATGGATGGGTCATGCTGTGGAGAAGGAAGAGGGGCTGAGATAGAGAAGAGACCGTGGGGACAGAGACGAAGGGAAATGACGAATACTAACCGGAGGTCGCAAGGACGAGAGAAGCTCCTTGGGCAAATGAGACAAGGTAGGGTCGGAGCAGTTTTCGCAAGCTTTAGCTTGCCGGTACGAATCGGTTGATCTGAGTAGTTGGGACGAGGGAACGAGTCTAGAGAAAGTGATTCGGATGGCATCGAGGGTGATATTTTACACGAAATCTGCTGGGAGGAGGGAGTGATGCTAGCTACTTGTGGGCTTGCATCTGCTGGCGTGACAGAAGAGTCCGAAATGTAGGCAGTCTCAGGAGTCGAAACATTCGAAATATTTGCTCTGGCAAAAGACGATGAAGGGGAGGACAAATCGAAGATACTGGGAGAAATCTCCCTAAAGGAACAATCCTGGCTGCTTTTTAGTGTGCTGACCTCTTGAAGTCAATGGGGGCATGTGTACTTCAATCCAAGGATGCCATTCTGTAGGCATATCGAGGCCCCGAGGAGCAGACATGCTGTCAGACATCAACGTCTCCTCCTCAACTGTACAAGTGATCTCAGGGCAAATTAGATTTCCGTATGTATTTCGAGTTGCAGTAACTTCCGTGAAACTCAAAACGTCAAAGTCCGTTGGTGACAGATTGGAAGGGCTAGTGAAATCGCAAGCAAAAAGGTAATGATTGGAGACACGACTGTGTGAGGCAAAATTTGGGGCTATAGGAAAGCAAGACTGGGCTGGTCGTAGCGACGGGAAGTGAAATTGCTGTTGTTGAATATGCTCGGCATGGTAGACTTGGGACCTGGCCAAGGGATCCAAAGCTATATGCGGATATGAGTACGGAAAAGGATGTGACATATTTATCAACTCACCAGAGTATTCGTTCGCAGAATCAACAGCGTGTTCGTTCGCAGGATCAACAAAGTATGTGTTCGTATGAAAGTATTCCCGGTCCTAGCCTCTATATCGAATCGTTTATTCTCGATTTTGGCTATTGCTGATTTGAAAAGAATCGAGATCAAAGGAGTCGACATCGGGCAAGAGGCCAGGACCAGTCAAGCAGGGCACGTATCGATTAGGACTAAGCCATAAGGGAGGGATTTTGCTCGGTAGGGAGGAAAGGTGTCCTCCCACCACCTAGGTCGAAGAAAGCAACTACTGCAACAATATTAGAATTCAAATTAGCACCCCATAGATAGCTATCTCACCTATTGCTTTGACTCGAAGAACGAGTACCTCTGCGCCGGGTGTCGCGTCTCCGCGAGCCCCCACTTCTTCAAACCGGCGATCTGTGAGAGTGGGTAAAACTTCAATATAAGAATGAAGAGCAAGATCTGGCCGATTGGCGACAGGACGCTTTACAAAGGAAACGAGACGGCTTTCATCAGTCTTTTAAGGGCAAAGGTGGAGTGTGGCCACCCACATAATCTTCCGAGGCTGAGGCATGACCGGTGAGACTCTGGCGAATTAGAGTGGACAACGCATGCTCGAATTGTGTGGCCACCAATGTAGGCAGAATATTGGAACCTCGAAGATAGCGAGCTTGAAGGATTTGTGCTAGGTGGCCACAGCTCAGCAGTGGCCTCACAGAAGACGCTGTGAAATAATTACATCTTGAAGGATTTGTGCCAAGTGGCCACCACTCAACAGTAGCCTCACAGAAGACACTGCGAGGTACATCTTAACGGGTGGTCACCATAGTACATCATATGGAGGCCACCTACCCACCCCGCGGTGTTTTTCCGCCTAAGCGGCGGCTGGTAATTTCTTTTTCCAAGGAGAATGGGTACCAGCAGACTGCCAAAAAATGTTTGCATTTGTTTTATCAGTCATTCGATGACTGCGAATACCCACCTACCTAATGCAAGCGATAAAGAGTAAATTATCAAGGGTATCCAACATTAAATGCAAACTCCACGCTAGGAAGTAGGTCATTTTTCCGCGTCTAATCTTCAAGCCGATGTATTAGTTGTATATCCAATTTTTTTTCTTACTTTTCATCCATCAATCTCAGGTATGACTTCATCCTCTTCATTTTCTTCCTTAATCCCATACTCAGTCTCTTCTTCTGGAACTTCAACCTCCCCGTCAAATATCTCTCCCTCGTCCCTTGCAAGGTCCGGATCAGCCTTCACTCCCAAATCTCTCTCGTCCAGAAACGTCCTCCCCCTCAACTGCTCTGGTAGATATTCCTGCTTGACCCTACCATCCTTGAAATCCGGGTTATACTTATAGCCCTTTCCAACGCCCATTTCTTTCATCAACCTAGTCGGTGCATTCCTCAGATGCACCGGCACAGGCAGGTTCGCCACTCCAGGCTCTTTTAGAGCGGCCATCGCCGCATGTAAGCCTCTATACACTCTTGTCGACTTATTTGCCAGAGCTAGGGCAACGGCGCAATGTGCAATATTGATGCCTGCCTCTGGCATCCCGACCCGCTCGACGGCCTGGTGCGCACTGACTGCTAGTGACAGCATTGATGGGTCTGCGAGACCGACATCTTCAGAGGCGACTACTATGAGGCGGCGGGAGATGTACAAGGGGTCTTCGCCAGATTGAAGCATCCGTGAGAGGTAATATAGGGTAGCATCTGGGTCGGAGCCGCGAATGGACTTGTGTAGGGCGGATATGGAGTCGTAGTGCTGATCCCCAGAGCGGTCATAGAGGGACGCTTTCGTCAGGCTAGCACGGAGGGAGTCTGAGGTGGTTTGTGGAGAGGTGGATAAGGATAGCGAGAGCGAGAGGAGGGTTAGTGCTTGTCTGGCGTCGCCATCAGCTCGGAGGGCTAGATGAGAGAGGAACTCGTCGTCGATTAGTGGGGATATATGTTCCTTGACAGCGCTTTCGGAGGCAAGAGCACGTTCAAGAATGTCGCGGATCTCGGACTCTGTGAGGCGTTCGAGGTGGAAAGGACGGCATCGCGACATGAGTGCGGCAACGACTTTGAAGGAGGGATTTTCGGTCGTCGCCCCAATGAGGGTCACCTGACCTGCCTCAATGGGCCCAAGAAATACATCTTGTTGCGTCTTGCTGAAACGGTGTATCTCGTCGCAGAATATGATGGTCCGCCGACCTGTGAGGTTCAGCTCGCCCAGGGCCTCTGCGAACAGCTTCTTGACCTCTCCGACTCCTGAGCTTGTGCTCACAATCTCGACAAAGCGATAATTTGAGGCTTTTGCTATCAGCCGTGCTATTGTAGTCTTGCCAGTTCCAGGTCCTCCCCAGAGTATCATGCTTGGAATGTTGCCAGAAGCTATCATGCTTCGTATCACCCCATTGGGCCCAACTAGCTCTTCTTGCCCGACTACGTCGTCAAGACTACGAGGGCGCATGCGTTCGGGAAGGGGTGCGGCCTTTTGGAGGGCGCTGAGTTTGGTACGTTTAGGAGACGGAGGGTCGCCATTTGTGGCATCGAGAGAGCGTTTGGTGCCTGTAGGAGATATAGAGCGGTCGACATGCTGTGTCTGCGGTGGCGGCTGGGTGAAAGGTGACGGAGTGGGGGCTGTGGGAGGCGCGGTGGTTTTTGAGGAGACGCTGGCGACACGCTTGGGACCCGGCGTGAAGAAGCTCAGCACTCTCTTGGGAGCATTCTCAGTAGCGTCCACGATGAAAGACTCGCAGCCGGAGTCGAGATGTGGGTTGATATGTTGAGGCTTGACGGGTTTGGAGCAGATGGGACAGTCGACGGGTGCGGTGTCGTCCATTTCTTGGTAGCGCGGAGAGAATAATCCGGGGCAGAACACGAGGTCACTGGATGCGGACCGGTCTCGGCAACTTGCAGAGGACGGCCCGATAGCGCTACACAGAGACGTGTGGAGGGGCACGTAGGGGGTGGGCACGGTGGGGTTTCGGGAGGGCAGAAACGCGGCATCGTTGGGCTGCTTGGGGGCAAAATAGAGCACGCAATGCCGAAAACTCAACACCACGCTGACTCCGCTATATCAGCCCAGCCTCACACTCCTTCTCACTTGCCGCTCGCCCTGCAATGACAAGCTGGCTGTCGTCGCTAGCCAGAACCACCCGCCCTGTCCCTTCACTCTTCAGACACAAACACAGAGCCCCCCCACTTCCCTCCCCGAGCTTGATCAATCCCTCCATCCGCCCAATGTCTACCGCCGCAGAACGCAGAGACCCCATCAAGCCGGCGGCGAGAGTCGCGCGCCAGAATCAGGATGTCTGGTAACCAATTGGCCCTTTATTCCTCTTCCCCTCCATAATCTGCCATTTCTACCATAAGAAGAGCACCAATGGGGAACTTTTTGCTAACTTTGGTGTGCACAACCAGGTCCATCGTCAATGAAGCTGCCGCCGCCTCTCCCATTCAGCCTATCGTGAACATGGGCCAGGGGTTCTTTGGCTACAATCCTCCTCAATTCGTCATTGATGCTGCAAAAGCGTCACTGGATAAAGTAGAATGCAACCAATACTCTCCCACAAAAGGCCGGCCACGACTAAAGAAGGCCATTGCGAATGCCTACTCACCTTTCTTCGGCCGTGAGATAAACCCAGAGACGGAGGTTACCATCACAACGGGTGCAAACGAGGGTACGGATACGCCCAGCCATTCGTGACCTTGAATCAAGATGTTTGGGATACAACTCCACGTCCTTGAAGAAACGCTCGAGGTACTATATCAGAAGCTGATACTGTCATCCCAGGCATGCTCTCCGCCTTCATGGCCTTCCTCGAGGCCGGCGACGAAGTCATCGTCTTCGAGCCCTTCTTCGACCAGTATATCTCCAACATCGAGATGCCCGGCGGCAAAGTTGTCTACGTCCCCATGCATCCACCCCCAAACGGCTCTACCACCACCTCCTCAGCCTCCGAGTGGAAGATCGACATGGAGCAATTCGAAGCCGCCATCACACCCCGCACACGCATGGTCGTCCTCAACAGCCCACACAACCCCATCGGCAAGGTCTTCTCGCGCGAGGAACTGCTAGCAGTGGGCGAGCTATGCGTGAAACACGGCATCATCATCCTCAGCGACGAGGTGTACGACCGCCTCTACTACGTCCCCTTCACGCGCGTCGCAACCCTCTCCCCCGAGATCGACCGCCTCACCCTAACCGTCGGCTCCGGCGGGAAGAACTTCTACGCCACAGGCTGGCGCGTAGGCTGGCTAATCGGCCCCGAGAATCTCATCAAATACGTATCCGCAGCCCACACCCGAATCTGCTACAGCAGCGTCTCCCCATTGCAAGAAGCCACCGCCGTCGGCTTCGAAGAGGCGGACAAGCACGACTTCTGGAACCAGAGCAAGCGGGAAATGCGCGCGAAGATGACCAAGTTCAACGCTGTGTGGGACGAGTTGGGGCTACCGGTAAGACTTCACTTTGTTCTACCCCTATCTGTGACCCCTGTTTTGATGCTAATTGTCTCTTTTTCTCGCAAACAGTACTCCGACCCTGAAGGCGGCTACTTCGTCCTCGTGAATATGTCGCGCGTGAAACTGCCGGCCGACTACGACTTCCCGCCCCACGTCGCCTCGCGGCCGCGCGACTTCAAGCTCTCGTGGTTCTTGATCAAGGAGCTCGGGGTTGCTGCTATCCCGCCGACCGAGTTCTTCACGCCGCAGAACGCACATATCGTTGAGGACTGGCTACGGTTTGCGGTGTGCAAGGAGGATAGTGTGCTCGAAAATGCAATGGAGAGGCTGAGGGGGTTGAAGAAGTATATCCATGATTAGGTAGATTGTGGTGATCTGCTTTCGGATTTTGGCCCTGTCCTAATGTGAACTGCGATGGCTTTACCTCGACAACACCCCTGAAGGTAGGAAGCTGACAGTTGCTTATGAGTATCCCTTCAGTGTATGCATGATAGAACATAGATCTGACTCTAAATTTCTACCAAACAAAATCAAACCAAAATCAAGAAAACTGAAAAGCCATCACGATCCCTGAACGAGTGCTGACCCCTTTTCTATTCGATATAAGCCGCCCCGTCTCAGAAAAATACAGTACACTTTCGACTTCTTCTTATCCCACCTTTTCTATTTCCAGGTTTGCCCCTTAGATCGAAATGAAGAAGCTCTTCTCCCCCTCCCTCGGCTCCACCCGTGCCCGCTGGATAATCGGATCCGCACAACTAACCCTAATCCGCTCCACCGTCGCCGGTGAGACCAAACTAAGCACCTCCTCCTCGCCGAACTGCTTCCTCGCAGCCTTCAGCGCATCGCGGATAGCGAAGAAGACAGCCGAGCCCATGAACAGCGGCGGTTCGCCTATCCCTCAAGTTAGCACTCAGATCCACCTCAAGCCTCAAAAGGGAACAGGGTAGAAAAAAATCAAAAATCAAACATACCAACCCCACGACTCCGCTGAATCGTCCTCAAATTCTCCCACTGCACATCCTTCAACAAACTCACATTCATCTCCTGCGGCACATCCCGAAAGCCCGGGATCTTATACGCGCCGGGCCCGCGCGTGAAAATCTGCCCACTGGCCCGATGCCACAGCATCTCCTCCGTCGTGAACAGGCCCTGGCCCTGCACAAACGCGCCCTCGATCTGGCCGTAGTCGATGGCCGGGTTGATGCTGCGGCCGACGTCCATCTTGATGTCCGCGCGCCGGCACGTCCAGTCGCCCGTCAGCGTGTCGATCTCGACCTCGGCGGCCGCGACGCCCTGCGTGAAGTAGAAGAACATCTGCCCCGTGTTAGGCCCCCAGACGTAGCCGATGTCGGGCGTCTTGTAGAAGCCGTTGGCCGAGAGGTTGACGCGGTCGAAGTAGGCGGCGTGCGCGAGCTGCTTCATGGTCGCGTCCGGGCCGAGCTTGGCGCGGTAGGGCGCCAGGCGCTCGTTGAGCTGCTCGCAAGCGTTCCAGATGGCGTAGCCGTTGAGGTCGGACGAGGCCGAGGCGGCCGTCGACGACGTGTTGGCGACCGTGTTGGTGGCGGTTTCGGAGATGAAGACGCTGGATTGCGGCACTTGGAGTGCTTCGGCTGCGATCATGGTCATCTTGGTGTGTAGGCCTTGGCCCATTTCTGTGCCGCCGTGCGCGAGGAGGACGGAGCCGTCGTGGTAGATGTGGACGAGGGCGCCAGCTTGGTTGAGGAAGAGGGCTGTGAAGGAGATGCCGAATTTGGTGGGGATGATGGCAAGGCCGCGCTTGTTCCATTTGTGGGTTGCGTTGAACTCTTCGATGGCTTGGCGGCGTTGGGCGTAGTTGGATTCATCTTGTACTTGTTTGTACATGAGGGGGACGTAGAAGTCTTTGAGTTCTTGGTTGAAGTGGGTTTCTTCGCCGGGCTTGTACATGTTGATCTCGCGGAACTTCTCGACGGGAATGTTGAGATGGTCTGCGACTTCTGACATGTAGGACTCGGCGATGAACATGCCTTGCGGTCCACCGAAGCCTCGGAATGCTGTGTTGGAGACGGTGTTGGTCTTCGCGATTCGTCCCCGGACGTGGATGTTTGGAATCATGTACACTCCGTCGACATGGGACAGTGCTCGATCGACGACAGCAGCACTCAGATCTTGACTCCAACCGCCGTTGTTGATTACGTCTGCATCGAGAGCTTGGATTTTGCCGTCCTTATTAACCGCAACTTTCCACCTTCCGAGGAAGGGATGACGCTGACCAGAAGTCATGATATCCTCGTCTCGGTTGAGCATGCACCGCACTGGCCGTCGAGCCTTCTTTGCGGCAACGGCGCAGATACCAGCAAGTTGAACAGACCTAGTCTCCTTACCACCGAAACCACCTCCCATACGCTTTACTCTCGAAACAATCTTGTTGGCATCAACTCCTGTGACTTGAGCCACATACGCCTGGGTCTCGGTCGGATTCTGTGTGCTGCTGAAGACATCCATTTCTCCGTCTTCGTGTTTCGGAACTACAACCACTGCTTGAGTCTCGAGGTAGAAATGCTCCTGGCCGCCCATCCTCGCTATGCCGGTGAAGACATGATCTGCTTCAGCGAAGGCCTTCTCAGTGTCGCCCTTGATGATGTAGCGGAAATGTTCGAAGTAGCTCTCCTTCTCGATAGCCTCTTCAATCGTGAAAATAGCTGGAAGATCTTCATACTCGACCTTGACAGCCCGGGCAGCAGCTTCTGCTTGCTTCGCAGACGAGGCAAGTATGATGCCAATTGGCTGACCGGCAGTGAACACCTCGTCTACGGCGAAGAAGACTTCATCGGCCACAGGAGCACCCCACCAATTGGCCTCAGGATTCGGGAGGTCGTGGTGGTCCACGTAGTCGAAGACTCCAGGGAGATCCAATGCTGCCGATGGATCTACACTAACGAGCTTTGCATGTGCTTTGGTAGATAGGACGAGACATCCATAAAGCTCGTTCTTCTGTACAGGGATGTCGTCAGTGTATTGAGCTTCTCCAGTACATTGCTTCATCGCAGCAACGTGCGGTCGTTCCGAGCCTAGAATCTTCTGCTCATACGCTTTCGCAGAAGCATGATCCTTGGATCCGTGGGATATGATCCGTTCAATCTCGCCGATTGCCTCTGCATCCACGATAGCCTCCTCGGCCTTGAGCTCAGCTAGGACTTCGTTGTAGAACTTGTAGAAGAAGCCGAGAGCAAGGGACTTCCTGTATGTCGCCATACCGCCAGGAACGCCGAATCTTAGATCGAAATCCTCTTCCAGGGCACCCATGACACCCTCCAGAGTCGCCGGATCGGTCCATTTCTTACCATCTAGGAACTCTCCAGCCTTCTTAGCAGCAATTGTGATAGGTGCCATACCGCCATATACTAGACTCACGTTTTCAACGACATAGGCGTCATTGAGATGGACTCTTAAAGCTGCGTTGACGATGGCAATATCGTCATCTTTCCTCTTCGCTTGTTTGTAGGCCCTCATGTATTCCCCCTTTTCTTTAGCAGCTGGTATCCGCAGGCCGGCAATGACGGCATCGGGAGGTAGAGCCGTGACGCGGTAACCCTTGAAGAACTCGGACATGGGTATCTCCGTGGTCTTGTCGAGGGATTTCGCAATTAGGGTCGCGTTGGACGCAACAAAGACGGGGTTCAGATCGGAAATAGGGGAAGCTGTTGCAAGGTTTCCAGCTGGAGTGCCAACGTTCCGGATTTGCCTTCCTGCAAAGTATCGAATCGCCTTTAGGATAGCAGCAAAAGGCTGACCGCAGGCCTCTCCGTAATGTTTGACAGCCTCTTTGGCGATCTTCTCCAGGTCGGTGAGCACGATGTTTCCACCAATTTCTAAGTAGTCATCTTCGAATGAGTACTGCCGAAGCTCTGGAATATCTCCGACAAAGACCGAAGCGGAATATTGCATAGCCTTGAACTTGATCTCAATCTGCGTCTCGGTGCTACCTCCGATGATCTTCGCCGAGGGGTATGCGCTCTTTATCTCCAGTAGCTGCTGTAAAGTGACGGGCCTAAACCACCGCTTCCTCTTATTACCAAATGCTAGGGGTTTGAAGTCGTGTTTGCGGAGCATGGGAGGGAATATGAGCTCGGTATCAGGCTTGTATTCGATGAATCCAGGGGGCGTAAATCTCTTGATCGGTTGCTCTTCGCCGTCGACTCCACTCTTACAGCATCCATCCCCGTTGCCATTCTTCTCCATACAACATCCTCCTCCTCCATTTGCGGTGGCTTTTCCGCAAGTTCTTTCCGCACTGAAGCTCTGAGCAGCGTCCAATATCGGTCGGTATCCCGTACACCTGCAGAGGTTGCCATCGAAGGCCTCTTCAACGTCGTGTTCGGTGGGGTTGGGATCATTTCGAAGGAGAGCGTATAGGCTCTATCTTCAAATTAGCTTAACCCCAAGGAAAAAATAGGAAGAAGATACCATGACAATGCCAGGGGTACAGAAACCGCATTGGCTGCCGTTGCTCTTGGCTATCCTCTCCTGTGCTGGATGAGGTTGCTTGACGTTCCCAATGCCCTCCACCGTGATAACATGCTTGCCGTCGACACTTACCAGCGGTGCGAGGCAGGCATTGACTGAGGCATGGTAGACTTGCCTAGTCGTAGGATTATATTGGGAGACAACCTGGTTCGGTCAGTTTTGGGATCGATATATTTCAGTAGGTAGTATTGCCACTCACAACTGTACAAGCGCCACATCCTCCCTCAGCACAACCAAGCTTCGTCCCCGTAAGTCCAATGCCTCGCAGGTACTCTAACAAAGTGACTTCTGGGTCAGCAGAATCTAGGATGACTTTAGTGCCATTGAGGTAAAAGCGGAGCGTGTCATCGTAGGCGTCGGTGACTGAGATCAAAGACCGCGTCGACTCCACCGACACAGCAGGCTCGACAATGCCAGGTGCCATCTTGATAGTGCACAAGTAAGAAAGAAATTAGAAGTCTGGGTCCCTGGAAGAGCAAACAAAAAATCTAAAGGACCACAGCACTGGGGAAAGCTACCCTGCAGGTATTAGAAGCAGTGGGGCAGGTCAGTAAGATATGGGTTGACGCCGCGGCAGACCGGCTCCCGATGAGAAGAAGAAACACAGGCTGACGAATGATACGGCAGGCAATTCGGTGGCTGTGGGTCTTATCATCTAAGGCTATGTCCCGCGCCTGGAGTTGACAGTTTGCTGCATGTAGGAGGGCGGAGATGGCCGTCATAGGCCGCTAAAGTAGACGGTTTTGTGTGAGGGGCAAACCCCCAGATCTCAGATCCAGCCCGTTGTTTGGCTAGAACTGCTGCTTCACCACAGCTCGGCACGAGTCCTCAGAGGGGTTTCTTTTGAGCGCGCAGAGCATGGTAGAACTGGTCATGGCTGCGGCTTCATGTAAAGGTGCGGCCGCCTCCGAAGCACCGGCAAACCCCTGTTTTCTGTAACAGATCATATATCACGTGACAGTATCTCACTTTTATGTCTGGGATTAGTAACAAGATTGAATAGCCCACTGTACATACATGAGCCATGGGGGTGGGTCTGGTGTTTGGGTACTCTATCCCCACGGCGTTTTGAGAGCACAGCACTCGTCTGCTTTGCCTATGCTAGAGGTCCCTTGACAGGTTTTTGAACGTATTAACAAAACATAATTTATCGCCGTGAGAGATTGATGACCTCCTCAATGCCTAACAGAGCAGTGTCCGGGTACTGAATCACAATATCGCATAGTCGATCTGAGAACTGTTGGATTGATAGCTATGTATCGTACACGACGACTGATGATCGCAGTAAGCATCCTCCCACGCCGAACCCTTTTCCGTCCGCCGCTAGTTGTCGTGATGCCGTCAACCGAGAGAAGCAACCATATCCGAATCCTTACCGTTATTAAAACATAGCTCCAAAGATAGACAAGAACGCAAGAGAGAGAAAGCATCGTGCACTGTTCGCAAGGAAGAGATCGAAAAACTGGAGAGCTCGAGTCATGGTCATATCGCAACAGCAGGACAACCAAGGAAAAGCAACCAGGGACCATCCGGCCGCTCAGGTGCAAGATAATGATGACCCGATGGTCGCAAGCCAAGCATGTCATCCAGATGTAGTCAAGTTGGAGCCAATCAAGATGCAGCAGCAGTAGGTATCAAATCTGTCCGTCCGGGGAAGTGGTTCAAAAGTTTTCGGAGTCATCCTGAGTGGTAGTCAACCATGTTGGACATGCGATCAGACGAGCATCAGCCATAGTTCAAGACTTCAGACCCTGAAGGGTTGCCGGTATGTCAGAGTAGTCGGAGAATAGCCAAAGTGTAGAGTGAGAATCAAGCCATGAGACGCAGTCCAAGCGTGAAGTGAGGGTCAAGCCATCAGAGAAAGATCGCAAAGCATCGGTCATGCGGTCATGCATCAAGCGTCGAAGTCTCAGCAGCAAGCGCACCAACGTCACGGTGGACACATCAAGCTGGTACTCAGGCGGAGGGTGGCGGTCGCTTCTGCTCACCTTGGCCTGGTGTTTGCCCCTGCTGTTGGGCGCCAGCAGCCATGGCAGCATACCAATATGCGGCGTAGTTCTGGTAACCTCCCCAGACCGCATAGGGGTCTTCTCCACCAGCAGCTCCTTGAGGTGGTGGCACCATTGGATTCGCTGGTGGAGGAGGCTGGCTAGCATGCTGTACTTGCCCATAGGGCTGCTGTTGCTGTGGTTGTGAGTACGGGTCATTATAGTTTCCGTTGTCACGTGGTGGGGGTCTCCTGTTGTTGTTTCCACCACCGCCATAGCCACCACCGTTCTTCTCTTTCTGAATTTAATTAGTAAAGAGCAGGCTAAGGGAGGAAGAATAATACTTACAACTGAGTCAACCTTCTCCCAGATAGCCTTCTTGGCATCTTCAATCGCCTGTCTAGTTCCAACAAGACCGATTTCGCGTTCGATATCGGCACCTGAAGCCTGGGAAACGTTGATCTTGCATCCACTGGTGTTCTGCATTTCTTTGATGGTTTCTCCGCCTACCCAGGTGTCAGCAAATTCCTCTAAGCGTGCCAAAGGGAAACCATACCTTTGCCAATGATCATACCAACGGCATCCGAAGGAACCATGATGGAGTCATTGACCTTTCCACCTGCAGCTGCAGGGGCGTTGGTATTCGCGAACTGGTCAAAGTTGTCCCGGCGTCCTCCCTCTTGTTGTTGGGTAAGAGTCTTGGTATCACTGTCGACGATCTCCAGAATGAGTTCCTTGGCCCGGGCAGAAGCTTGTGGTGTACCGATGAGGTTTACAGGGCGCAGACCATTCACACTCTTGTTCTCGCCAACAATATTGACATGACAACCGCTACGTTCTTGTAGATCGCGAATGGTCTCGCCTCCTCGTCCGATGATCAGTCCGACGGTTCTGTCCGGAACCATGATTTGAACACTGTTCTCTCCTTCGCGAAGGGCAGGTTGGTGGGTCTTGGAGCTTGCTCTGGCGCCTCGTGCACCTTGGGCTTCACGGGCGGGATTGCCACCATTCTCTTCGATGATCCGGTTGATTTCTCGCTTTGCATCAACACGCGCGCGGGGGTTTCCGGTGATTTTGCATTGACGCTGTGGTCCCCCAGCTTCAGGACCAGTGACGAACTGAATGCGGGTGCCAGTTTCCTCTTCAATACGACGGAGATTTTCGCCCGAGCGGCCAATGACTAGTCCCACGAGAGACGATTCGATGACTATAGTCTCAACGTTGTCGTTCACTGGAGGGGAGCGTCGACCACCATAGGCTCCGCGGGGAGGGCTGAACGTGTCGCGTCCACCACGGGGTGGGGAACGAGATCTATCTCTCGAGTAACCAATACCACCTCGCCTAGGGTCTTCGCGACGATCGTCTCGGTATGGATTATAACTATCTCTAAGGTTATTTTGCCGTGGAGGAGACCGCGATCGCGATCGCGATCGACGGTAAGAACGGCCTGCTAACCTCGGATCATCTCTGGGTCCTATTCCAAAAGCGTGAGTGAATGAACAATGGAACGAGCCACTAGAGGGGCAAACATACCAGAGCTATTCCTTCCTGAATCGTATGCCAATCCCTTCTCCGCTGCGAAGCCTCGTGCTTTTGCGAGAGCGTCCTGGAGGCTCACCGAGCCAGTGCTGACGGGCTTTATCGCACTCAAGTCGAGGCTGCCGGAGTTCGTAGGCTGAGGGAGTCCATACTGGAGCACGGGTGGTGTGGGTGTCTGGATACCGTATCCTTGTGGAGGCAGACCTTGCGGCGGTGGTTGGGAAGAGGCACCAGCAGGCCGCTGGGCAGCTGCGCATTCATTCTATTAGTGAGGCCACAATGCGATGAAGGACTGATCGCATACCGAGAGCGGCCAAGATTGCAGAAATATCTGGCTGCTGGGCTGCCATAGCGCAAGTGTCGCACAGATGCGAGTAGCTGTGATGCTGGAGGGCGGTCTAGTGAGGGCGATGTGAAGTGGTGGGTCGTGAGAGTGTATAGAGAGAGAACACGGGAAAGAGGTGCTCGAGAGTGAGACAATGAAATGAACGGCGTGGATGGACTGAGACTCTGAGAGACAAGCAAGATGAAGGGCAGGTGGCTGGTCCTCGAGCCGAGGAAAAAGCGGAGGCGCTAGGCTACTCTCGGCTACCTGGCATTCTCTTTCACCTCACGCAACACCCGCTTGATCACGGAAATCAACATCGAAGTTACGATGGCGCAGACCCGAGAAGGCCTTGATAATAAAAACTACGTATCGATCTGCGCTTGATAGGCAAGTCTTCATCTCAGTTTCCTGGATTTGCTCTCTATTAGCTCTTGCTGAAGTCTACTCCAAGCTACGCTCCTTAGGATTATGTATACACTTACCTGCTATTCCTTAAGGTACTTCAAACTGTTCCATAAGCTCTAGACAAGATGAAAATGTCTCATACTATCTCAATATCTCAGCCCACCTCGAAAGGCACGGTCGACTCTTCACAAAGGGTACTGGAGCACCTCTAAACCGAGGCATCAGAACTGCTGTCGTAGTTGTCTAATAGGACGTATCTATCCTTTTTCGTAATCGAGTGAGCGATGTTTTCGTCTGGTTCTGTGGATCAAGGTGTTATCCCCGGGATTATTTTCGTGTCGTCCAATCGCCAGACTTCCCGCATCTATTCATGCCCCATTTTCTTAGCATTCATATCTTTAATGCTGTTCAAACCGTGTCTACCGGAATTGTAATAGGCTATTTTGCGCTGTAGGCCGCCACTTAACGCCGAGAGTACTAGATTGGTAGTCTCTGGCGTGACCGCTGCGATTTCCTTAGCAAACTCTCCTTTCCCCGATCTCGAGACAAGTCAGCTTCAGTTGCTTTCAATATCTCTGAAATGCTATCCATTCATTCTAAGGCGCTCTGATACCTGCTTGCCACATTCTTAGCTACGTCCGCGGCTATCCCAGACGTGATCTCTGGATAATAGCTTCTTAGATTCTCGTTCAGCATACCGGACATCAACCAGACCTTCAACTACGTCGTTGTACGGAGAGGAACTGTTGGCCGTACAGTTACCGTTCGCCTTTTTGAAGACTCATCAAACCTCGTTGTAGTCCTCGAAGCTGATAGATGCAATGGAAAATGAAGCGAGGCTCCACGATACATTGGCCCGTAGACATCAACGCATGACGAGCGGGCGTGTAGACCGGCCAGCTTTACCTCTTTTGGTTTAGCGCAGCAACTAACTCACAACCTTCTATCAAGCTCACTGCTCACCATTTACTATCTACATACTCGCTATAAACGTTCCTGTACCTTCTCTACGTTATATGAACCCGTCATAGCAAGAGGTAATGGTTTTCGCTGACTATTCTAAGGTTGTCGGAAGGCGACGACACAACACCGGCGCTCAAATGTCCACTCCACCTATACACATTGACCGCGAGTATTTCTACGAACATGGCTATACTCCGGCTCCTGATTCAGCTAACTTGCGAACAACGCAGTAGTTGATGGGAGTAGCCGGTTCTTAGCGTTTTAGTTTGGAGGTAATGTCTGAATCATTCCTAGTGTTTCAACCTCATCTACATTTTCCACCTTCGGCGCCAAAAAAGCGGCCTACCTAAGACGCCATATCGATTACAATGACTGAACCGGATAAATGCGGAGTATCGACGATTCAAGGCTGCCACTTCTTCCTGGTAGGAATGGGCTTGTCAACTATTTTATTGGTTAGAATCTTACAGAACACTAACTAGCCTCTTCCCATAATCCATACGTGTGACAACACGACCCTAGGCATGAAACCAATCTCCAGCGCTCGCGTACAAGCATGCGTAGCTGTTGTTCCTCCAATCTCCGCTGTCGCCTGATCTCCGCCTCTTGGCCCTCTTGGCGTTGCAAGGAGAAGAACGACGGTCTCCTTGATTCTCCTTGGTACCTTATTATGTGATGTGCCACCAGCTTTCATGTCTTCAATGAAACGAAACCTTTATAGCTTCCGAGAAGCCGCTGAGCCTTGGCATCTCTTCCCTGTGAGCCTTCTAGCCCTGTTTCTATCTCCCTTGTCCATTTCCTCTGTGCTCAATTGGTGCAAAATTCATTCTCGGAGATATTGTAGATCAGCGGTAAACGTGAAATGGACTACTCAATAGTAGCGATGTAAGCTCGGTGAGCATAGTGCACTCAAAGTAGGTGATATCAAAGGAGCATGAGTGCATCGATTTATTATACTCGCCTACCATCGACATTCTTTCAAGAGCAGGCTCTCAAAATATCAAATCGCTCTGAAGCTTTCTTCACTCTTTGTTTTTGGACTTTCCAGTCTTGCGCTGGCAGCTCCGACCAGGACACATGAGAAACGAGGAAACTTGGCCAAACGTGCTTCAGTGACCCAAACACCCACGACTGGGTATGCCACTCAAAACGGTAGTACGACAGGTGGTAAAAGTGAGGCAAAAGGGCCATTCTAGAGTAAACCATTTGCTAAATATTCACGTAGGAGGATCTACAACTACGGTCTCAACCTACGCTCAGTTCACCGCCGCCGTGACTGACGGCACTGCTCGGATCGTGATTGTGAAGGGTACCATTACGAAAGCAGCGCGGATTAAGGTTGGATCCAACAAATCCATCATTGGACAGGATTCTAGTGCAAGTCTGTCTTTCTTTCCTACTTGCTACACACTACAAGCCTTGGAAACCCCCCCCCCCCGGCCCCCCCCCCCAACTTTTCGGTTACTTCTCAACAATGCTGATTGGCGAGCAGAGCTTGTTGGCCTCGGTCTTTTACATTAAATCCAAGAAGAACGTCATCGTTCGAAATCTCAGCATCTCTAAAGTTCTCGTTGCTAACGGCGACGCCATTGGTATCCAAGCCAGCACCAACGTATGGGTCGACCATTGCGATGTCTCCAGCGACACCGACCATGACAAAGACTACTACGACGGACTCGTCGATGTGACCCACGCCTCAGACTTCGTCACCATTTCAAACACCTTCTTGCACGACCACTGGAAGGCGTCTTTAGTCGGCCACTCCGACTCTAACGGCGATGAGGATACCGGCCATCTCCGCGTAACATACAACAACAATTACTGGTACAACATTCACTCGCGCGGCCCCTCTGTCCGGTCCGGAACTGTCCATATCTACAACAGCTACTACCTTTCCGTGGACAATGGCATCAACACTCGCGATGGTGCGGTGGTGCTTGTGCAATCGAATGGCTTTGACGGCTCCTCGAAGCCGCTGTACAGCACTGACTCGGGATATGCTGTTGCGTCTGACAACGTCTTCGGAGATGGTCAAGGCTGCTGTCTATGGTACTGCTGGAAACACCTTGTCGTTCTAGAGGGCAGAATCAAGCCTTCAAGAGTTCCCTTGGGGTGACGAACACGATAATAGCTATATTTCCTGATTCGTCCCTCTCAAGCCCACGGCTTGACCGTTCGCTGAGGTGAAGAAAAGTGTTATTCTTTTGTCCATATTTGACTTTCTGTTTTCATATTTATCGTAGTATAGCTGCTTATGTATATGCATTATGTGCTTGCCTATCCGGCCGATTTAGTCCCTTTTGACCCTTGAAGATCCCAAAAGACAAGTGAACATAACTCAAATATCAACTTAATCATGCAGAGTTCAAGTTTCTTCTTGGTTGGAAGATATCATTGCTTTATGCATCATAATACTAGCTGCCCATTACATACACTCATAACTAGCACGACGGTGCGGCTTCTACGCAAGCGCTCATCCATCTTTAACGCATAATCGCTCCAAAAGCTCGAAAACATCAACATCACTCCATACTCAAACATCATGAATCTACAATCAGCGCCCAGTCTTCTGCCTGTCCATCTCCTGCCTGAACGCATTCCCAGAAGGCGCAATCCCATCCTCGCTGACCAAGCTCCCCAAGCTGTCCTCCCTGAAATGGCCACGAGGCCTGGTGGGCGGCGGCGACACCACCTGATCGCGGTACTGCGGCCCTCCGGACAGATCTCTCTCCTCTAGCTTGATCGCGCCCTTCTTGCCCAAGCCCATACGCTGCCTCTTGGACTTCCCCGTGCCGTATCCAGCACGCTTGCCCATGATATTCCCAATCCCAATCGACCGGTGCTTCCGCATGCCAATGCACAACCCGATCACCACGATCGCCACAAAGCCCAGACTAACCGGCAGCCCGATGATCAAGCCTAGCTTATTCGGCGCTTTGGTGTGCGCCGGTGGCGTATAGTGATAAGCAGGCTTGTTCATGAGCGTGATCGTAGGGCCGTCGTACGGGATCGCGGTCTGCTCCGGAAGGTCGGACTGGAACATGAGCGCGTAGAAGGTCAGGTTGTACTCGGAGTAGCCCTGCATCCAGGCCTTGTCCATGGTGATGGTTGTGACGCCCCAGCTGTTGTCGACGGTGTCGGAGCTCCAGGCTTGCTCTGCGGTCATGTTGGCGTAGTTGAGCTTGATGGTCACGGTGCTGTTGATGGGGAAGTAGTCGGGGTTCCATGTTACTACGGGTTAGGTGTTAGTACAATTGTACTAGGTGTTGTCTTTAGAGCCAGACTGAGAAGTAATTGCATACCGTAGTACGTGTTGCCGACGTAGAGGGTCGATTCGTTGTTCGGCAGACAGAACGGAGCTGCACTTGTATCGTGGCAGACTGGGAAGTCATGGCTAGGGTTGATAGGGGAGACAGTGCTGCTGGCGACAGCACTTGTTGGAGTCTGGGTTTCTTCTGCGGTGGTAGTAGATGCGGCAGCGGTGGCTTCTGCGGATTCCGAGGAGTCTGCCCTGGTCGGCAATGCTGCTTCGAAGGTCGTTGGTGTACCATCGCTCAAAGTACTGACAGCAAGAGCAACTGAAGGAGCAGTAGAAGACTCCGTGGTACTAGCTATACGTGTATGAGCATTTTAGGGTTCGAGAATCAATTAGGATTTCTTACATGCTCTCTTAGCTAGCAGAGGTCCAGCAGACACGCTATGGAGGCTTGTAGACGCCGCCAGCAATGCGACGAAGCTCAAATTGACGCGCATCGTGAGGATAACGAGAGTTCTGATGAATAGGGGTAATCCTTCAGCGAATTGACACTCACTGCTTCTTGAGAACGGACAGCAAGAGGGCAAGGGTTCAATTGGCGAAGAGCAGCAGAAGAGCTTCACGAGGGAACGAGGCTTTAAGGCGGGCTGTGAAACTCCCGCAGCTCGCTATCAAACAAATGCTAGTAGCGACCGCACTTGGCACTGGTTTCAGGGGATGTTCATAACTTCATGGCTCGAGCTTCGGGAACTGTTGATCACTGCTGTGCAAGGCGACCTCTTCCCCAGAAGAAGATCGTAGTCTCTGATGCTCTCGCTCATCCAAGAGTGTGCAGAGTATTCGAAGTCTTTGCTGCGATTCAGTGATTCCACGCTCGGATTTTGGTGAATGTCTGCGAAGTGGAAAGATGATCCGCTCCTAATGGAGTTAGCAGTAAACACTCACGCAGGATCGGCGCCAAGAGCAATTAAAGTCCGAACCATCCATCAGGTTCCCTCCCCCCACAGCATCCTGGTCTTGCGTGTCTTCTTCTCCATCCGTTGATTCCTACAAGTCCGTTATCGACGTGATCTTAGACTGCCGTACGCGCATCTTCCTGTCCCTCCTTGAGATCACATATACCCCTTCTATACCCCCGCCGCATATCTGGCCTCATTTCTCTACCTAGAGCATTTGTCCGCGCGCTTCTAGGCAGCACCACTTCCTCTCGGCACCTTTCTCACAACTATCAACATGCGATTCTCATCGTCGATTGTTTTTGCGCTTCCTGCGCTTGCTCTTGCGCAGGAGCAAGTCCCGCTGGCGGATAAGATCAAGGGCTGGTTAAGCCAGGCGCAATCTTTCGTCTCGTCTGCTGTGCCGTCAGTTCCATCATCACCTGTGGATGCTGGCGCCGCAAAGGTCGCGGAACATGTCGAGACCAGCCTGACCTTGGAAAACTGGCAATCAGTGCTTTCTGCCGACCCTTCTGCTACCACTGCGGGGCCTGAGGACTTCATGGTGTACATCACTGGAGGCAACAAGACTTGCTACGGTGTCTGCGACCACGCTGACAAGGCATGGAATGTATGTATTGCAATGCTGCATCTTTTTCATTCACTAAGTGTCATAGGATTCCGTTGCTCTCCTCTCCGCCTCTCCTAGTGCACCGAAATTTGCTGTTCTCAACTGTGAGAACGAGCCCATTCTCTGCAACGCCTGGGCTGTCGGCCCTCCCTCGATATACTACATCTCTATCCCCCACGCGCTTGCAGATCAGTCTGCCCCAGCCCCTCTCGCGTACTACATTCCCCTCAACAGGACTTCTGTTACCGCCTCCGAGATTACTGCGATTTCCACCAAGGAGACTTACAAGACCAACGCACCATATGAGGGTATCTGGCATCCGTTCAGCGGATTGATCGCGCAGTATCAGTTGGGCATGCCGATCGGTTACGTTCTTTGGGGCTTCTCCAAGATGCCCTCGTGGCTTCCTATGATCCTTATCAGCTTCTTCAGCAGGTCGTTCATGTAAGACTTCAAATTCAAAGCTCGCTTTGTGAAGATTGCTAATCCAAAATCCAGGGGACGACGAGCGGCAGCTCCTCGAGGCGGCGCAGCTCCAGCGGCTGCAACCTAGGCAATAGGGCCATCGATACCCTGGAGGTAACATAGATCGCAGCTATTCAATCTACGATGCTTATTTGAATGCGCTGAATGTTGAATAAGGCTATCGGCTCAGGTAGGTCGAAAAAGGGACGTTGGGTACGGGTGTTCATGTCTGGAGGAATACAGCGTCCAGGGAATGGCTTTATGCGTTATTAATAGTGATTGAAGAAGAAGGATTCTTTAGTAGGGATTCTAAATCAACGTACAATGAATGCATCATGCGAGAAACAGTGATCCTCAAGTACTCGTTCTCGAGTCCATATATTTTCTAAAAGGTCACGTGATTTATAAATGACATCGGCCCGACCCAATCCCGGTATATCAAATTCTCGAAGATCAATTCCCGACTTCTGCACTCCCGCTTCCACCTGTTTCATGACCAACAAGACGTTAAGGATGGTGAGCATATTACAGCGTATGCGAAAGCTAAAAACCGTAAGCTCGACCTTCCCAATGGGCCCCTCTGTCTAAATTGCCAGCTAACCTCTCTACAGAAGGTAGAACCACCCCCGTAACCGTCTCTCCGTTCCCAACGCTCATCCGACCTCCCTAGCTTCTCGCAATACGAATCGGACCCGGCGCTGTAATACTGCCTAAAGATGTGAAGAAGATAAACCTGGAGTTCGCGAAACATATCGAGGGTGGGCATAGGGGCGCGCGGTATGATCCTTTCCATTTTAAACACAGAGCCGACTCCTGCCACCATTCCACTTGTCAGGAATAAGAAAACAGTCGCGCTGACAGCATGGCGCTAAAGCAAATTCTGGCGCGATATACTCCCCAGACTCAAGTACCGCAACCCCGCGATCCCCATGACCGTCTCCCGCCATGACACTGCGGAAGGCCCGTCTGTCATGACTGTCACCTTTACCACACCTACACCGGCGGCTGGCTCCTCCACAGATGCGACGCCCGTAGAGCTCGAGGCGAGACCTCCTTTGAAGATCGATATGAGGAATAGGGTGGAATCGGAGATTTTGCAGGAGCTGATAAAAGCGACGGGCGGCACGGAGGTGGCGCCGACAGAGGTGGAGTTGGAGGAAAAGAGGGAGCTAGAGGAAGAGGCGGAGAAGAGTGCAAGGGATCGGGAGAGGAGTTTGGCGGTTCGGAGGGAGAGGAAGAGGGAGGAGGAGATGCTGAAGGCTGCGAGAGGTGTGGCTTAAGTAATGAGGGACGTTGTCGATGTGCTAAGAGCTGCATTACGAACGGTGGAAACCCTAAGGGGTAGGAGGCATGGCTGTGTCGCTGTGTAATAGAACACAAGCTGTAACATATGGGCTGTAGGATAGAGACGGGCATGGGTAGAGTTCCAAGGCTTCTGTGTATATTTTGTGATATATTCATGTATTCTCACCTAAAAAGTATCACCGTGTGCCACAGTTTGAGCACGATTGAAAGGATATCGTCTCGTTTCATTAATTTAGGCTCATTGAAGCGGATGCCCGTCCTAAGACACGACACCACCTCTCCACCAAGCAGAAGCTCCCAGCACGAACACAACGACCATCGCATCTGCCACCACCGTCCGCCAAATGACACTGTATCGGCCCACAACGCGTACATATCCTGCGTACGGCTCCGGTAGTATCTGGGCCACACCCCCGAGCAAGCCCGATGGCGGCAGCCTACCCCGCTCTAAGAAATACCGACTCGACTGCATCACGACCTCGAACGTCGCAAACGCGTAGAAGAAGTGCGTCAGTGTAGCCGCAGATGCCCCCTCATCATCCGCCCACGAGTCCGACCCCACTCTCTGCGTGCGTGCCAACTTCGAGCCCGTGAACGATGTAGTGACCGTGATATATAGTGCCAGACCGAGCGAGAACAGCGCATGGACTATCCGCCACAGGTGTGCAGAGCTCGAGGCTGGAGGCGCAGGTTCACCCTGTCCCATGCCACCTAGCATCTGTGCCAGGCCGGGAGGCATGCCGGGCGGTATCTGGGGGCTGTTGGGGTCGCCATCTCCAGCTCCTCCCATCATTTGTTGAAGCATGGCCATCATAGGGTCGTCATTGGGGTTGCCGCCTGGGGGTGGGAAGGGCGGTACTTCGGTGCCATTGAAGGCGAAGGGGTTTGGCTGGTTGGAGCGCGAGGGAGGGAGGCGAGGTTGGGTTTGGGGGGTGTAGTAGTGCTGTGAGATGTCTACTTCGGCAGGGTCATCGTGGACGGATGCGGGCTGTGGTCTTGACGGTGGTGTTGCCGCTATATAGATGCATGATCAGCTGGAACTTCTTATGAACCTGGTGTATATAGTCCTTTCTTACCTGCACCTGCTTGAGCGGGTGGAGGGCCTGGAGGTGCGCGTCCTCCATTTAGAGACGAGATTGCTTGAAGACGAGAGGCGCCTCCAGCCTTGATTTTTGCATCCCGTCGTTCTCGTCGTAGACGGGCTTGCTCTTGACTGGGTGTGAGTTTGGCCGCCGAGGCTCCTGGCGTTGGTGTCGGTGATTCCATGGTGAAATCGAGGTGCGTGGTCAAAAAATGGGGGATGGCCCTTTGGTGGTGGAGGAAGGACCGATTTGGGTGACATCAGTCTTGGCACGTCCTCTTCACCTTATGACGTTTCCCCGGTTAGCGAGTTCTCTTTTAGGCAGATCTTGATATAATTTCAAAGCAATAAAATGCCTTCTATCAAATATAGGATCACCTGCGTATTTCAGGGATCTCATCTCTCAGCCATTATGATATTTAACATGTGCGATGATAGCGACCAAGAGATAATATAGTGTTCACCAGGATGTCATCTCCACCCAAAAGTCATCTCAGGAGCGTCTCGGCAGCGCACACTTGGGCAGCGCAGCCGCTCACTATCACCCAGGACAGGCGCACTAGCGTCAGTAATAAATGCGTGGGACGTCGGTCCTTATATCAACTTTTCAAAAGAGAGATTATTAAGCAAGAATTAGCCCAACAGTGTTGATGACGCAGAAGGTAGAGCATTACCGACGCCGCCAAGCAGGGAGGAAAACTAGTACTTAGCCTTAGCGTAGAATGCATCCATTATATATAATCGCAAAATACAGTCTACTGTAGAAATTATCTTTGTATAAAATGACCGCTGAGCTAGGAGTCATTTCAACCCCAAAGTCATCTCCACATCATCTCATCTCAGAGATCAACACCACACCAGCTCTTCTCACAGCTCATCACACACCTAAAGTCATATTAGATCGAAGACTTATCACAATCATAATAGCACCAAAGATCTATTAGTTAACAGTTCGGGCTGGAAATGGTGCTGATACCCACTTGAAAGAGAACTCGCTAACCGGGGAAACACCGTGAGGCACCACCTGCACGGCTGATCTTCATCCAACATGTACTTTTAGCCTCCCAACTATTCAACACGCAGTCAACGCCTGGTTCTAGGATTGTAGTATGTGGACCGCTTCCTATGATTGCTCAGGGTGTCTCTACCCAAGTCAGAGAGTCTTAAGCCAAACACAAATCGGTCTGACTACAAGGGAATAAGTAAAGAGCTATTTGAAAAGATAGCAAGATATACAGAGGCCGACGGGTAGTACCGGGCGTAACAAGCTATTCAGGATATCAAAGAGCAATACTTAGCTGAACACTTGTGCCAGCAACCCATACCGTGTCCATAACCAGATAGGCTGTCTATCACTAAACATCAGCATCAGAAACCAGGCTGCTCCTTTGCTATGGACAACTTACATCGCGCTCAAGATTTAATAATATGCCAAAGCACCCCAAGCAATGACAGGTGCATGTAGACTAATGTCATTATATTGGCAAGTTCATTCTTTTAGCGCCTCATTATGTCCTTCAGACCGGCCTCTTCCATGGAGATAAGAGGTCTCACGGATATGGGCTTGATTAGCAGCCCAAGTTTGGGGTCATTCTATGGACTTAGAAGCAGGCGCTCTGTGGATATGGCGCTAACGTCGATACGTATTCGAAGCTGTTATCCATCTTCGACGGGCCTAGAGGCACCAGGTTAGCCTTTTCTGCCAGGAATCTCTTCTGTAGGAGATGTAGTCCGCGGTATATCCCTCTTCTCGTTGTGGTCCTCGGCTACTTCATCGATGTCCATGCGCGCTTGGACGATGTTTAAGAGATTGGGTGTAGAGTTCTATGAGGATAGACGATAACTCTAGTAGATCAAGGGACCAGGGGATACACCTGTTGGTATATTGTCAGGCCGGTCAACAATCAAGGGCTGGTTATTCTTGGCCATGCTCACCAGTCACTCTAGCCTTGCTTTCAGAAAAGATGCTTTTTCGGTGGCTTAATTCATCAAGAGTCATGACGTTCGGGATCCTGAGGTGAATGATGTGTTGCGCTCGTCATCCCCTGGTTCGAACCGCACGAAGTGGTCTTGCTGATGTAGTCCAGTTCCTCACTGCGATAATATGTCGTTCCGTTGCTAGAGGGTTGTTTCAAAGTAAGAGGGCGATAGTCAAGAGCTTCTAACGAGCGTACTACCCTACATTTAGTGAGATTACCGAAGACTAAGCTAATAGATCTGCGTCAGTTACTCCTACCTGTCTGTCGACTGCTTGAAGTACTCACTGATACAAACAAGCTTCCAACGTCAGGCCACTCATCACACCACTCTCACAGCTCGTCTGCGTGCTCACATTTCACAGTGAAGATGTTGGCCCAGCTACTGGCGGGAATCATTCGGTTCGCCGTGCCCAGAGCTGGAGATGCTTCTCGCATCTCAGCCGCCACCCTGCTCGTTAGTCACCATCCTCGGCGACTTTTCAGTCAGCTGCCTTTAGCTAGGAGGCAGCCTTATTGGCAGAAGATTCCTTTCTGGAGAGATGTGTCTGAAGAGCAGTTCCTTAGCTACAGGTGGCAGGTGAGGAGATATCATACTCTCCTCCGTCATAAGCCTTACTAACGAGCCACTGACAGGTTGCTAATACAATTCAAGGCACATCGAAGCTCGCCGCCTTCCTTTCGAACGTTTTACCCGACAACATACCACATGCCTTACCCTCTAGCTCTCGTCTTGGACACATCAAAACTCGTAACACGCTCATCGAGGATGTTTTGGAGGGCGTTACGAAAGCCCCAATGTCCCTTCGGGTGACACCACATATCATGAGCATGATAGACTGGAACAATCCACTGGAAGATGCAATATGCCGCCAGTTCTTCCCACTGGGTTCCAATATCTTGCCAGATCATCCTATGTTGACGTTAGATTCCCTGCACGAGGAGGCAGATTCACGTCAGCACGGTTTCTTCTTGCTATAGAAGCGGGCTGACTATGCAGCAGCTGTTCCTGGGCTTGTGCATCGATATCCTGACAAGGCGTTGTTTCTTGGTAAGTCAGATACCCAGGACCGTGGCACTGGAACAATATTTCATGAGCGCAGTTCCACCGTGTGGTCTACCTGCATAGCATTCACATCAACCTTAGTCAAATGCTAAACGAAGTTCACAGCGACATCTGTTTGTCCAGTTTACTGCCGTTTCTGTACACGGTCCTATGCCGTCGGTGCAAACACAGATACTGTAGCGAAACATTCACAGAAACCTTCACGGAAGCGATGGGAAGCCGTCTTTTCCTATATCGAGCATACTCCAAACATAACCGACATCGTCGTTTCTGGCGGAGACGCGTACTATCTACAACCCGAACACATTATGGAGATTGGAACTAGGCATGTTTGCTGAAATCGCGGAACTTACTCTTACTAATAGGCAAGCTAAGGCTCCTATCAATACCTCACATTCGTCGAATTCGGTTCGCCTCAAAGGGCCTCGCGGTCTGCCCAAGCCGAATCCTAGATACCACCGATACTTGGGCCGCGGCTCTGGTTGCTTTGTGCAGTCAAGGAAGGCAGGTAGGCAAACACGTTGCGTTGCATACCCACTTCAACCACCCGAACGAAATCACATGGGTCACCGAGCTTGCGGCACAATGTCTGTTCGAAAAAGGGGTCGTGGTACGAAACCAGACTGTCTTGCTATGTGGTGTCAATGACAACGTGAATACCATGAGCTTTCTGATCAGAAGACTCGCGGATATGAATATACAACCGGTCAGTCCAACTTGTTATCTGGTTGTATCACACAAAGCATGGACCGTTGATGTTGACGTTGCCATAGTACTATGTTTACCAAGGCGACATGGTCCGCGGAGTAGAGGACCTCCGAACCCCTTTACAGACAATACTTGATCTAGAACAACACATCCGAGGGACGATCGCGGGTTTTATGACTCCGTCTTTTGTTGTAGATTTGCCAGGCGGTGGTGGTAAGAGACTTGCGGCATCATACCAGACCTATGATCGCGAATCTGGTGTCTCGACTTTCGTGGCTCCCAGTGTCAAAGGCGGGCAAAAGGTGTACAAATACTATGACCCAATTGCGGGCGACTGAGAAATTTCTATCTCATCATTATTTCGATGTTTCCAAGTTTACTAGAGCTTTTATTAGTCGAGTTTAACGCTTTGTTGGCTGGTATTCTGCACTACTTCGTAGTGTAAGGCAATCTTGAAGTAAAAGCCGCGTTTCTTCTCTCTCTCCGGTAATACTCTATTTCTTCTAAATTCTACTTCAATCACTAGGACTCCAATTAGCTCTTCACGGTCGCTCTGCTTGCTACGGACGGCGTCAGTGCATCTTCAGTTCCTCCGAAGACCTCCAAACCAAACACGAATGCTCAAATAGTACAAGTGCATATTATACATGAAGTAATGACCCTGTTGATTTGTTCATAGTAGGCCGCTTACGGTTTCGGGTCTTCCTATAGTTGCTCCACCGACCACAATATTGAACATCTTGACCACCACGTGCGATACCATCATCGTGAGTGTCGATTGCAACGCTACTGCAGTCTGCTGCCACAACGATGGCGGTTTATGTAGTCATAAGACAGAAAGTCAAAGGGTTCTGGCTGGCTGGCTGGCTGGCTAAATAGGTGTACAGACTCAAATCTGTTTCGCCGCTTTCAATTCCAATGTCATCATCAAGAACTACTAAAGTATGGTCAATCTGGGGGTCAGACAGGGACGCTTGGATTGAGGACGCACATTATTGATTGTTTTGTTCTTGGTGAATTATTGAGCATGACGGGGACGCGGAGGTGGTCTCACTTGGTTTCTATCTGTGCTTGAAGGTGTTCGAGTTGAGTTTAAGAAGACTCAGTCGCATTTTAACACAGGGTGACGTCTGAAGCATTGTGTTGGTCTTCTCCACTTCTGGCTTGAAATTTTGAGGCTCCTACAAAATGACAGAATGCTTCTAGGGGCTGCCGCATGTTGCATCGCTGCTGAATAGTGAAGTTCGATCTGGTATTCCCATTGTAGCTTTAAGAAACTGACATATTTTCTACCAAAAGCCTACTGGAGCGCTCACGAATGGTATAACCAGATGTATAGGCAGCATCACTCTTACTACTCAGTATGTACTTTTGAGAAATCGACCTCATCTTGAATTGCTCGTAACCCTATAGGAGCACCTTATGCAGTACTGAAAGTGTACGCAGACAGACTACTGGACTAATACAGGTTTGGGTATCAAGCAGAAAAACTCACAATCGCCTCGACATTTCGGACTTAAAGGTGAGCGCCCCAGATCCATTCCCTCAAACTCCAGGCCTTATCCGTGCCGTAATCATCCAACCAACGATTGATCCAGCCGCCCCATAGGCCATCAACACGTTGGATTGCCAACTCGAACTCATACCTCGCAGCAGATTTCTCGTGTTCTTCGATCTATTGTGGCTCTAGCTTCGCCATCTCTTCTAGGTAGACCTTTCGCAGTTTCGTGAGCTCATAGTCGAGCAAGTGTTCCCAATATATGATCGTTTTGCCCTCCTTATCCGGGCCGTCTTCTTCAGCCCCGTCTGGAAACTCTTCGTCAGAGTCTGGACCGTATTCATCGCGGTTCGGCTCCTCATCTCGTCGCTTTCCTTCCAACAGGTAGGGGAGCTGACAAGCTCGCCATAGAGGCAGCGCGGATACGCACTCCCAGTCAATGACTGCGGTAATTTTCCCAGCTTCGTCGACCATCATGTTTTGCATCGAGAGATCATCGTGGAAAAGGAAACTGGATTCATGTTCGTCTGGAGGAAATGCTGTGGGCAGAAGCTTGAGAATCTTCTTGATGGCTTGCGAAGAGGTCTCCGCGTCTTCAATGTCATCCTCATCTTTTGAAGTATCAAGGATTTGCTGCTGGTCGGCAAGCATCAAGGACAGTCTTGAACTTAACCATTCGTAGCTATTCTGAAAAGGCCCTCGTGAAACGTCTTGCGATAGTCGATCCCCCCAAAAGAAGCCAAGCGAAACTATACGACCTAGAGTAAACTTGGGTGGATCGTTCTGGGACTCCTGGACGCTGTTTGACTCGTTCGTCATGTCTGCCGTTGCTGGGAGCGCTGGTGAATGTGTAGACAAGTTTAGCCTGGCTCCAATTCCTCGAAGAACTCTCAAGAGATGTCCACCAAAAACCGCCAGGCGCCTTCTCAGCCTTTTCACGATGTCCACGCCGGAAGAATAGAGCGAATAGAATGCACGGCTGAGTGGGAATCGCGATGTGGAGACGCTGGGAGAGCGATTCTGTTCGCGTGACTCGGATTGGGTCCGGAGACCCCCGATGGGTGCGACGACTCTCATGAACGAGCTGTAAATGTTGCCAATGCCATCAAATCTACGGCGGAAGAGTGAAGCATGGTAACGCGCCAGTTGTTTGACGATTTTTTCCTTGGTATCCCAGGGCAGCTTCCTCCACGTCTTGCGTAACGGCTGACCTGGCACTAACTCGATGAGGATCCATTCATAGTCAAGGTCGTTGTCGCTTGACGCATCGAATGCAAATATGTTTGGAACGGGTATTTGTGCCTCCTCCCGCACAAATTTCATCGTGGCGACTTCGCTCAAGGTTTTGTAGTGTGGATCGACTGGCAAAGCTACTCGCATTACGAATGGCCCCTTGTCCGAGTTTGCTCGGTACAACTTGTTGAATCCTCCCTGGGCAAGGAATTGAATTTGAGGGTTTCCGCCCAGATGCTTGCGTGCAAGAGATTCGATGGTTTTGGAGTCTGGATCTTTCTTCCAGCGCGGCTGCAGGCCATGGATGCCATTCTCGAACCATTCGACGCCTTCGTGTTGGACCATCCTCGCCAGAAGGAACGAGTCCGGGCATTTGAAAGATTTATCAGTCTCGAGCTCAGGCGTTCAGAAGAAGAGTAAGAGTAGTGAAAATGGTGTTTGAGCAAACGACGTGGTGTTGGACCCAGATATATATGTGGCGAAGCACGCACTGACCCCTGCCAACGCTGGGGCCAGCTTTCACGACTTCACTGCAACACTAGGCGCGATTTCTGAAATCAGAATACATTGAAGCACTACACGCAGCTGTAAGAGAGTATACACGGATCTATAACATCTAATGGAGATGTACTAGCCGTACGTCTTCGAAACGCGTCGAGGTTCAGATTCTATTCATATCCTTCATGAGGCACAGTCACTTCTTCTCGCCCGGCCACAAGCATATAAGGTCTCTGTGGTATAGTTTCCTCACTCTCGCAACTTAGACTATTCCCTTTTGCTCTCTTCACTCCCGCTTTCTTCACTCCCGCTGCCTTCACTCCCGCTCCCTTCACTCGCACCTATACGACACGTCAACGCTGTGAGCGAACGCAACTTTTCTTTTATTCTCGATATATCAACTAGGACTCCCTCGTCGCCGTTATCTTCTTTAATTCTGCGAACATCGACCCCTATCAGCGCCCCTTAACTTCAGTACTTCTAAACACCCACAAATCACGAACTGTGGGCCAAAGTCCCCGCAAGGAGGTTATCCTTCATCGAGAAGATCCCTGACGCAAAGCTTGAGGGCTTGCCCTTTTCTCAGAGAAAGCTGTTTAGTGACACCAACATGAGGTGCGACATGCAAGGGGTATGAGAAACCAACAACGTACTTATTATTACCTCACAGACTCCTGAACAGATGACTAGCTCTAAGCCCCCCATGCACAACATCCAGGTTCAGGTCAACAGAGGGTGCCAAATAACTTCGCTGGCCAGGATCGCCCCCAATTCAGTGGCGATTGCATGCGATGTGCCTTCTGATGACTCGTGGACCGCAAGACAAATCAAGGATAGGCTGATTGCCTCGATTAAGATTTGAGGGATAAGGGGCGGGTCAACACGGTCTGAGGTGGCCTCCAGAGCTATCAGGCTTGCCAGAACTGGCCTTTTGGGACTAGCAACAATATATCGGAGGACCTCAAACGGTGCTAAACGAGTGTACACAAGGACTGAAATAGGTATGAGCGATGCTAGTCACGCGCTATTGTGGTCCAAGGGGTTATAGTGTACGATAGTTTGATGCTAGCAATTCAGGGAACTACTACCGGCTGTTTTCCTTTGATTTGATATTATGGGTTAAGTTATCAAGTTACACACTATCTTGCCACTGTTTGGAGTGCCCCAGTACATTAATGCCCTCTAAGCATCACGTGATATGCAAACTGTTCTGCTGCCAAGCCCGCTGGCCGCCTTCCCAAAACACCAAACTTTCCATCACCACGCAACTCAAGCTCTCCATCCACACACCACACACCCACTCCCTCCAACGTCGACGTATCTCCCGGCCACTATCCATCTCCCAGCTCACCTATATCCAACCACCCACACGCCTCCATCCTCACACGCCTCAACCCAGCCCCCAAGCGCAAGAGCGCCCCTACAACCCACACCCTCCCGCCAAACCCCCCAACACCCACCCTCACCATGGCGCGCAACAGCGAAAAAGCGCAATCGATGCTCTTCCGCTTCCGCGCCGCGCAAGCCGCAGACCTGGGCATCCTGGACATCGCGCGCACGCGCCGCCCAAAACTCATCACGACCATCGACAGCATCCCCGTGTGCGAGAAGTGGCGCGGGCAGGTGCTCAAAGAGATCTCGCGCAAGGTCTCCAAGATCCAGGACACGGCGCTCTCCGACTTCCAGATCCGCGACCTCAACGACGAGATCAACAAACTCATGCGCGAGAAGCACATGTGGGAGGTGCAGATCCGGAATCTGGGCGGGCCGAACTACATGCGCGCCGGACGGGTGCTGGATGAGGAGGGCAGGGAGGTGCCGGGGGGCGGGAAGGGGTATAGGTATTTTGGGAGGGCGAGGGAGTTGCCCGGGGTCAAGGAGCTGTTTGAGGCGCAGAAGAGACCGGTGGAGGGCGAGGGGGATGAGAAGGGGAAGGAGAGGAGGGAGATGCGGATGAGGGTGGATGCGGGGTATTATGGGTATAATTTGGATGAGGAGGATGGGGTGTTGCTGGCGTATGAGAAGGGGAGGGAGGAGGAGTCGAGGAGGCGGTTTCTGGAGGAGCGGGAGGATGATACTGGCAGGAAAGGGAGGAAAGAGTGGGTTGAGTTGCCGGGCGACGCGGGAGATGGGGTCGGTTGGAGGTTGCCGACCGTGGACGAGGTACAAGATGAGTTGGTGGAGCGGAGGAGACGGAAGTTGTTGGATAAATTTGCTTGAGAGTGGTTCAAGACGATGTCAGTCAGAGGAGGGTACTTGGAGAGATTGAGCATAAAACACACTCGGGAAGAATGGTCATATCGGGCTGAGAAGGGCTATGACATTGTACTATTTAAAAATTGATACCACGAGAATACGAGGATGTTCTTTCATAAACATACGTCCTAAAATCGCCCTTGGGCATCCCAAACAGCGCCAAGATAAGTGAATGTAACTTGATAGCCTGTTCTAATTCCGTCTGAGGTGGCCCAGAGAGTTATTGGGCTTGTCAAAACTGTCGTTTTCCAGTTCTTGATAATGTATCAGAGGACCTCAAGCGGTGCTAGGCAAGGTATACAAACCTTCGTGTAAAGACGTCACACTGTCCTCTAGTTGTTTGATTTAGCAGTCCAGGAAGAAATAGAAGTATTTGAGGGCGATATAACGCCTTCTCTGAAAACATGGACAAGTACCTACAATGTTCTAAAAATACATCAGAGTACCCTAGACGGTGGTGAAACATTGACTGTCCAGGCTCTAAACAGTGGTAGACAAGTAGGAATACAATAGCCTTGAAGTCAAATTCATCATCATCACAATCAATCAACACAAGTAATTCGCAATTTAGATCGTTTCCAATTGTAGCAATACGGACTTACTAGCAGTCTAGAATCCAACCCGGACCCGCCAGCATCCAGAAAAATACAGACATTAGGTACCAAAGAACCCCATTCGCTCAGTGCACCACAAAGGAAAACCATAAACCACGCTCGGTGATAGGGGCTAATAAGGATCGCAAGCAGGAACTACAGAAGACGAGAAAGGAAATCGACTAGGCGTCGTGTGAGGTTGAAAGATTGTTGTAGAGGAGAGGTCAGGCAAGGCAAGGCTACTAAGTAGAGCGGGCCAAAGGAAAGAAAAGGCAACGGCCAGAAATCAGAGATCATTATGCACACTGCTGGTTCCAGTCCTTAGCCCAACGATAACCCCCAGCCCAAAGCGCAAGTATCCCAAGTGCACGAACGCCGGCCCAGATCCATCGCCTGCGGCTGTACTCTTTTACTAAAGCTTTGGCTTCAAAAAGAGTGAACGCTAGAGAGAGGTAAGAAAAGGAAGACGAGGTGGCTCGAGGAGGTGACGTAGGAACAAAAACTAGGAAGATCATCAGTCAGATTGACTTTCCATGATTTATTGCCAAGAACGAACAGAGTAAAGGAAAAATACACGGTGTTGGGGACATGTGGGGAGGTTTAATGACCATTCGCGCCGTCCGCCTCTGCTTGGTTATGCGAGTTAGTGCGTGAGTGTGAGGTCAGGCCATTTGCGTGGTGGGAATGTCGATGTCGACCTGACCGTGATAACGACCCAACGTCATGTTTGCCTGCAGAAGTGTTAGTAACAATTTTCAGTGTCTGGACCGAGAATAGCGTACCGTCACAGCACGCCCTCACGTTCTCAAGCCGATCCGATTCTTCTTCCTGTTGCTGAATGACTTGCCGCAGATCTTCCGCCGAATCGCGCGGTTCCGATGTCTGGTACACTGAAGTATCTTGAGCGCTGACCTGGCTCTTACGAGATGAGAACGATCCCCTAAGAGTCGAATTAGGTCTGAACACGCCACTCAAGCTACTAAACCGTCCTGACATTGAACCTTGAGCGGGTCCTTGGGACGTAGCACGCTGAGCGGCCGAGGGCTGCCGAGACCCAAGAGTTGGGTGTTGCGTTCGGTGAGGTGACGATGTCCGTCGACTGGTGTATGATGAGATAGACGCTCGCGATCGCCCGGTTTGACGAGTCGAACTTCTACTGGCATACGCTGGATTGAACTCTTTCACGTCGTCTTCAGCTTCACCAGCTTCTCCATCCTGTTCATTGCCAGTTCGCATCAGGAGATACGACAGCGCATTGAACCAGGTCTCATGCCTCTGACTTGTTGTAGCAGTGAACTTGACGCTTCGGCCAGGTGTTAAGATCACGAGACTTTTGCGATGAAGCCCGGGCGGGTAGGGATTATCGTCGGACACGACCTGTACAGCTTGGATGGCCACACTCTTAGCTTTCAGCTGTGCTCGCCCAGCGGTGACCGGGTTTTGTTCGCTCCAGTACAGTGTCCGTGTATAAGGATGTACCCAGAAAAAGCGGCGATGTCGATTTTCCGACATGTTTTCGCTCCCCGCCTTCCGAGTGTATTTCCATAAGAATTCTCCAATCATGGTCTGCGTAATTGCCTGGATCATGCGGGGATCCGTTGTGGCAGGATCAAAGCCTTCGGGTCCCATAGAGCCTCCAGCAGCAATGCCGAAGCGTTGATCGATCTCCGAGGTAAATGATGACATTGAAGATCTCCGACCGATTGATGAGCCAGCGTCGCTTCGCATGGTGCTATTCCGAGGTCGAGGTGTGGCACTACCCTTGGAAATAGGACTGGCTAGTACATTTCCGCTTGGAGATCGCACTGGGGTTCGCGGCCTGGTCTTATACGCAGATGCTGGCATGATTGGCGGGCCCATAGTCCCTGCTGGGGTTGATGGTCGTATAGGGACTGGGGCGATCAAAGAAGCTTTTTGGGCAGCCGCAGCAGCGATGACCTGCTTGTGGTCGGCTGGAAGAGGGGGCGGTGAGCCGCCACGAGTGCGGCCGCTTCCAGCACTGCCAGGTCTCCTCGGGGTCTTATGAGGATCAACTAGGGCAGAAATATGTTGAGGCTTCTTGGGGCTGCCTGGCGGTGAACTAAATCGCTTGTCGACACCAGTGGTGGCAAGCGTGCCAGAGCTTCGCTGCTGGGTCCTCAAAGCGAGAAGCTTGTCAATTTGATCCGACGATACCATAGTCTGGGTACCTCCGTCGCTCATGGTTGTTTGCGGCGAGTGCACAGCTGTCCCTGGTCGACTCGCAATGGCGTTTTCGTTTTGAGCAACGCCTCTCGGAGCAGCAGGTACAGCTATAGGCTCCACTGATGCCGATCTCTCCAATGCCTCGGAAGGAATCTGTGGAGCTTTTGTTGTCTCATCTTGGGTTCCATCTTCGCTTGTCTCTGTATTCTTGCCCCATGGAAGGACTGAACTGAAGAAGCCTAGCTTCTGTTTTGGTTCATCTGCCGCAGCTACACGATGAGCCGTTGAAGGCCTTGAAAGCTCTTGCGGTTCATAATCTTGTTCAATAATTTCAGAGAACGATAGAACGGCTTCACCGAGGACAGGAATGGCCGGTGTCTGATCTCTTGGAGAGAAGAGAGCAATTGGCGGGAAGCCTGGGACCGTAGGCGACTCGGGTTTCGTCTCTTGGGCAAGAAGAGTAGAAGGGCGCTGTGGTTGTATAGCGGGCACAGGCGACAGCGGCTCGGTGTGCTGTTGCGTAATCCCGGAAAATTCAGAAGCGGCTGGTACTAGTGGTCCAACATACACAGGCGACAGCGGCTCAGTGTGCTGTGCCGTAATTTCAGAGAATTTGGGAGTAGTTGGTACTGGTGGTTCAACAGGCTCAGTCTGCAGCTCGGAAATCGACGAGACATTGAAGGGCGGCGAAGGGAATTTGTCTAGCATTGGCGTTCTCGGCTCGGTCTGTTGTTCGAAAATAGACGACATACTCAGAGCAGATATAGTGCGAGGTTCCTCCCGCTCCGTTGCGACAACGGCCGCGGCGACGGGCTCTGTGGGAGGCTCCGGAGTCAGCGGCTCGGTTTGCTGTTCCGATATAGTCGAAACGCTGAAGACCGGAGGAGCGGGGGGACTCTCAGCTTCTGTTTGCTGTTCCGATATGGCAGAAATGCTGAAGACAGGAGGAGCAGGGGGACTCTCAGCTTCTGTTTGCTGTTCCGA